GTGTCGGGCACGACGGCCGTGAGGAAGAGCTCGTGCATGGCGGCCGGCGGTGGGTTTGGACGGTTTCGAGGGTGTGGTGTGTCGTAGCAGCTTGGTGTCAAAGACGAGGTTCGAAACATGAGCTTTAGCTTTTGGCGATGCGATGGGGCAGTGGGGCATTAGTTCAGCAGCTACAGCAGCTACGGGAAGCTGGGCGCTGTAGAGTGCAAAGACTTCAACTCAACGAATTGAGCGTGGCAACACACAGGAACTGAGATAATTACAATACTTCCAGAAAAAGAGTCTTAATTTATTTTCTTATATGTCTATTTATTGACCTCTGTCGTTGTGACGTGCTTCTTAGGAAACTCATTTTGTCGGAATCTGCTTCACGTGACTAGGCGCTCCTACCAAACGCCAACGACGCGTCTCGAGTACGACGGTCAACAAGAACGCGCCCTCAGACGGTACGGCCATAATTCCAAAAAGTTCATTGTGACATTCCTGGACTAAGTCTGACAACGCACAGTCGACCATGTCCCGGAGTCAACGGGCGAGTGCGGCAGCGGCTGCCAAGAGGATTGCGGTTCAAGCGGCGGATTACGATGAGGCAGCGGATCATATTCACAGTGGCGGCGAGAAGAGGACGGCAAAAGCCATAGCAACACTACCGCGCCGACCTGCTGCCAAGCGAAAACGGGACTCGGAGTCGCCCGAGTACGAGGATGCCGCGTACCAGGACGATGCCAACGCGGACGAAGACGAAGACGAAGACGAAGACAACGAAGGCGGCGATGAAGACGACAATGACAGTGAAGCGGAAACCATGCAAAGAAAGAACCGCGTCCCGGCCGCGAAGAGGTTGGCTGTTGGCACGCTTGTCGTCAAGACGGCCAAAAAAGCAAGGCGAGCAACAAACACCAACGGCACGTCCCCTCTCGAGCAACGCCTATTCTCTCCAGTATTCTCTCCAGCTGGCCGGCCTGCCACGGGCAGCGACATGATGCCGCCCGTTTGCTGCCCACCCGAGCGCCGCCACACCGTCGACTACCACCGGCCCCTGCTCCTGGACGGCGCCGACGGCCGCCGGGCACGTGATGCACTGCTCGCCTGGTACGACAGCGTCAGCGCGGCGCGCGGCATGCCGTGGCGGCGGCCGTGGGTGGATCCGACGGCGGGCCTCGGCGGCGACGATGCGCAGGCCCGCACGGCGCTGGCCCGCCGCGCGTACGAGGTCTGGATCAGCGAGATCATGGCCCAGCAGACGCGCATTGCCGTCGTCATTGGCTACTGGACGCGGTGGATGGCGCGGTGGCCGACCCTGGCGGCGCTGGCCGCGGCCTCGGCCGACGACGTCTTGCAGGCGTGGAGCGGCCTCGGGTACTACAGCCGCGCCTCGCGCGTGCATGAGGCGGCCCGGCTGGTGGCGGCGGATCCGGTGCTGCGCGGGCTGCTGCCGCCCGACGTCGCCACGCTCGCGTCGCGCATTCCGGGCGTCGGGCGGTACACGGCGGGCGCGGTGTCGGCCATTGTGTATGGGCGGGCGGCGCCCATGGTGGACGGCAACGTGATCCGCGTGCTGAGCCGGCAGCTGGGGGTGTTTGCCGACAGCAAGACGGACAAGGCACTGGTGGACCTGCTGTGGGCGGCGGCGGAGGCGCTGGTGCAGGCGGTGGCGCGGGATGGACCAACGGAGGGTGGTGATACGGAGGGCGGTGATGCGGCGGGCGCAACAGATGACGCACAGCCTGCCGTGAGCGACCGCCCTGGCCGCTGGGGCCAGGCCCTGATGGAGCTGGGCAGCACGGTGTGCGCGCCAAAGCCGGACTGCGCGGCGTGTCCCATCCGTTCGACGTGCCGGGCGTACGCTGAAGGGCTGGCGCTGCACGCGAGAAACACCACGGCGACGGTCCCGCCGCCTCTCGTAACGACCGAGAATGGCAATGGCCATGGCGACGACGACGTGTGTGACCTCTGCGAGCCGTTCCCCGAACTCGACGAGGAGGAGGCTGCTGCTCTCGCCCGGGCCGACAAGAACGAGGCCAAGAAGGCATCCAAGAACAAGGACGCGACACCGGACGACAAGGTGACGACATCGCCCTTCTTTGACGTGGAGGATGCCGCAGCTGGCGTCAAGAAGCTCAGCAGCGAGGCGCTGGCCACGGTTGTCGGCCACGCGCGGACCTTTCCGCTGCGGCGACCCAAGAAGCCCGTCCGCGAGGTGGAGACGCTGGTGTGTGCTGTCCGGCTGAAGACGCTGCAGAACAAGGACGGCGGCTTGTACCTCTTGCACCAGCGCCCGGCCAAGGGTCTGTTGGCAAGTCTCTGGCAGCTGCCGAGCCACGATCTGCCGGCGGCCCTCGACGGGAAAGCCGCACGCCGGAAGGCGGCCGAGGCGTTTGTGACGCGGTGGTTGACGGGCGGCGAAGAGGATGGTCGATCCAAGGCCAAGAATGGCACGTCAGGGGGAGGAACTTGCGCAGCCGCGACAGCACCGCTACGCATCACCCAAGCCACAGAGCTGGGCACCGTCCCGTGGCTGTTCTCGCACCTGCGGCAGACAATGCACGTGTACCTTTTCGACGTGGCGCCAGAGGACAGTGGCAGCATCAACCGGTCCAGTCTGCCGACACCCGCCTCCTGCTGCTGGGCAACGGCGGCGGAGGCCGAGAAGAAGTACTCGATGGGCACGGGCATGCGCAAGTGCTGGGCTCTTGTGAGGGAGGTAGCTGAGGAGTGACCCTCATGGACTTATCTTGAGGGTTAATTATTATTTGCATTGGCATTTTGGCACATTTGAAGACAGTGACAGTGGTCTCATACAATATTAGACCCCCGTTCCCTCTTTGGCTCTACCTGCCTTCATTCTGGTTTATCGCGTTCCTCCCCCTACTTCCCTTGCCGCCCATTGCTCTCACTCTTTGGTACACTTTGGCTTGTTGGCGGTGGAAGACGACGGCGACGGTGCCGGCCCCGTCGACGACTGCACCGTGCCGCACACCACGCCGTCGGTAAAGCACGGCACCCCTTGCTCGGCCGTGATCCACTCGGCCAGATCGACCGTCCACAGCGTCGTGCCCCGGTTGGCCGTGCAGTTGCAGGCCATGAGGGAGTCGCCCGTGTTGGGCAGGATGCAGTCGCGGCAGGTCGAGGAGAAGCTGACAGGGGCGGCGTTTCTACGCGAGGCGTCAGTCAGCGGCGGCAGTCAGCAGGTAGGACTTTAGGACTTGTTTTGGGGAGGCACGGTGAGGTGGAGGCACCACGCATGGGACTGGGACACGTACGACGGATGCGCCGGCTGGATGCCCTGCGTCGACGCGACCAGGGCGCTGTCCAGCGCCAGCAGCGACACCACGGATGACTGCGGCGAGGGCCCGGCACAGCGCGTCCATAGGGACAGCTCGCCACCCGCAACAAGATACTCGAGCCGCCATTCGGGACAGAGGTCGGTGAAGGGAAAGGCCGGGTCGGGGGATGCTGGGCGGTCGACACCGATGCGACGGCCGTAGGGCGGCTCGGCAATGGCGGCGACCACGCCAAGGAGGAGCGGAACAACGGCTGTGATGGGATGCATGCTGCGGAGATGTGGCAGGTGTGATGTGAAAGGCCGGTTGCTTGAGTGGTCTGTTTGATTGGAGCCTGCCTGGGTGTTCTCCTTCACAAGGCCACAGTCTGGCTTTATGTTTCTTTGACTTTCACTTCGACGTCCCATGTTTGTTCCATTGCTTGACGCATATATTGTTTTCAGATTTCGCCGTTGACCTGTGAGACGCAACTCGTGACGGCTGATGTGAGCCTAAATTTACGGGGATACAAACAGGAACAGACTGGCACAAAGACGCAGAAGCGACACAAACCAAAGTGAGCGAGTGGCATTGACGAGCGACATGAGGGAAGCCACCCTCGGCAATTAGATTGAGTTGTTGCACAGCGTTGGGTTTGACTCTGCCGTCTTCTGTTCCTGTCTTCCATTTCGGCCGAAGAAAGTGCACTTCGCCTCTCTCGACGAGACATCAATATCGCTGTCTTTCTTGACGGCTGTTGCATAACCAATAAATCATAACCCCCTCTGTTGCAGACGCGTTCCTGCTTGCTTTTTCTTTTATGCCGGCCTCGTCTGACGTCAAGGTCGACGAGACCTTGCTTTGGTGTCAAATTAAGCGCGACGCTGCGCCGTCGTCTTCTTTATCGCTGTTGTCTTTCTTTTTTGGTTTATTTTTTTTTTACTTTTCCACATCCTTCTTCACTACAAGATCGAGGCCTACTTGAAAGCCTCGCCCTTTATGTTAACTCCTACCTTCCCCCCTTTTACATAGCATCGTCCTGGGGCTGCAGACATTGCAGTCTACGGCGTTTGCACCTCGCCTTTTGTGACCGGATTTATGGACGGTAAATCCGCTCTTCGATGCCCCAGGCCAATGAGAGCGGCTGAGAATATCGAGTTGCAACGAGACAGGCCGACGGAGTCTGCTTCGCGCTGCGGACTTACTGTCGGTGCATTTTGGCGTCGAAGTCCTGATTGGCCGGCGGTAGACATCTTGACTTCTCGCGCTGTCAACTTATGTCCTTGTCGTTTATGGCGATGGTAGGCACTTTGTCGCCATAGGTCGATGCCTGGCTGAGCCAAGCTGCCACTGAACGCGTCGACGGAAACTACCAAGACTCCGATGATATTTTCCACGGAATTTTCGCATCTCGCCCGAGGATGGTGCTCCGTCGGCAAGACCCATTTCCGATCTGAAGAGATGCTGTATATTGCGTGACAGCTGGTGATGGTAAATTGGATTTAGGTGTGCAATACGGTCGACAGCGTCATGATCAATCCTGCCAACTTGCCTTTTGCGACGATGCATGGTGCTGTTGATAGTTGGATTCGTATTTATATATAAGTGTCGTTGTCGTCCGCATTGTTGCTTGTCTGGATCATCATGCTGACAGTGCAATCACTCCATCGACTACACTCCTCTCTGCCTTGACCGACTTCCTTTTCTTCATCTGCACATCTCGAAACCACTTCCATCATGACATCCTCCGTCTCTCTCGAGCTGCCGCCGCGCAACATTGGCTTCGGCCGGCTCTTCCTCGACTCGCAGTTCATGCACTACGCCAAGTGGCCGCCCAAGTCGACCAACCTGAACGGCCAGACGGCCATTGTCACGGGCGCGTCGACGGGCCTCGGCCTCGAAGCGTCGCGCCAGCTGCTCGCCTTGGGGCTGTCGCGGCTCGTGGTGGCCGTCCGCTCCGTCGACCGAGGCGAGGCCGCCGCCGCGGCGCTGCGCACGTCGTTCCCGCGGGCGCGCATCGACGTGTGGCATCTCGAGATGGAGTCGTACAAGTCGGTGCAGGCGTTTGCCGCGCGCGTGGCGGCCGAGCTGCCGCGGGTCGACGTGGTCCTCCTCAACGCCGGCATTGTCAGCGAGACGTTCCAGCGGTCGCCCGAGACGGGCCACGAGCGCGTCGTCCAGGTCAACTACCTGTCGACGTTTTTGCTGGCCATCCTGCTGCTGCCGACGCTCACGGCCCATGCGCGCTCCCGCACGAGTGGCACCGGGGGCCCCGCGCGCCTGACGATTGTCAACTCGGGCGTGGCCCTGGGCTCCCAGCACCCCTGGGACGCGACCCGCCCGCTGCTGGCGTCCTTTGACGACACGGCCCGCCAGGCCTGGGACGGCGTCGAGCGCTACTGGTCGTCCAAGCTACTGGGCCAGCTGCTGTTCATCAAGCTGTTTCCGCTGGTCCGCGCCGACGACGTCGTCTTCAACCTCGTCGATCCGGGCCTCGTCCGCGGCACGCTGCTGAACCGCGACACCGCGGCACGCGGCAAGGGCCTGGCGCTGGCCCTCTGGCTGGTCAAGGCCGTGACGGGCCGCAGCCTCAAGGCCGGCGGATCGACGTACGTGGACGCGGCCGTGGTCAGGGGCAAGGAGACGCACGGCTGCTTCATCATGGACTGGCAAGTGCGGCCGTTTGCCGACTTTGCATACACGGCCAAGGGCAAGGAGAACATAGAGGTGCTGTGGCAGGAGACGCTGGCCGAGTTCAAGTTTGCCGGCGTCGAAGAGATATTGGCGTCGCTGAAGAAGTGAGGAGCAGAGTTTGATTCACGTTGATTTTGGCTGTTGATACCAAGGGCACGGCAGGTGTCGTTGCTGTAGTTGATTTCATTAGTTTTATTATTGTGTGTCCATCAGATTACATTATTTGTAGAACGCATCGTCCCTCCGCAGCTGGCCCTCCTGGCTGGACCCGTCGTCGCACAGCGCAACACGAATGCTACACATGTCGCCCTCCTTTGACATTGCCTCACGTGCTGTCCGCACGGTCTGCTGACTGCCCACAGACCGCAACGCGCGCTCGTCGTCGTCGATGCCGTGCTCCACATCGCGGCGGTGCTTCGTCGGCTGCTCCCTGCGCACCACGCTCTGCATCTCCTCTCCGCCGCCAGCACCGGCACCGTCGGCCGTCCGCACGTCCGTCCCGCCGCCCGTGCCGGCCGACACGATGTAGTGGCGCAGCGTCAGCTGGTGCGCGTCGCGCAGCAGCACGCGCAGCACGGGGATCGAGGCGGCCATGATGGTGACGGCCGACTCGGCGGCGCCCCAGACGACGAGCGGCAGCATGACGAAGGTAAAGTCGGCCGACGACAGAGTGGGGATCTGCGAGGTCTTGACGATGGCGGTGGCGCCGGCGACGACGCCGAGGCTCATGGCGACGGCGACGCCGAGCTTCTCGGGGCGGCGCATCTGCAGCTGCCACACAATCTTCCACGGCAGCAGCGCCAGCACAAAGTCCATGACGGCCGAGTAGCCGGCGGCAAAGATGCCGTAGATGGGGTAGACCTGCGGTGCCCAGCAGGTGCCGGGCACGGCCGGGTTCCACGTCTTGGCGACGGGCGCGCAGCGCACCCACAGAAACAGCGCGTTGAGGCCCATGGCCACGTTCATGCTGCCGATCGCCAGCCACAGCAGCGCGCGCAGCCGCGGATGCCCCGACAGCAGCCGCAGCAGCGTCAGCGCAAACGACGTCTTGCTCCAGACGGCGGCCAGGATCGAGAAGGTGCCCGTCAGGTTGCCGAGCAGGCCCAGCCGGCCAAAGTGCGCCGGGTCGACGTCCCAGACGTGCTGGCCCTCGCCCAGGGCAATGGACCACGTCGACAGCGCGACCGACGCCGCCAGCGCCGCCCACGCGAGCACCATGACGTGGTCGTCCCACCAGAGCCGCCGCCGCGTGCAGAGCTTGCAGAGCAGCCGGGCGACCAGGAACGCGAGCGACAGCGCCGCCAGGCACCAGATGGAGAGCAGCGTCGACCGCCGCTTGTCGTCGTGCGGCAGGTTGGCGTACGCGGCCGGGGGAGGGATGCCGCCGTCTGTTGCGTTGGACGACATGCTGAGTGGCGATGTGAAGAGGGGTGAAGAGAGCAAATGAGAGGGCCAGAGACCTGGACGAGACGAGGGAAGACAAACGATAGAGGAGTGAAACGAGAAAGGAAAAGAGAGAACAGAAAAAGACCGATGGACGGTCCTCGTCAGTTATACGAGTTCCTGCACGGAAAAAGGGAGAAACGGCCAAAGAAACGAGGCATGAGAGACACGGTGCATGCTTCTGCGACGATGAGAAGCGATCTCGTCGATTGTATTTATCGACGGAACGAGACAAGGGCATCCTGTGGACGTTCCTTTCTGGTCGCATGGCATGCAGGGACAGGACTTGTCGACAAAGTGTGGGGAAGAGAGGTCCAGGCTGGCCGTGGCCCAAGACCCAACCCAACATTGGCCGACGCCGCCCGTCCACGCCTGGTTGTGTGCCACACTTTGTGCATTGTCGTGTCTTTTGCGCATTTGCTTCAGTCGTCCGTCAACCAGCTACGGTGCAGGGCAGGGTCCAACCGCCACAGCGGATGAAGGTCAGGAGAGGAGGTGAAAGTGTATGTTGTACAGCAGTGTACGAAAGACGTCGAAAGATGTGCACCCAACGACAACGACGCACTCGTACAGCGCCCGAGAGCGCGTGACGAACCACTGTTGACTGTTGTTTGGGAGCATGTCGTGATCCTCCGTGCGCGAGGGCGAAAGGTGTGGGCGGCGTGCTGGTGCAGTCTTGGTTCCCCCGTATTCGTGGTGGCAGCGGTGCATCGACCTCCTCCTTACCAAATACGCTTATTTAAGTAAACAAATTCTCCGGGACGGCCATCCTTGTGAAAATGTTTACGGTCTAGTTTTGGCTGTATTGAAAATGTGTGGCTGGTTTCTTCCTCTCTCCTCTTTGCCTTCTCTCTCCTCTCCGCATTAGCGTTGCTCTGCTGCATGTTGCACGGCCGGGACTCGACAGAAGAGGAACAAAAATGCCCAAGATCCCAGCTAGATCTGCGCCAACACGGACCTTTTCTGTTGCCTTTTCTGTTGTCTTCTCTGTTGCCCTCTTCCTTTTCTCTCTTCTCGTCTTTGGACCTGTTTTTCTATTCTTCTTTCGGTCGTCTGCAGGTCGGCACACACAAGCCACAAGAGGACGAAAAGAGACCAGCAGCAACATGCAAACTTTACTGTAACTTGAGAGATGCTGCAACACAAACACAGCGTACACTGGACAACCCGCGAGCCATGCATGCACGTGCGGGCGAGCGAAATGGCCCCTGCTCTGCGTGTGCGTGCGCGTGGTTGGTCCTGCGCACGGCCACTACTTTACACAGTATTTGACAGTTGTGAGAAAACAAATGCTGTTCATGTCAACCTACAGACTGACCGATGTCCTGTGCTTCGGTACGTAGACATACCTCTGCTTGCGTCTCTGAAAAAAACCCAGGAAAGAGATACGGCCCTTTCTGCCTCTTCGCCCCTGCCACTGTCGACGCCCATATTGGAACATGCTATCGATTGTGGTGATTGAGCAGGCCATTTCTACACTTTCACAGACAAACTGAACAGAAACAAATCCGGTCGACGTTCTGTTTCCCCGCCTCAGGACACACCAAACACGAATCATAACTGGCCTGCTATGATCGCCGACTAGGTCGAAACACTAGAGAAGCACTGACGGAGCAAAGCCAAAAGAAATCTAGTGTCAAAACACAAACGCAGAAATAGAAAATAAAGCTGCGGGGTGCATCGGATTGATACACATCCAATGCACGGCAGGCCTCTGACCGCATCTGTTTCCCGCTTTCTGTGGACCGTGTACCAGAGAAGCGTTTTCATAATGAACCAGGTATGCCGATTTCAAGGCGAGGCGGGGTTTGACAGAGTCGTCCTTTGTGCTGGTCGTCCTTTGCGTTGGTCGTCCTTTGCGTTGTTCCAAGTGCGGAGAGCGAAAAGGTGTATGCTGTGTATGCGCTTTGACACACGATCCCACTGGACGCAGCAGCCACACAAGTTCCTCACGTCGACTGGCGTTCAGCTCCTCGATAGACCCTTCCTTGCCCCTTTTGACGACGCCCTGGTCACCGGATCTTGAGGGGCCATAAGGCTCGGGCCCCGCGTCGAGGTGGCTGCTTCATCAATTAAGATGGGATGGGATTTGTGCATGCTCCTTCTTGGGGTGGCAGATGGTTTACCTTCCCCTGACCAAGCTGGGCATGAGCCTCTGCAATACATAACGAAAGGGTGCCGACACATGGCAAGCTAATACGATCCTTTGCAATTTGTTTCTACGGCGCAATGCCATCAAACAGTACCATCAAACACAAATGTCTCTCTCCAAAACCGCCCGCAAGTAGACCCACAAGCAGACCCTACTTCTTACTGCCCTCGACTGTCCGCTTTGTCCCCAGGACCACACCAATCGTCGTGTCCCAGGCGGTGGCGCCGCCGAGACACAGGACTGTCGCAAACAGCTGCACCAGCGCCCACAGCCACGCGCCCGCGCTGAGCGTAAAGAACTTGAACACCTCGTTGACCTGGTAGTGGTCCTCCTGCCGCGCAATGTAGTACCGTGTCCGCGGCGGCTGGTGCGCCGCGTCCGTGCCGGGGACGCCATTGACCTGCCGGTTGCGCGCCGTGTTGGGTTCGTGGCCTTGCTGTCCTTGTGCTTGTTGTCCTCGCTGTGCGGCCTGGGCGTGCTGCGCCGCCACCGCCGCATAGCTGTTGCCGTCGTGCCCCTGGCCGTCCACGACCGCGGCGAGGTGCAGCTCCACGACCAGCCGCACATGCGCCGCGTACAGCGGCACAAACCACAGCGCAAACCGCTGGTGCATCGCCACGTACAGCCGGTGCTGCGCCGCGTCCCACGCCACCGACTCGATGCCCAGCGCAATCTGCGGGCTCAGGATCTTGTACCACCGGAAGATGGCCGCAATCAGCCGCCGGGAGTTGACGCGGTCGGCCGCCTGGGCGCCGCCGTGCCGCTCCACCAAGTCGACGAGGCGGCCCGGCGCGTGCTGGCGGACGCTCTCCTTGCCGGAGCCAGAACCAAAGCCGGGCACGCGGCACAGCGGGTGCACAAACTCGGCGTCGGGGAGGTAGTACCGGCGGATGGCGGCCTGCTGCTCGGCCGGCGGCCCGGTGCAGAGCGTTTGGATGACGTCGCGGATTTCTTGTGCTGTGCAGAGAGCGCGTTTGTTAGTGGACGGTCCAAGGTCCGGCGATGCAATGGGTGCTGGACAGCATACCTGGGTGCTCCATGTTGTGCTGTTGCCTCTGCAATTGTTTTGATTTGATTCTTGAGTCGACGATGTGGAAAGAAACAGAGCCGGAATGTTTTGTCTAAACACCTTTGCAGCTTGCAATCACATGCCTTTGGGTCGGTGCTTTTGTCCGTCGATGACGTCAGCTGGAGCTTGCCGGAAGCGCTAATGAGGACTCCCCTGGAAGCGACAGCTGCACGCTATTTTTACCATCTCTTTCATTGACAACAGCGTCCAATTAGCCTCGCACTGGGGCAACTGAATCCCACGAGCAGGCAATCATCTCGTTCTCCACGTCAACTGTGTATCTTATGTGTCTGTGAATGCCCCCTCTGGGGCAACGCCGAATTGTCGACCTCGCCGCGGCCTCCAAGATCTGTGAACCCAATGTTAAACGTCAGTACATTGGATATGTTGTAAGATGGTTTGATTATATTGCATTATGAGAACACACGACTCGAGATATATCTGGTAGTTTTGCACCGCGCCCGTCCCTTACACAAGGCGTCCGCTCTAAGCCGTCTTCAAGTGCCAGAACAAGAGGCTAGAATTTCAGGCTAGACTTTTCGGGCGTATTGGGTTAGTTTTCTTTGCAACAGCTCCACTACGGCGGGCGGGGCGTTCCGAGTAAACTGACACTAAATCACTTGTAATGGTCACATCGATCACTGTTTCATCGAATAGCTTACCGTCTCTGTAGCTATCAATGATGGCTGCGCCGGCTACCTAGGCTAGGAGATTTTTGCCGATAAACAACGACTGGACTGTTACGGCGAGCCCTACTCTAAGGAGCCTGATATCAAACAGTTGAAGTGTGTCATTAGGGAGTGGGAGAAAGAGATGGTCAAAACAGCAGAGCCGTAGATGACTTCTCGTCTGACGTAACCAAGAATCTATATCAAACTTGACTTGTGGTATTGCTGCCGTAATTACAATGCAGATGCTGTTCCCAACTCAAGCCCCGGAAACCGAGACAGTCCATTTTTCTTCGCTGTATTCCGAGGTGGACCCCGTCAACTTGGAGATGGTGTTGTCGAGCGGCCGACTAACCCAGGATCAGAGGCAAAAGAGCGGCAAAGGTAACCGGGCCTAGGCGTATATCGTATGCAGCTAGGAATTTGCACAGCTTTGTCTGTAGTTCAACTACTCTAGTTGGATGCAATAATACTTATTTGTTCGGTGAGAACGGTCCCAGTCGGTCACCTTTTGGGCCTGGGTGAGAGCTATTCGACAGAAACGGAATTCGGTATTAGAAACATTAAGTCATAAAACAATAATTCTTATAATAAGATATGTAGTCCTCGATCTATAACTCAGTTAACAATCAATACGCACGCTGACTCTGCAAAACGAAGGCTTATGTTTCTACTTTAAAGGAAGGGATCTCGACTTAAAAAAAAGCTTAGTCATCACCAACCATGGAGATTCAGGGGCTGTTTCAGGCACCATTTTTTAAGGCGGCTGGATGGTGGACGCAGATCATAAAGTAGAGCCTAGGACAATAAGCTTACCAGCGCTCTGCCAGCATCAACTGTGGCCGACAAGTTGCCCGCCACTATCTTCCAAACACACGGTACCCATCAACCGTGAAGATGCGTTCGCCAGCGAGAAGAATGTCGTCGTGCGACACGCTCAGTTCTATTCCTTGGTGCAGTTGAGCGAGCGCCTTTGGAACAACCAGCCCGCCGTGTGTGCTCTGGTGGCAATCCATGTTGGCGCCAACGTCGAATGCATTGAAATGGCCCATCCCAAGACATGGAAGCGTGAGGCTTCAATTTCGTCGTACCGATGCTGATGAAGGACAAGAATCCAAGGGCGGAGGCAGAGGCAGAGGCAGAGACAGAGGCCCGGGCAAGGGGCAACGACATTGACAAGACCTTGGACCACGGCGTGGTACAGGTGTTGCTGCGCATCCCGTTGCCGGCCAAAGTCAGCGAGGAGCAGAATCCCGGGTCTGTGATGGACAAGCTACGCTGTGAGACGGCGTCCTACGTTTATATGCAGCGGCATTGACCCGAAATCCGGACCTTCACGCCATCGGCTTTCCGGGAGCGAGCGGCCAGCATGTATGTGCAGTACCCTTGGATCTCTTGCGTTGTGTTTTATGAGTGGGTATCTTCTCACAGCCGACATTGCTGACCTTCAGGTCACTCACACATCCCACCTTTCCATCTTCCGGCGTGTTGCGCTCTACGTCCGACAGGTTTTTGCGTCCTGGTTTCGTCGACCGATGCCCTCCAACTATCTCCCTGTCACCCTACCGCCCGGTCCGATACTCCAGCCGCTGGAAGACACCGGCTACATGATCCTCGAGAACCTGAGCGAGGCCCGCTTCGGCAAACAGCTCCCCTACGTTGTGCCCCGCGACCGACCGCTCCAAGGGCTGTTTGCCGACGAACCCGTCAAGACGCGCAACCTCTGCCGTGACCTCTCCCGTTTGATGCTGTCCCTCGCCCGCGTGCCCCAACACGCATCGGTGCCTTTTGCTTTTGCTTGGCTGACGGCACCATTCGCCTCGACGGCCGGCCTGCAACATGCGACATGGCCATTTGCGAGACCAAGGGTGCGGCACGAACCGTCGGACTCGATACAACGTACACAAGCGCTGACCGTTACCTGGCGGACCTTGCGCGCTTTCACGAGTCCGGGTTCCGCATCAAGCCCAATGCCGCCCTGGGTGAGAGCGATGCCGATTATCAGATGGGGATCATGGTGGCTCTGCGGGCCATAGCCCACCATTTCGTGGGCGGCTCAGGTCCTGGGGCCGGACCTGGAGAGAACGCAAGGCGCGGCGACGGCCAGCCGTTTCTTCTGCACCTCTCCGACAGCAACCCGGGCAACCTTCTCGTGGACGACGACTGGCACATTACCGCCATCTTTGACCTCGAGTGGCTCTTTGCCGCACCCATCGACCAGCTGCAACCGCCATCGTGGCTGACATGGGAGTCCATTGACTTTGTAGCAGGGGAAGGCTACGACAGCTACTGTGCGGCGCGCAAGGTCTATATGGACATCTTCCGCGAGGAAGAAGAGGAAATGGGCATGGCGGGCCGGTCAGCGGACAGCAAAATACGATTCAGCGATGCCATGGACGCTAGCTGGACATCTGAGCTTGCATGGTTTTACCTTGCGCTCACGTCTGTTGACGGCATGACACAGATTTATGAAAGACGCTTCCGGCCGCTGTTTTGGCCCAGAACACGCAAAAGCAAGGATGAGAGCAAGGGCGAAAGCAAAGACGAAAGCAAAGACGAAAGCAAAGACCACAGCAAAGACGAACCCAAGGACGAAAACACACAAACAGAGACGACAGAGTTCAACACACTAAGCCAGTTCTGGCAGCTCCGACGCTCGAGCCATCATAGCCCAGAGGGTGATTGGCAGAGAACAGCGCAAGGCGGCCATCGAGCGACTGTTTGAGGACAAAGAGTGACGGAACGACTGCCAAGTATGAAATTTAGACGTCAAAATTACATGCAGGGCTTGGGATGTTGGCGATGTCACTTACACCAACACGTTTCCCCCTCGCACACTGTCTGAAATTGCGTCAGAAATTCAGCCTCGTCCATGCGCTAGCATGGAGAGAGGTTCAACAAATGAACGGCGCCTACAAGGATTCAGGGGATCGACGGGAGAATGAGTGGAGAAGTGTAGAGAAACACTGGGGCCCAATCCTACCTGCATGTCAGCAACGTCGAGGAGGAGTCGATGAGGTTTATTTGTTTGTCCTGGACCTGTCTGTGGGCGTTGTGAGGTATGGAGTATTCTCAGACCATCGTCAAAATACCGCTGGCACGGTACTTCGCTCTTTGAATTCCGACATTTGGGTTCCGTTGTACACTTTGCTCGCCTCAATCGCCATGGCCACTCTTGACGAGTACCTCGCAACGGCGACATCGCCCGGCCCGGCACGCACGCTGCCGGGCTGCGTCATGATTGCCTACCAAACAACAACGGGCCAGGCACGCTGCAAGTCGTTTGGCACCGAGTCGGTCGATCCGAGCTCGCCACGCGCCGACACACCACTGTCCGTCGACAGCTGCATGTGGGTGGCGTCGTGCACGAAGCTGATGACGGCCATTGCGGCGCTGCAATGCGTCGAAAAGGGCCTCCTGATGCTCGACGACGACATTTCTCTGGTGCTGCCCGAATGGAAAGAAGCGCGCAACATCCTCCGCGGCTTTGACGACGCCACGGGCGCCCCGCTGCTCGAACCCACCACGGGCCCAATCACGCTGCGGATGCTGCTGACGCAATGCAGCGGACTCGCGTATGCTTTTATGAACGAGTCGTTTCAAAAGTACATCAAGTACCAGGTAGCCTGCGGGTGGAAGCCCGACGCGAACTCGGAGCGGCTGGCGCCCGACTTCCCCGTGCCGCTGCTCTTTGAGCCCGGCACCAGCTGGAACTATGGCATTGGCACCGACTGGGCTGGCAGGATGGTCGAGCGCGCCACTGGGTTGACGCTGGGCGAGTACATGGACCAGTACATCTGGCAGCCGCTGGGCATGACCAAAACGACGTTCCGCATCCTCGACCGGCCCGACATCTGCAGCCGCATGGCCCAAATGTCTGTGCGCACGAGCGGCAGCGATGGCAGCGATGGCAGCAGCGAGGCCCGCCTCGCCCCGTATCCCGATTACTACTTTCCCGTGACCACCAGATACGACTACGGCGGCAGCGGCGTCTTTACGAGCCCCCGCGAATTCTTCAAAGTGCTCGTCGCCTGTGTCGACAGCAACCCGGTCCTCCTCTCGCCCGTGGGCTATGGGCTGCTGTGCGCGCCGTCGTTGCCGCCGCTGGCCGCGGCCGCCTATCAGACGATCCGCACCAGTCTCGTCGCGGCTGCCAACGCCGCCGCCAAGGAACGCGGCACGCCCATCCCCGTCCCCAGCCCGAGGCAGTACAACTATGCGCTGGGCGGCATGCTCAACCTCGATGACGTGCCGGGCGGCCGCCGCGCCGGAACGATCTCCTGGGGCGGGCTGCCGAACCTGGTGTGGACCATCGACCGCGCTGCCGGCGTCGCCACCCTCTATGCGAGCCAGCTGCTGCCGCCGGGCGAGTCGTTGACGGCATGGATCGTCCGGGCGCTCGAGGCGGAGGTGTACAGCGGTGCTTTTTTTAAGAATGCGACTCTATTGGGAAAGTGGAAGAATCGATGGCGATAGATGTGTCGACGACAAACAGTGCCACAGCACGAATGCCCGTGGGCAATGGCTATTTGGATGGGATGGACTCTACACTGCTACCGAGCAGAGGTGTGACAACGACGGACGTCTGGTGATGCAGTCGAAAGTCACAGCATTTGTCACGGCCTGACATAGTAGACTTTGTGACGGCATACGTTTTTTTTTTATTTTATTCTTATGTATATAAATACCAATGATTCTCCCTCGCTTGCTATAAAAGGATGCGACCCCTCTTATCGTCCTCATCAATGTAATGCTGCTCCAACAACTCGTGGCAGCCGCAAAACACATCGACATCATGTGTGTCCAATTCTACATGAGATTCAAGTACGACTGCGGTCACCAGCAGTCCGAAAAGATGGACAAGATACAATGAGACCCCATGTTTTGCGACAGTCTTTCCCAGAAAAGTGAAACTGTATTTATAAAGGGCAGCTGCGTTTCTTGCATCAGAAACGGGAGATAGCTGGACTTTGCTGCTGCGTTGCTCAAGTTGAATTACAATGCAATGATTAGAGGGTAAAGTCAATGCCAACCAGCTTTTGCATTCATTCATGTCGTTGGTATTCCATGTCGTTGCCTCGTGTCCATGCGTCGATGTAAATATGTCATGAGCAGAAAGATTTCCTTTATTTTTATTCACCTATCTTTGGGTTGTTGATTTATTTATTTCCTCGTTATTTTCCTGTTCTTTTTTTCACCTTTTAATGTCCCTAAGAATTTCAAGCATATTTTGTGCCACGTATTTCATATTTTCCTTAACTGTACTTTTTCTATTTTGTTTTCTAATTTTAAAGGTACCTTTTCATATCTAGAAATCTTTTCATTTCGAAACTGTATTCACTAAAGGTGCCAATGTCCATATGGACAAACGCAGTGTCTGGCAGTTCAACAATACGTTAAAGTCAACATAATGGAAACCAACAAGGGATATCCTCTTCTAGTTCTCATATTTTCAACTATCTCAACTTAACCGGAGTACAACGTACATGTACACCCTTTACTCACAATGATCACAGCTGTCTGCCGTTGGCGACTTTTCCTCGTAAGACACGATACAGTGTAAATAAGCTGTTGAGACAGACCTGATGGCCGCGCTTTCCCTCTCGGTTTGCGCGCCTGCCCTTGTCTTGCGCATGTGCGCCTTACCGCGTGCGCTGTGGGTCCACACGAAGCAGCCCCACCTGCTGTCCTCGAAAGCTCACCCTGCCTTTGTAGACTGTTTCGGCCAATCCCTAGGCTGCTTTTTCCGTATTCCCGCCTGCCAATGCTAAAAGTGACTTGTGCACCACTGTCGCACCTGCCAAACCAGCCTAAAATTACGTCGAACAGCTGTCCCTCCCCTGTCGCCTTTCACCCCGCTGGGCAATGCTTAGGCCCCTGAGTCGGGAGCTTTGGGCGGCCCTTGTTCAATTTTAACTCGCTGGTCTACTGTCTTGTCGTACGTATTCTGTATTTCCACATTAAAACTTGCATTTAATTTTATTCTTCTTCAGCATGCGGATGACGCGCGATCACAGTGCGCACCTTCCCTGCTTGGCGGCTCTTGCCCCCTACCGGTCGCAGACACACTCTCGGCCCTTTCCCTGCAACTTGACTGGCCCTCATCACTCCCTCTTCTGCCGCATTCCATCATTTTGGCGGGCGAAAGGTGCTTTTCTCTTCCTCCTTTTGCCAATTTAATCAACATCACCACCTCATCTTTCCAATCCCCCCCACGACCACGAGACGACGGATCGTGTATTTGTATCAAATCCTTTATTTTCTTTTCTTGTACCGTTTCTATTTCTTCTGTTTTAGTACCCCCACCTTCTCTTAATTCTTCTCTGGCGCCGTTGTTCAACAACAGCCAGATTGGTGATTTTTGTGAGTTTCTCGAGTTCTACAATATTCTGCTTCGTCCTGGCCGTGACCTTCCCCTCTGCCCTTGCTTTCGGCGATGCCAGTGCCTCTCTCGAGTACCAAATCTACGATGCGAGCAACAACGATGATCGTTACGGCACGAGTTGGGATGCGGTAGCGAGCACCCCAACCGCAGCGACACGACTTTGCGATTGACGCCTTATCTCGCCCACCAAAAACAACAATCCCTACAGGTTCGACAACCTTGACAGCCTCGAGGACCTCGAAAAACACAACATTCTCCTGCCGAAAATGTTCCTCCATCACTGCAAAATGCAGCACAGGCCCTCGCGTCATCGACCATGGGATGAGGCTGTCGTTTTTGGGACCTTGACGGATCGACTCGTTCTGTTGCCCTCCAAATGCGATTTCCAACCCGAAGCCCAACCCAAAACGTGCGCGATCTCTGAACCTCTGCTTAACGCGCAGCACGGCGCAAACGACAACGACGCAAACTCCAAACCAGTTTTTACACAGGGGCACGAGCAAACAGGCGCAGATCGATCTGTTAATTGGCATTCGCAATCGTATTCGACATTGAGACACACCAGGCCGCACTGTTGGGGCGCTGCGTACATTCCGTCACGTTACCATAACTGCCACAACTTTGTACTGTTACTAACCCGTCTTTTACATCAACAGTTCCCTGCTAGACTATTGAGATACCCATCGATTTTACCATCATAACCTGTTTCTATCGAATTACAGCATCTATAGAAAGCATCCAGCCGGTCGACATCTTGTTTGGGTTTTCGTCTCCTCTGCCGACGAAACGAATCATTACGACGCACGCAATCGAGGCAATCGACTGTTCCCACCTACATTTCCAAATCAATCCAAACGGTATCCGACACCAGTTCGCCAAAACATCGCGGACTGTGCATCACCCTCTTTCTTCGTCTCAAACCACCCCACCATACTGCCTTCGCCCGGTGCTTGTGTCTTAGAAAGGACCGGCACTGCGGCGTAAAGGACCTACCGCCACCATGTTCTGGAAATTTGGCGGCTACGCCAATATATCCCCTATTGATGCTATTCTCGACCGCCCCGACTTCACACTAGAGGAGCTGCTCGACGAGGGTGACCTGCTGGGTGATGTCAAGGCCCATAATAACAAGCTGCTCGAGTTTCTTCGCCAGAAAGACATCGTTCTGAAGCTGCTTGCGTACGTTGTCGCGCCCAAGGCCGAGCCGGTCGCCGGCCCTCCAACGACCGAGGAGACAGAGAGAACAGACAGCGCGGAAGGGGAGCTGCCATCGGAGCCGCCTGAAGAGGACATTGAGCGCGGCCGGTCACGCATCTTTGGCCGGTCGCGTGCTTCTTCCTCGGTCACCGATGGCGGGCTGGATGAGGAGGACGAGGCCGAGAAGAAGCGCATGCGGTATGCCTTTGTCTCCTGCGAGATTCTGGCGTCCGACAACTGGTCCATCTGCGACACGCTTCTGGACCCCGCCAACCGCGCCGAGCTGAACAAGTTCTGGGAGTTCCTCAAGCGTCCTTCTCCGCTGGATCCCCTGCAGGCGAGTTACTTCACCAAGGTCAACGAGTCGCTGTTCGACAAGAAGGTCGAGGATATGGTCAACTTCCTCAAGGGCGTCGACGGCGCAGTTCAGGATATGCTGCGCCATGTCGACTGTCCCATGGTCATGGACCTGTTACTGAAGATCATCACGCTCGACCGCCCCGAAGCCTATCAAGGCATTGTTGAGGTAAGAACGACATACACTGTGCTGGTTTCTTCTTACTGTCCTTGCTGCTATTCTTTGTCTTGCCTCTAACCTTGGTTCTAGTGGCTCTACACGCAAGACATTATGCCGACCCTCCTCGCCTTCCTCAGCCCCGAAAACAGCTGGGCAACGCAGACGTCTGCAGGCGATTTCATCAAGGCCATTATCACTGTGTCGGCCAATGCGACCCAGCACGAGCAAACGTGCATCGGTCCCAACGAACTCACCCGCCAACTGGTCTCTCACCCCTGCATCGATGAACTCATCGGCTACATGCTCAAGGGCGGCAACGCTCTTACCGTCGGCGTGGGTATCGTCATTGAGGTTATCAGGAAAAATAACTCTGACTACGACCCGGATGTGGGCACCGAAGCCAACTCCATCCCGTCTAGTCGCGACCCCATCTACCTCGGCACCCTGCTGCGCATGTTTGCCCAGAACGTACCCAACTTCATGCAGCTGATGAACAACGCGCCCGCCCAAAAGTCTCGACTCAACTCGACGTTTGGCGAGAAGATTGAGCCACTGGGCTTTGACCGCTTTAAAACTTGTGAGCTCATGGCTGAGCTGCTCCACTGCAGCAACATGGGCCTTCTCAACGAGGTCGGCTCCGAAGAACTGATTGCTGCCCGCGACGCCCAGCGCAAGCGCCTACGCGAAGAGGGCAAGCTCACTGGCACCCGCGGCGAAGAAGCGAATCCCTCCAACACCGACCTCCTGACCATGAGCCTGGCGCACACCTCCCCAACCGACGAGGGCCGCCGCCTGGAAGTCACCAACGTTTCGGCCGCTGATGAGGATGGATTTGAGGAAGTGACGCATGCAGCCGGTCTTGGCGAGGACGAACCCGTCCGAGAACTGGAGCTGCCCAGCCGACCTGCACCGGCGTCTGGCTCTTCAGCATCGCCGTCGTTTATGGATAAGGACGAGGACGACTTTGTTGAGGAGCCCCTCAGCTCGCCGCGCCTCAAGACAAACGACGAGAAGATCGCAAGCAGCGACGACCAGCACTTTGACGACCCAGAGCTGCTTGTTGCTCCCCTCTCACCGAGCAAGCGGAAGAGCGTCCCAGTCGAGGGTTCAACATCAGGCAGCCTTGTGCCCGTCCCCCCCAAGGATGACCCTGCCGAAGGCTCCGACGACTTTGTCACCGAAGCCACCGAGCCCGCTCTTGGCGACGAGGCCAAGAGAATGGTGCCCGACCTCGAGAAGGGCGACGACTCCGACTCGTCCATTATGTTCACACCGACTATTTCTAGCTTATCGTCCCGCCGTTCACCTAGCCCGACTACTGAGCGGACCGTCGCACCGACCGACGAGGTCATGGCGAACACTCCTGAGACGCCCAGTATAAAGACCGAAGAGAACACCGAAGGCAGAGCCGAATCTGGTACTCCGACAACGACACCACCTACCGAGACCCCGGCGATTTTTGCCCACGAGATCCCTACAGAACCGAAGCAGGTGCAAGACGAGAAGGAGGACGCCAAGGATGCTGCAAGCAACGGAGATGCGGAGATGGGGTTTGGTGACGCATCGATTATCGTCACGCAGCAGCCCTCCGAGGCTGGTGCAGCTGCCGAGTCTGCTCCCGGTGCTCCCGTTTCCGACCCAGTTGTCGGCGACTTCTTGAAGATGCAGTTTGTCGACCACCGCGTCGTGCCGACAATTTTGGTCGGTTCTACCTGTGCTTATTCACGCTGGCCATTTTGTCGTTTACTAATCCCCCCCCTCTAGTCCTTCTTTTTCTCCTATCCCTGGAACAACTTTTTGCACAACGTCGTGTATGACGTTGTACAGCAGGTGTTCAACGGTCCTATGGACCGGGGCTTCAACCCCCACCTGGCCATCTCCCTGTTCGAGTCGGCCGACATTACGACGCAGATCGTCAACGGCCAGCTGGTCTCCGAGCAGTCCCAGGCTGCCACGCGCATGCGCATGGGCTACATGGGCCACCTGACCCTCATCGCCGAGGAGGTCGTCAAGTTCACCGAGCGCCACCCGGCTGAGCTTTTGTCCGAGACGGTCGTCTCGAAAATCATGTCGCCCGACTGGACCAACTACATTGACGGCACGCTTACTGAAACGCGCGAACGCGATAATGCCACACTGGGCGGTGTGCGACCTGAAGTAGCTATGGGCAACCATGCCGCGGCTGCTGGACTTGCTGCTGTGGGCCTGTCGGGCCTGGGCTCGTCACTCACATCCCTCGGCCTCTCCAACTCCCAGGGCACATCCAATGCTCTGGCGGAGGCGGGCCTGAATGGCAGCCTGGACCTGAACAGCGACAGCATGGATCTTCAGGGCAGCAACGATGGCCACTTCTCCATCAGCGCCGGCATCTCCTCGGGCTTCCACAGCTCGAGCGACGAAGAGGATGACGACGCGGACGACAACGACGAAGACATCAACAATGAGGTTAGTATAAGTGATTCCCCCCTCCAAGCATACCGCGGCGTCCGCCTTGTCCAGGAAGGTGAACGTCGTGTCCTTGAGTGTGAAGACTGCATCAATGAAATCCGACGTGGAACGAAACCATTTGACGAGTATTGCCACCACACGTTGGACGGCGTTACCGATGGGGATGCCAATGGGGAGGCCAATGCCGACTGCGACCCCGACCCCAACGAGGACCTGAGCATGGAAGACTATACCAACGACGACAATACCCCAGCACCAAATGCCGCTGAGGAGAGCACAAATGACGGATGTGACCACGGAGACGGAGACCAAGACCATGGCTACGACCACAGAGACCAAGCCGATGGGGATGTGAACATGGAGGATAAGGACGAGAACGGAGGGGAGACCAAGTGCGGTTCCGACGACCCATGCAATTGCCAACCGGCGCATGTCTCCAGGTAGAGCCTAGAGCTACTGCCGGCTGCATCTGCATTGGGATTTGCGGTTTCACCAACTGCCGCGAATAGCGAACCGAATAGCGAACCAAGTGGTGCCGCGCTCCAAGAACTGTTTTCGGACCCAGCGCCCATTGGACTGCGATTTAATGGAACCGGCGACATCCGTGAGCCCGCAACCGGAGACGCATTCTGCCAGAGCACACGTGGTCGGAACGACCGAGATGACGAATGCGAGAACGGTGTGAGCGGAGTCGAAACCATCGATAGAACCGACTACGACAACTTGCCACAGGCCGCCTACCATAGCAGGGGAGATTTCCAACAGCGGGCCCAGAATGCCACGGACCTCGTATTGAGACTGCGGAGGACGGTTGCGCAGCGGTTTCGCCGGGGGTAATTGGGCGTGGTTACGATTATGATTGGGGGTCTATCAGCGATTAGTTGTTTGCGTTGTCTGTGTTGTCCGCCTGGGATTGGCCGGTATGTGTGTGGTGTGGATTGTTGCTACGCTGAGTATTATCTGTTATGGAAGATGCTCAGGCAAGAGAAAGATACTATGACACACTTTTCTCTGTGTGGCCGAAAGAGCAACAGGACATTGATTACACTGCTAACCGTTCCCCTCTGGTCTCTACGTGGTTTTGGACTTGCCGTTTTTGGATTTTTTGGTCTTGGTCTTTCCTGGTCGTGTGGTCTTCGCCTGGGTCGTGCTTGCTACGTCTGGCACCCGTCGCTCCTTCCGCTCCGATGCAGACGTCTGGTCGCTACTTCCATTCTTGCCAGCCAACTCGGCTATTGCGACCACACTCGACTCGCACCATCTTCGGACATTGCAGCTCCATGCCTTGGATACAGTTCTTGTTTTGATTCTTTTGACTTTGGGCCGTCCACTAACAGCTGTACAGTTCCGCGCATACACGGATCCCCTGAACGCATCCAATTCCCTCCTACCACCGGCCATCCCGCCACCGCCACCGCCGCCACCGCCTTTGAACGTCCCTCCCTCGCGTGCCCGCCAGCTGCTCGCAGCCCGTCTTGCGATGAACAAGCGCAACGCCGAGGCCGCGGGTGCACAAGAGAACGGCAACGAGCGTGAACAGGGTAGCAGCAACAGTGGCTCGGGTATAGCCAGCGGCGACGGCAGCGGCGGCAACAACAGCAACAACAGCAACGACGACGGCGACATCTCGCTCGGCGCGGCCAGCAAGTCGCTGACGGCGATGCTCGACAGCGGCGGCGAGCGCCTGCGCAACCCCTTTGCTGACGACGAGGACGACGATGTGGACGCCGACGAGGACGCCGATGAAGACGAGGACGATGATGACAACGATGACGAAGACGCCGGCCTGAATGGCGGCGACGTCGGCCGCGTGGGTCTCGGCTGGAACCGCGGCGGCTGGTGGCGGTCGATGGTGTCGCGTGCCGACAAGGGCGGTCGTAGCGGGCAAGCCGGAGCCGGCGGCAGCAGCAGCAGCGGCGCCGGTGGCCATGAAAAGTTTGGCGACGGCCGGGACAGCAGCAGCGACGGCGGCAACTCGTCTGGCGACGACGACAACGACGACGAAGAGTTTGGCGACTTTGCCATGCCGGAAACCACCATGCCGGCGGAGGGCGCAGCAGCCAAGGCTAGCAACAACGACGACGACGACGACAACGGCGCCGGGACGACGGCCGAGACCACGGCCGAGGGCAGTGACCGCGAGACGACGCTCTTTAAGCCCCTGGCCCTCCACCCTGGCCATTCGCCGTCTGGATCTGGATCTGGATCTGGATCCGGATCCACTGGTAACAACCACAGCACGGCCTCGGCCGGTGGCAGCCTCTGGCGCCTGGGCTTTCTCGGGACCAACGCCGCGACGACCGGCTCCACCGCCGCGTCAACGGACACCAGCACGAGCGACACAAACAATGCCAAGGCCAAGGCGCCTGCTGCGTCCGCGTCAAGGACAAATGACGACGAGCTCGAGGTGCTCGGCGATGACGGCCACCGTGTTGCGCGGGTCACCGAGGCGGCGCACCGCCGGAGCCTCGAGGACCCCGACGAAGACGAGGTGGTTGTATAAGATAGAAGGGTAGAGGGTAGGGGTTAGAGGGCAGAGGGTAGAGGGGATGGGAAAGTTTTACAAGGTCTACGACTCGACATGTTTTATGCTTTTCTGGCGGTGCGTCTCGTTTTCTGGTTGTGTCTTAGAGACCGGCCGGATGAGGGACGGGATGACGGGACGACGAAAGTCTTTATGAGTTGGTTATGTTTCAGTGTGACCATTCGACCGCGGAGCTGTGTACGATACATTCATGTTGTTTATTTGGGTGGATGTATTTCTGTTTCTTTTCTGAATTTTTGTATTTCTATATCATTATGTTTGTGACGTCTATTTTCCCAGTTTGCTTAACGTGTCGTGAAATGACATGGTGTGTGCGTAGTGATTGAGATCGTAGATGTTTCGTCGGAACAAAGAGAGTTGTGTAGCGAATGCTTAGCCACGGTAGACCCCCATGCCAAGCGAGATGCCGATGGTCGATGAGAGCAAGTGAAAAGGGGGTGCGTATTGAGCATGTGGTTGCCTAGGCCGTAGTTACGGTTTGGTGGCTGAGGAAGCTGTTGAATCCTGCGCGTTCCTGTGGTTTTGTGATATCCTAGTGTAAGAGAGGAACATACAAAGTCCATGTGCGATCCAAGTCCTCAGGTACAGATGAGGGGGGCCAGAGTCTGGGGTTCATCGGCCGTCCACTGCCGATCGGATGCAACAACGATGGACACTAGGCCATTCGGGCGGCTGGTTATGCTCTGTTCGTCACTCTGCTTTTCTCTGGTTTATCATGCCCAGCGGCAAGGCGTCTGCGCTCTGGCTCTAGGCTGGCGCCGTACGGCACGGGTCCTCCACTTTCGCCCTCTCCGCAAAAACAACTGCCGTGTCTCCCATCATCTCCACCATCCTTGTTCAAGTTGCGGGGGTGGGCCATCTCGACAATGCATACTCCGCACAGGGCCAGAGATGTCACGCGCTGCTGTATGTATTATTTTGTGTTGGATGCAAGAGGTTTAGTATGTATTTTATTTTATTTTATTTTCGGCGTTGGTTGTGACCTTCCTACAATGGAGGGCAAGGAAATAAAACAAAACACGGCCACCCGTATTTTATGGCCACCATGCCCAACATGGAAATGCTTGGTCAATCACACAGGAAATCAGGAAAACCAGAGGCAGGTATTGGTCCGACGTAGATGGGAGGGACTGCCAAACAGGCATGCAGCCTCGACAGAGGACAGGGTGCCACTCCTGACTCCTGGACATGGAAGGATGCATCCACGTTCATGAGGGGTGCATTCTGTCCGTCGAGGACAAGCCGTGGAGCCGGATGGGATCCGTGCCGCGGGTGCTGGTCGGCCATATATGAATATATGTGAACCCTGGTCTCGGGAGCATGCAATAAGGATGAGGGCCAGGACTTGAACATATCCTCACAGTGAATTTCTCGTTGCATTCGTCTCATTTCTTGTCATCATCGAATCTTCTCCTTCGAAACACCTCCGTCCTCGACACCTTCCAACCTCCCCTCCCCTCCTCCCCCCTCACAAAACACAGCCATGGGGCCTGCTCTCGCCGAGACGTCCCTCTGGGCGAACCGCAAGTGTCTGGTCATCTGCGCCGTGGTCGCCGTGGCCAACATGCAGTACGGCCTCGACTCGGCCATCGTGGCTAGTCTGCAGGCCATGCCGGGCTTCCTCAAGGTGTACGGCCACGCCGACCCGACGGCGGCGGGCGGCTACGCCATTGGCAGCGTGTTTCAGCAGCTCATCGGCTCGCTGCTGACCCTGGGCGCCTTCTTGTCGTCGCTCGTGGCCGGCGCGTTTGCCCACTTCTTTGGGCGCAAGCCGGCGCTGTGGCTCGCGTGCTTCCTGACGGCCCTGGGCTGCGCGATCCAGATCGCCACGGAGAGCAAGGGCGTCGTGTACCTGGGGCGCCTGGTGCTGGGCGTGGGCAACGGCTTCCTGGTGACCTTCTCCAACATCTACACGGCCGAGGCGGCGCCGGCGCACCTGCGCGCCGTCATGGTGGCGCTCTTCTCAGAGTGGGTCAACATTGGCAGCATCGTTGGCTCGGTGGTGACGAACGCGTGCAAGAACCGGCTCGACAAGCAGTCGTACCAGATCCCCATCGGCACCCTCTTTATCGTGCCGGCCCTGCTGGCTGTGGGCCTCTGCTTCGTGCCCGAGTCGCCGCGCTATCTCATGTACAAGGGCCGGACGACGGCGGCGCGCGTGGCGCTCGAGACGCTGCGCGGCGACGCGCTGCCGGCGGAGCAGCTGGAGCTCGAGTGGGTCGAGATGGCGCGCGGCATCGAGGAGGAGAAGCGCGTGGCGAGCTCGATCGGCCCCGTCGACATGTACCGCGGCACGGACCTGCGGCGCACGCTGCTGTGCTACGGCGTGATTGCGTCGCAGACGGGCGCGGGCTCGTGGTTTGTCATCTCGTACGCGACGTACTTTATGATTGTGTCCGGGCTCACCGTCGACGCCGCCTTCAAGTACTCGATTATGAACACGTGCCTCGGCCTCGTCGGCGTCAACGTCGGCATCTACGCCATGCGCCACCTCGCGGGCCGCCGCGGCATCCTGATGACGGGCGCCCTCGCGCAGGGCGCCTGCATGTTGGGCATGGCCGTGGCCGTCACGGTGGCGCCGGGCACCGTGGCGGCGCGCAACTGCCTGATTGCCTTTGTGGCCCTGTTTCTGTTCTCGTACAATGCCTTTGTCGGCGACGCCAGCTACCCGGTCTCGACGGAGCTGGTCAGCACGCGGCTGCGGTCCTGGACGGTCGGCTCGGCCATCAGCCTGGGCTACTTTCTGGCGTGGCTGACGGGCTTCTGCTCGCCGTACTTTATCAACCCGACCAACCTGAATTGGGTGCGTACATGTGTCTTCCAACAGTATTGAGCATTATCATAATCACTAACTCCCCCTTCTCATCTCCCCCATCCAGGGCGCAAAATATGGCTACATCTGGGCCGGCTCCAACTTTTGCTGCTTCCTCTTCTTCTTCTTCTTCATCCCAGAGCTCAAGGGCCGCTCCCTCGAAGAGATTGACGAGCTGTTTGCCAAGCGCGTCGGCGCCTGGAAGTTCAAGTCGTACCAGACGACCCTCCTCGACGAAGCCCTGCAGCAGGTGCAGAAAGGCGAGGCAGACGTCGCACGTGTCGATTCCGCAGCCAAGGAGGTGCCCACCACGGTGGAACACGCGGCGTAGCACAGTCGGGGCTGTCAAGGACGATAGATGTGACGAATGCGCGAGACAACAGTCCGTTACGTGAGAAGAATGGCTTCCATTATATTTGCATGCTGTGTTTCAGCGACAACTGTACCGTATATCAAGCCTCATCAATGTACAGAGTGAATGCCTTATTCCTGTGCTATGGTCACGGTGGCCACCACGCCGCCGTCTCCCTTTGCCGCCTCGTCCTTCGTGTCCTCGGCATCAAAATAGGGCCGCTCGGCCTGGGGCGTGATGCGCAGCATGTGACGGCGCGTGACGCCTTCCTGGACGGCAAAATCGCGAAGAGCGGAGCTGGGAGGGGTTTCATGTTAGTACGGCGCACAAATACGATCCGATCTAGTGTCTCTCGCCCGGGAACGTACTGCTGCGTGTTGCGGTTGTCGTAGACGATGACGGTGCCGGGCGTCCAGTGCACGCGCATGTGCCAGTCCTGACCGTGCTCGATGTGGTTGTACAGAAAGGCGAGGACCGCGGCGCTCTCCTCCGCCTTGAGGCCCTGGATGCGCCGCGTGTACAGGCGGTTGACGTACAGCGAGCGGGCACCGGTGACCGGGTGGGTGCGCACGATGGGGTGCAGCGTCTCGATGGGCTCGCGGATGTAGCGGTCGCGGTGCTCGTGGACGGCGGCCTGCGAGACGCCCGAGTGCACGGCGTACTTGCCGTGCAAGAATTCGCGGAACGCCGGCGACAGCGCGTTGTAGGCGGCCGTCGTCGACAGGTACAGCGTGTCGCCGCCCGAGGTGGGCGTGTCGAGCGCCAGGAACGTCGTGGTGCCGACGCCGTTGACCTCGTAGCTCATGTCCGAGTGCCACTTGATGCTGCTGGTGTTGTTGGCGATCTCGGGGTCGACGGCGCCGGCCACAAAGTCGCGGTACACCGGCAGCAGCGCCGGGTAGTTCTTGATGTGGCCGCCCATCTGGTGCACGTGCAGCCGGCCAAAGTGCTGCCCGTACGCGACCTGGCGGTCCGGCCCAATGTCGGCAAAGTCTTGCTCGTGGAACACGACCACGCCGCGCTCCGCCGCGAGCAGCGCCAGCTCGTCGAGCTGCGCCGGGGTCAGTGCACTGAGCTGCAGCGGCTTGCCGTCGCGCCCGCCGCGCACGTCGGTGCCGATGGCCGGCGTGATCTCCGCAAACGTGGCGCCGCTGTCGACCAGCAGCGCCTTCTTGGCCGGGTCGGCGCGCAGGCCGACGTCATGGTGCACAAACTCTTGGAGCGCCGGCTCCTTGACGAGCGTATAGTGCGGCAGGTAGGCGGCGTATTTGTACTATCTAGTTAGACGCTGTGGTTCTAGCTGTGCGTGGCCGTAGACAGGGCCCACCATACTTGTCCCTCTTTGTATTCGACAGACGTCTCAGCGGCCGCCTGCACGGGCGGTGTCTCGGTGGCCGGCGGGGCCGAAATGGTCTCTGTGGCGGACATGATGACACGTTGGCTTTGGTCTTGGCGTGACTGTTTCGACGAGGCTCGAGATATGTTCAATGCTCAATATTTTGTGCTCACGGGGGAGGGTTCAAAACGGCGGTTGCTGCAGCAAAGTGGAATGATGTGACCCGTGAGCGCGACTCTGCACCGCGCCATGCATTTATCTACAATCACGCCGTCGTTGGTTCTGCGGTCGACTCCCAGCACAGAGTCTATTGCGGCCACTGAATGTCCGGTCATCGGTGCCCACTCCGGCACACACTTTCCGGTCTGTTGCACCCTCTTGGTAATGCTCACCCCGCATACTTTGCCGCGATGACGAGCTCTGGCCGGTAGTTGACGACAGAGAAGCAATGGTCCGGGTCGCGTAGACATGACATGGCTCGATAAGCGATGAAGAAACGAGGTGTGTCGGAGGGTGCTTCGAAAAACTACTTGTTTGGGAAATGTAGTCAACGCCTCGTCGTCGACTGCTGTACCGTTAGGCCTGTACCCCGTATTCTGATGTTTCTTCTACAGGCGCGTCCTGATATTGACAATCACGAGATCGGCGGCCAAAGTGACGGCAGATGGCAGCCTTGCGTGCTGCGGCGATCCACCACTCAGGATGCAGCAAATTGCAAACGACGCCAATGTGCACTCTAGCGTTTGACAAGGTAGGATTGACTATTGATGACAAGGTCGCGTTGGTCGTATAAGTCAGCATGTGGTTGATATTGTAGATGCACTCTGCAGTCCATAAACCTGTCTCGCGTTGAATCTCTTATCCCTTTTTTTTATTCCCGCTAGTCTTCTTGTCAAGCATCGCGCATCGCGTATCCGACGCCAATATGGCGAATCGCCCAACACGCGCAGCTGTCTGCCACGTTTTACGCACGATTCACGCCTCTGCCATGCCCGTCATACTGTCACGGTAGTTGCCGTATGCATAGCACTGACAACTGGGACTTGGGTCGACCTCCGGCCATCACCTCCCGAAACAATTGCCCTTTTCGGACAGGAAGAGTAAACTGCATGCTCCCCGTCTGCCGGCTATCTCTTGAGAGTCTCTCCGACAGTCCAGTCGCCGGCCTATGAAATACTCCCATGCAACGATGACGCGCTTGCCCGCATATAACGTGTGAACAGGGCGGAATGACGACACTGATAGACAGCCTATTCGACTGCCGGTGCGCAATGACAAACGTGCGTCATGATATAGACCGCGGTGAACGTCGACGTCTCCTATGCCTCGTCCGCAGGTTATATAGTTACCGCGGAGGCGGAGACACGCGCATGCCGTCTATCTCGGTGGTCGAGACGTCGCACAACTGCCAGCCATGGCCTCCTCTTCGAGCAACTCTGTCGCGGACGACACGTCGCCCAGCAAGTCCAAATCGTCGGCCACCAGCCATGTCGTCACCGAAGTCGACTCAGACAGCGCTCTGGTCAGCCCTGCCTCCGCGGAGCCCCTGGCGCCACCAGCCAAGTCCACCTGGTGGCGATGGCTCGTTGGCCTCGTCTGGGACTCGGTCGAGGGCGATGCACGCAACCGCCGCTATGTCCAGAAGCTGGATCTCTTTTTGTTGTACGTTGTTTCCAGGAACAGTGACACGATATGTATATATGAAACAGAAGACGAAGAACCTGACCGTGCAGCACCTACATTTGCTTCGGCTACTTCATCAAGTACCTCGACCAGCAAAACTACAGCAACGCCTTTGTCAGCGGCATGCAGGCGGATCTCGGGCTCTACGGCAACGAGCGCAACTGGATCGTCACCTGGTTCAGCGTGGGCATCATGGTCGGCACCATCCCGTCGCAGATGATCCAGCTCGAGTACGTCCGGCCCTCCATCTGGATCCCCGCCTGTGAGATCGCCTGGTCCGTGCTCGTCATGGCCATGGCCGCCGTCAAGGACGTCAAGCAGCTGTACGTCCTGCGCTTCTTCGTCGGCCTGTTCGAGGCCTGCTCGTTCCCCGGCTACGCCGCCCTGCTCGGCGGCTGGTACGGACCTCGCGAGCTGACCAAGCGCGTCGCCATCTTTGAGCAGTGCAGCGCCATTGCCAGCATGTTCAGCGGCTACATCCAGGCCGGCCTGTACACGAGCATGAACGGCGTGCACGGCCTGGCCGGCTGGCGCTGGCTGTTCATCATGGACGGCGTCATCTCCATCCCCATTGCCGTCTGGGGCTTTTTTGCCATCCCCGACCTGCCGCACACCACGCGCGCCTTTTACTGGACCAAGGACGACAAGGCCTACGGCGTGCAGCGCATCGAGCGCATCGGCCGCGGGGCGCCGCAGCGCCTGACCTGGTCCGGCATCCGCCGCGTCTACACCGACTGGCGCCTCTGGGTCTTTTTGCTCGCCTACACGTTTGTCGCCATGGCCGGCCAGGGCACCAACTACTTCAACCTGTGGCTCAAGGCCGTCGGCTACTCCGTCGTCCAGGTCAACGTGCTGCCCACGGCCGGCAACGCCGTCAGCATCGTGGCCGCCTTTGTCTTTGGCATCGTGGCCGACCGCACCGGCCGCCGCCGCGAGGCCCTGCTCGTCATCCTCCTGGTCCTCTTCGTCTCCAACCTGCTGCTCTCTATCTGGCACATCCCCAAGGGGGCCATCATGGCCGCCAACTACCTGGCGTACATAGGCTCCGCCGCCCAGCCCATTGTCATCGGCTGGGGCAACGAGCTCAACGGCCACGACTCCAACCTGCGCCAGCTGCTCGTCGCCACCGGCAACATCTTTACCTACGCGCTGCAGATTTTCATCCCCGTCGTCCTCTTCCCCACCCAGGATGCGCCGCACTACAAATATGGCTACCAGATCCTGATTCTGTTTGGGGGCCTCGGCACCATTGGCACGTTTCTCTTGCAGTGGCAGCAGAACCGGCAGAGACGCCAAGGGGCGGTGGAGCAGGACGCCGCGGTTGTAGAGGCAGAGGCATAGTGGCTGTGCGTGCTGACAATGCAGTATTCAAAATAAGCATACAACAATAAAAATAAATCCCCCTATCTGACTTGCCAGGAGGTCCAACGACAACGGGAATTCCACACCTGATTTTGACTTGGCAGTGTGGCAGACGACGAGCACAATACAATGACATCACGCATTTTTGCCCGCGTTCTGCCTGCATTCTACCTGCGTTGTGCCAGTTTCGTTCATGTCACAATATCTGCGTGCTATTGTTTTCCCTGCAGAAGACACTTGTTCGTGGTTTGCTCGGTGTCCACCCTCTCGTGTCCGCAACTATCCCGCAGAGTGCTCTATATGCCGTTGATTTAACGTCCTTGGAAAATCTCGGCAAGGGTTCGGTATTCTTGCTGCAAAGTCTTTTGAATGCCCTGTTGCTTGGACGCTTTTGTCCGATGGGAGCCATATTGCAGCCAAGATCACATCCATGGCCCCCGCGTTTCGTGTTTCGTCTCCTATCAAGCACTCAATCAAAGCACTCTGTTCCCGTCGGGCATTTGTTCTCCATTTCTCTCCGAGAGGGGGGACACGCCAACAGCAACAGGTATAGAATATGGGCGGGCGGCAATGTACATGGACGGGTGCTTTGGTTGTGCCGGCGTGATGTGGAACGGAGGCAGTCCATCACCCGTCATTTTGCCGAGATCGGAAAGGAAAGATCACCGGAAGAACATCCGGATGAACTTCCGGTCAAGGCGTGTTCCGCTTTTGCACGATGCAAGATAATATAACAAGCAAGAGGCACCTGCACGCCTTGTCATTGCATCTGTTCTTCAGCCGACCGTGCCGATCGATCCGAGATGGACGCTGCACAGTTTCTTATCTATGCCTTGGCGCAATTGGATGCTGTGATGTCGTCAAACGTTGTCCCAAGCAACTGTTGTCTGTCAAAGGCGAGCGAGGGCACAGCATGGCCTCCGATACTTGTCTACGAAACTACAATATCGAATCTGATGCATGTTGAGGGGCGAGAGTTATCATTGTACATGATGCATGATTCGTTTGTTTGTTTGTCCATTTCGTGGATATTGGGTGTTTGTATCAACCAGACAAAATCTCCGCATCAAGATGCTTTATCACAGACCCTACATTGAGCCTCTTAATGACGGTGATATGTCTTGGCCGTGGTATACAACGGCATCTTAATTCCTGTGATAAATTCAACGTTGCACTGCAAATATCTGCCCGAGCGCTGGTGTGTTGTTTCAGAATCTAAAAAATTTAAAAATGTACGTAAATGTGCGGCATTGCTCAGCATTATGCCGTGTCATCAATAACGTTTGAGGACATGGGGGTGACCCTGGGCAGATACGTGCGCTCAGCACTGCAACTGCATCTGTTGCCCACCACAACGTGAGGCTCTCCATCGACGAATTGCTGTGGTTTTGAAAGTTAAGTGGTCAGGCACCGTAATGGTTACGAGGACCAAGTATTTTTTTCTTCTTCGTAAAGCCAACCAAATACACAATTCAAACAGGGAATCCCACAGTTCCACGCCCAGGCAGTTCGGATAAATGTGTGCGGCCCTTTTGCCCTTTTATCGTATTTTGCCTTGCCTGCTATGTTTCTTCCTCTGCTGATATTTTTCATACCGCGGCTCTACAGCTCGACTGCTGGCAACACGGCTCAAGTTGGGCGTACAGCCGTTCTATTTTGGACTGCCTGTTGTCCCGTGCCGTTTTGACCTCCCACGCCCACCCACAGTCGCCTTTATCCCGATGCATCTGCCTTGCGCCATGCCGAGACCTTCGAGAATCATTCTCCGTCCTCTCTGACCCCCTATCATTTGCTCTCCATTCCGTGTCTTATCGATAATGTGGCATAATTCCACTGTCCCTGTGTCCTCCCTGTATCTGCTGTCGCCGAATCTGTCCTCTTTTTGATGTCGTTGCCCAACAGATTTACATTTATTGACGCCGCAACGCACCAGCCGCAACGACCACGATAAAGCCAGATTATCAAAACAGACGTCACTCCACACCACGCGCGCCTGTAGATGTACTTTTATTGACCACTGTCCCTTTGGTAAGCCACCCTTATTACCGTGTATCGCCGTGTGATTCTGCCAGGACTTGTCCTCAACAAAATCAGACGGAACTGACGGGAGTCGGCATCGGGGCACTTTCACTCTTCCCACAGATCCAGTGCGGGACATTCTAGATTGCGCTGCAATTTTGTGCCATTCCTGTCGAGCTTGTCTGGATGTTTCTGTTCTCCTCCTGTCGTGCCCGTCTTCTGTTCCCTGCTTGTTGTCTGTGTTCCTCCTCTTAATCTACCCACATCTCGTGCACATTGCCTTGATGCTATATTCAATATCAGAGCTTTCACTCTACATTCTACATTGTATATCTATTATCTATCTATCCTCCTCCACTTCCCGCCGGTGTATCTCGGAGACAAAGTCCACCGCGGTCCCGTCAGCATATATCCGTCCTCCTCCCTGATGCGCCCATGAAACAAATCTAAAAGCAAACCACTGCCCACGACATCCGACGGCCATTGCATCCTTATCAATACCACTGCTCGGCGTTTCACAAGACGTCCTTTGCCTTCTGACACAAGCAGAGCCGCGTTTAGAGTGCGAAAGGCACAGTATCCACCGCCCGCTGCTCGGAAACCGTATTCTCGACCACGATCCACGACCACGATCCACGACTGCCAACTACGATCCGTCACGTCCTCCGAACTCGTCCTCCCGGTCGTCTCCCACACTCCGACAATGGCCATCGTCTCCCGCGCCGCGCCGGGCGAGCCCTTGGCCACGGCGTCCGCGACCAAGGACAAACCGCTCACGTGCGCGCCGCCGCCGCTGGCCAAGAAGATTGAGTTTGCCATCCACATGTACTCGCTGCGTGCCGTGCTGTCGGTGCCGCTGTGGGTGCGCAGCTGGCGCGAGTACTTTTACCCACCGACGGGCGGGCCGGACATTGTCAAGGCCTACGAGAGCCGCCCGGCGCTGCCGACGCGCATCTTCTTCCCGGCCGACTACGACCAGGGCAAGACACACACACCGCTGCCGACCGTCCTGACGATCCACGGCGGCGGCTTCTGCATCGGCGTCAACCGCGACGACGACGAGTACAACCGCGCGCTGGCAGACACGCAAAAGGTGCTCGTCATCAGCCTCAACTACAGCAAGTCGCCCGCCGTGCCCTTTCCGACGGCGTTGCACGACCTCGAGGCGCTGTACCACGCCGTCGTCGCCGACGAGTCGCTGCCACTGGCGCGGGCCGGCGGGCCGCCACACGCCCCGAGCAAGAGCAAAATCGCCGTCCTGGGCTTCTCCGCGGGCGGCAACCTGGCCCTGGCCCTGCCGCAGCTGCCCAGCATCCGCGACACGCCCAACGCGCCGTCGGCCGCCGTCAGCGTCTACGGCTGCCTCGACCTGTCGCGCGACCCGGCCGCCAAGCTGCGCAACCGCTTCTACAAGCCGGCCCTGCCGCTGCCGCAGGGCAGCCGCATCGACTCGCTGGCGTCGCTGGCGCCCGTCTTCGACTGGAGCTACATCCCCTACGGCCACGACCTCACGGACCCGTTGCTGAGCCCCGCCTACGCGTCGCTCAGCGACCTGCCGCCGCACGTCTATTTGGTGGCCGCCGAGCTCGACATGCTGGCCCACGAGAGCTGGCGGCTGGCGTGCCGGCTGGGCAACGAGGCGCGCCGGCTGCAGCAGAAGCCGACGGCGGGGGACCGCGAGGTGCCGGACCCGGACAGCAAGGTGGACCGGGTCAAGTGCGTGGGCAAGCGGGCGAGCAGCAAGCGCAAGGGGGCGCTGGAGCCGGCGGACGGCGGCGACGACCGCTACGGGTGGGCCGAGACGTGGGCGAGCGGCAGCGTCAACTGGCTGCTGGTGCCGGACGCGATCCACGGCTTCGACAACTTCAACATCCGGCAGGTCATGGGCGGCGAGGAGTCGATGCTGGACGCGGAGATGAAGACCAAGGCGTACGTGGAGCGCATCGGCGCGTGGCTGCACAATGTCGTGTGGAAGTGAGGGAGCTGTGTATGTGGTTGTCAGTAGATTATTGTGTTGTTTTGTCCTCATGTCTTTTTGTCATTTCGTTGGCTCTCTTGTTTCTCAATCATCTTCCGTTGGATAGAATGCAATGTATTTCGCTGGTTTCTGGTATAAACTAATTGTCAACCCTTCTTTTCGTCTGCATCTACTGCGCCATGGACAACAACTTTGTCCAGTCGTCCTCCCGGTCCACGCGGATTTCCAAGGGGCCCTTTTTCGTCTCCGCGTACAGGCGCACGCCCTTAAAGTAGGCCAGCACGCCGCCGCGCCCGTCGCCGCGCGTGGTCAGGCGATACAGCGGACGGCCCTCGGCGTGCACCTTTTTGCGCTCAGGGATGAACTGCACGTCGTTGGACTCGCACCATTCCTCAACGTAGTGGCGGATGGACATTTCTTCGTTTTCGGGGGCGGCCGGCGTCGATGTCGGCGTCTCCTTGTCGGCCTGTCGGTGGTGGCCATGGTGGTACCGACTGTGGTGCCCGTTGTGGCGGGACGACGACAACGACGATGACGCCTTGAGGGCCGGCCCCTTGCTGGGCGGCGCCAGGAACTGGCGAACACGGTCGGCATCGTAGACACCCGTCGTCGCATCCACGACGCCAATGTCCAGTGCCTCGTTGATCATGCCCAGCCCACGCTCAAACTCGGCCGCCACCGACGGCAGCCGCTGGATCGACGCCGGGAACACGTTGTCGGCCCACCACTGGAACCACTGCCCGATGCGGTCCAGCGACTCGTCCGCGTCCGTCAGCAGGTGGTACAGGGCCTCGTGCCACATGGGAAACACGTCGGCCACCATGACCTCGCCGACCATCTCGGGCGCCAGCAGCGCCAGCCACTGGAACTCGCCCGTAATCACCTCCAGGTAGCCGGCCTGGTCGCGCGGGTCGACGCGGAACTGGGCGCGGACGTAGCGCGCCATGCTCGGCAGGACGTGGGACATGACGAGCGGACGCCATTGGTCGCGCGCAGACGAGGCGGACGAGGCAGCCGACGTCGACGCGGCATCACCGGCACCACGTCCGCTGGGCCGCAAAACGGCCTTCCATTGCCGTAGACCCGGCACAACGCCCCGGTAAAATTCCCAGACGTCAATGAGTTGCCGGAACTTGCGCTTGACCTGGACCACGAGGCCGTCGGCGGCGGACGGGTCGACGTGGCGCGCCGGCAGGTACGGCAGCCAGGGGAAGAGCCAGAGGTGCGGCAGGTTCTGCGTCGTTTGCGCGCTGTGCCGGCGCCGCTTGGGCTCCCATCGGGCCACCGCCTCGTCGAGACGGCGCACAATGTCCTGCTCGAGCAGGTGCGCGCGCACAAAGCCGGGCAGCACGGGCAGCCAGGCCTCGTAGAGGGCGAGCACGCTGTCGGCGTCGTGCACGGCGTCCCAGGTGCGCACGGCCGCCGACACGTGCGGCAGCCACAGCGTGTACATCACGGCTTCGTAGGGCGTGGCCGTGGCCGCCTTGTGTTTGCGGAAGACAAAGGGATCGAGGCGGCGGCCCTTGGCCGCTTCGTCGGCCTCGAGCAGCGTACGCGCCGCTGCTGCGTCCGGACCAAAGCCGAGCAAGCCCTGGATCGACAGCAGCCCGTCCACCAGGTGTTGGTTGGGATCCTGGAGCGGCGCCCAGGCCTCGATGGCCTGCTTGAAGAGCGGGTGGAGGGCCGCCACGCAAATGTCGGCCAGCGCGTCTCTCATTTCGCTCATAGACGCTGGCGGGATGGTCTCGGCAGCGGCCTGCAGCTGCGCAATCGTGTGGTCCCATGTCGGTCGCCATGTGTTGGTTGTCTCGGTCGTATCGGTTGCATCGGCTGTATCGACCGTGTCACCTTCGCCATTGCGCATGCGGCCGGCCGTGGCACTGTGGTCCGCTTTATCTACCGACAGCTTGGAAAAGGCACTCGTCATGGCCGTGTGCGCCTGCAGGTTGACCTCGAGCTCAGCCAATTCCTGCCGCGCCTGCTGTGCCTGCAGCTCGGCAAACGCCTTGCGGTTCTGCAAGCTCTGCCACTCCTCGAGAATCGCCATGAAATCGCTCTGTGCGCGTCGTGCCAGCTTCCGCGCCTCGACCTGCTCAGCTGTTTCTGCGCCTGCAGCCGGTGAGCCACTGACAAACGGAGACGCTGCGGACGCTGTGCCGGCCGCCGTTCCGCTGGTCGGGGTCATGAGCCCCGACGACGATGTCAACAGTCGCTTGCCCGGTCCCGTCATGTCAAGAATGGGTGTAAACGCTTCGGGGATGTGCAGACCGGGCGCCGCCCGCCTGGCCTCGTCCATGGTCATGTACTTTTTCTTGGCGCGCCGCGGCGTGCTGGTGCCGCTGTTCGTGCCGCCGCTGCCACTGCCGCCACTCGCCAAGGCTTTCTTTCGGCGCGCAGCCGCGGCCGCATTGACCTTTCTCTCCTCTTCGTCCGAGTCGATGACGGCCTCGCCCCGCAGACGCGCCTGCCGCTTCTCTTCCTGGCGCTCCTTTTCGGATTTCTCGCGCACCGCGCCCAGACCGACACCCTGTGGCCGCAGGTTGGCCTCGATAATAATGTTGCGGCCCTGGCCCTCGCTGCCGAGACCGCGCCCCTCGACGAACCCCATCTTGGCCATCATGCGGGCGCCAAACGATTTGGCATTGAAACTGCTGCCCCCACGGGCGCCGCCACCAGCGCCACCGCGTGTCGGTTTGGAAGAAAAGGCGCTCGGCCGTGCCACCAGAGGCGGTTCTTTGGTCGACTGGCCCTGGGGGCGGAGGACGGGGTCGTACGCCGAGGACGGGACAAAGCCCTGGCCGAGCGGGTTTTGCGTGTCGATGTCGGCATCGTCGTGGGACGCCGAGCTGGCCGGCTGGAAGGACGGCGGTGGTCGCCGTTGGTTGCTGTGGCTGTTTCGGCCTCCGTTTCGACTGCTCTGGAAAGAGGCCGGCACGAAGCCAAGACCGGCGCCGCCCGCCGATTTGGATGCGTTGTCGGAGGCACCCCGCCCGAGCCCGCCGCGGACGCTGCCAAAGCCTAGGCCGATGCCCGGCGTCTCATCGTCGTAGTCGTCCTCCTCGCCGTCTTGCTTCGTGTAGTCTTCGCCGTCTTGCACACCGGCTGCGCGTTGCGCGGCGCTGCTTAGCCCAAACCGGCCGTCCTCTTCGCTTTCGTCGTTGTTGTCGCCATCATCGCCAAGATGGTCGTCCTTTTCGTCCTCTTCGCTCTCTTCATCCTCATCCTCGTCATCGCTTTCCTTCTTCGCGCCCGACGACACAAAGCTCATGCCCTGCTTCCGCAGCGGCTGCCGTTGCTTCCATCGCCGCTGCGTGTGGTCGTCCTCACTGTCGCTGCCAAAGATGCCCAGCGCCGCGCTCTCCTTGGCGTTGCGCCCCGTCCGTCGCCGTTTCCGCGGGTTGAAGTCGCCAAACTCGCCATCGCCGGGGTTCGTCGAGGGCATGCGGTATGTGTTGCCGTCGTCGTCCGACCCCGAGTCCGAGGACGAGTAGGCGTCCGCGCCGGCCGCGCCCTTGGCCACGTTGCCGGCGGCGGCCGCCGCACCAAACGAAAAGTCCATGTCGACTGCCTGTCGGGAGTGGCGTAGATGCAGACAGACAAGGTTGTCAGTGTTGGACGAGTGTCGGTGGACGGGTGTCGTCGATGATAGAATCGTCGTGTCAATTCTTGTGTGGCAACTTTGTCGTGTCGTTTGCCTGCTGGCGCGACCCAAAAGAGTCCCTGGCCAGTAATTTTTAGCGCTTGGCCAGCGCCATGCACCGCGTTATCTTATCGCTCCACATATTCTTATGTCAGCATTCATTTTATGGTGTACATGACAACCACATAACATAGTATTCACGTTGTCGTACTGCAGTTTGCGAAACGATGATGTAAGTCAGAATGAAATTGCTAGTTCGACAATAAATAATACATCACTCCGTCGGCTCATTGACATCGACGCCCTTCGCCGGCGGCCAGAATGACAAATGGCGGTGCTCGTCTTATGGGATCACCGCTCGGGCATTTCGGGCAGCTTTGGAGCCTAACTTAGGTGCTGCATGGCGCTGCATGGCGCTGCAAGGTGCTGCAGCGAGGCGCAGCCGCACGCTAACGCCACGGCAGTGGGGGTTCTGTCAAGTGAGCCGCCAGCCTGCTGCGATATTCCACAGCCTTGCCTGTCGCCCATATTCGCCCATGCTTTCCTGTCTGCTTCCGCTTCTGCCTCTGCTTCTTCCGTCTTTCCAACACAACAAACCAACACAGCAAATCCACAATGGCCTCCACATCCGACGATGCCACGTCGCCAGAGACGGCGTACAACGACCTCAAGCGGCTGACGCCCTCGCTGGCGGCCGAACTCGATCACCTGCGCGCGTCGCTGCGCGAACACAATCTGTGGCTCCAGCGCTACGGCCAGGGCCAAGGCCAGAGCGACGACGAGGCCCTGGCGGCCGTTCCGGCTGGGCTGCCGACCCTGACGACGTCGAGGCCGGCAGAGCCGGCATCCGAGACAGTGGCGCCGCAGACGACATCGGCACCCGCCCCTGCACGCGACCGCACCACCTCGCCGCCACCCGCCTTTACCCCAACTCCGCCCACCGGCCCCACATCAACATCAGCATCAACATCCACATCCACTCCGTCCTCCACCCCAGTGGCACAGCAGCCCCCCTCGACCTCCCATCCACAGCCGTCTCCGACTGCCCCAGCGACACCTGCGTCGCCCGACATCCCGTCCTACTCGTCCGCCGTCGACAACACGCTGCCGCCCTACGCCGCCTCCGAGGTGCCCCTCTACAGCAGCGCCGTCCGCGATGACGTCCAGCAGCGCCGCGACCAGCTGATGGAGTACCTGCGCGAAGGCGAGGAGGTGCTGCGGGACTACTCGGCGCGGCTGGCCGACCTGGCGCGCGAGCTGGGGCGGCCGGCCGAAGACGCGGACGCGCTGGGCACCTGGAACGAGGCGGCGCCGGACAACGCGCTGCCGTCGTACACAATGATTGAGGGGCGCGAAGAGCTGATGGTGGGCGGCGTCGGGGAGGTGCCGCCGACGTATGCACGAGGGTCAGCGGTGGAGGCCGCTGGGCGGGGATAGGTGCGAGGTGAAGGCGTTGTGTCGCTGTCTACAGTACGTCTATAGTATGAGGTTACGCCTTGCATGAATACATGTTTACATTGAACAAGTCCATTGTGCACCGTTCTTTTCGTGAATGGGAAAACCGCGTCCCGTATTGTTCTTGTTTTGGTCAAATTCCATTCGTCTCTAATTGGACCAGGCTATGTCAGAGCTTCTGTTCTGATCTCCGAGGTAAAAGGTCAATAAAGTAGAAAGGGAACGCGAATTCAAGTGTCAGGGCACAAACTCAGACAACTTCAATAAAACAAGCAAAAACAAAGAGTAAAAAAGAAGAGGATCGGACCAATAGCATCTATATGAATCAGAATCAGAATCTGGACTGTGCTTAAGAGAACTAACAAGCCACGAAACACAAGCAGAACCGCGTACCACCAACTAATCCATGGCGTCCAGCCCTCTGAAGATGCAAACAACAGGCGACACTGCTCAAGGCATGGTGGGCGTCAGACCCGTCACGCGCTGGATGTCCTCCAGCACCCACTCGATGGGAGTCGTGAGCGTGATGTCCACCACGCCGACTTTGCGGCCCTCTGCCTTGTCCTCGTCAACGGCAGATCGCACACCAGGGTGCATGCCGACGACGGTCACCGCCTCGTCGGCACCAACACCGGCGTCGAGCATGCAGACGATGGCACCCGTTGCGTCAAAGACGCACGCGCCAGAGTCGCCCCCGAGGCTGAACAGCTCCGGGTAGGATTTCGTGCCACGCCGGTCCCGCTCACAGACAAGCCCCAACACCGGCCAGGACCACGAAACGATGTCGTTCTCGCCGGGCACGGGTGTGCGTAGGACGGCTTCCACCGGGCTTAAGAAGCCTATCGACACGCCTGTAGCAGCACCACGCTTGTAGACGTAACGGGTGGGGACCCGTCCGTTGTCGGACTGTTTCCGGCCCTGGTCGTTACTGCCGGCACCCTGTTGCGCCGTAGGCGTGGTTATGTCGCGATCGGCACTCTCCTCTCTCTTGTCATGCGCGGTGGCCCGTGGTAACGACAAACGGACGAATCCCGCTCGGTCGCATTTCGCCGCCAAGGCGTAACGCTCGGACTGGGCAATCTTCAGCCTCCTGGCATCCAGCTCAATGCGAGCAAAAAAACGGCCAAAGTAGGCGTTGTTGGTGTAAAAGGGCGGTGCCCGGACAGCAGGACCCTCGATATCCGCACCGCTCGGACTGGGGCCCGGCAGCGGCCCGGTGTGGTCGAGCTTGACCAGAGCCCAATCGTTCCAGCCGCTCTGGCGGTTGTGGCGATGGGCACCAGAGAATTCGACATGTCCAAGGGACCGGTGGCATGCAGCGTCGCTGTCGTTGTCGCTGTTGCTGCTGCTGTCCCCTTCCCGGGAGTCGAAATTGTCGGTGTGGGCCGCAGATTGCAGCGCATGCATCGCCGATGGGATGTAGTCACGCACGCAGGCGTCGCCGAGTTGCAGCTGCGCAAAGGCCAACTCGTCGCTGTCGTGGGGGGCCACGTGCTTGCGAACAAAGTGGAGCCGCCCATGCAGCTCGCTCGCAGTCTCTTCCAGGAGGCGGCGGCTCTCAGCGATCTCGTCGCTGCGTCCCCATGAAACAGGGAGCGCAGGATATTCTGTCGGGAGGCCTCCTTCTGTCACTTTGCCGGTGTTCGGAGGCGCTAGATAGTCGCGGCCGTGCGCAAACTTGTCGCCGACCACAACGTGGCGGGAGGCAAGGCCGTACAGGCCACCATGCAGCGAGCCGTCTGCGGCGGTCAGACGCAAGTAACAGGACAAGGTCCCGGAGAGGCCTTGATTCTTGTTGTCGGGTGCCACCTGTTGAATGCGCTGGCCAGGGTATGGGAGAAATCGCACAATCGGGTCATTGACCGCCTGCATGACAGGAGCAAGATGGTGCATGTATACAGCACCGGGGCCCGTCTCGCCATAACGGCCATCAAACACATCGAACAGCGGTGGCAGGCCGCTCTTCTTTGGCTCAGGGGAGGATGACGAGGAGGACGACGACGACGAAGATGAGGAGGGCGGAAGAGGGACGGAGCACGGTCCTGCATCCGGCTCGTGGGGAGCGGCACCGGCACCAGAACTGGCATCGGTTTCGGCGAGCGAGATAAGACCGAGCTCGGCCACATACACGTGCACGTGGGCGCCAATGTGGTCGGCGACGACGGCACGGCAATCGGTCGCGGCGGCAAGGCCGTTCTGCCAGGTACACGTTCCGCGGCGCACGCCAACGAGCAGCGAGGGCACCTTGTCGGCGGCCTGGGCTGCCAAAGCAGTCCACTTGGCGGGCTCCTTGCTCTCGTCATGCCATGCGGGGCGGATCACTGCCGCGCCGAGAACCACGGGCAGCAGGATCGTCCAGTCTGCGCCGTGCTTGGCCAGCGTCGTCCGGAGCGCGTCCGTGACGGCGGTCTTGGCCGTGTTCCACCGGTCGACAAAGTCCCGGTCGGAAACCACTTCCATCTCGCGATACAGAGGCGCGATCCATGGTCTCTCGGCAACGTCTGTTCTGGCAACCAGACGCGGCCGGCTCAGCAGCCCATAGAAGAAGGAGGCAAGCTCCTCTTCGGATGGCGGCTCCGCGGCTGGCGGCTCCAGGACGTTGGCTTCGGAGTGGTCGGATGCCATGGTGGGAGGCGGCACACTGTGGTTGGGAGGGGCAAGGGACAGAGCGGCTTGGGGTCTCTAGCCCCTGGTGTTCTGCGACTCGTCCGTGCGCTCTTCGGAGTCTGGATTCTCGTTTTCGTGGCGTTTTGCCGGAGAGATTGGCCCGCTTATGGACCGCCTTTTCTTCTTGTTCTGGTCGTGATCCTGCATCGTGCTACGTCTAACTGGCAGCATGGAGGTCGGGAAAGGGTGGTGGTACGATCAAGAAGAAAGAGACGACGTGAAATGGTGATGTAGCAATGGTGATGCAGAATGACGATGCACCAGCCTCGAAATAAGTAAAAATGGGGGAGACGGAGGAGAAGTGGTCGTATTGTGTGCAATGTAAGGGCAGGTGCGGGACGAAGTGACACGCAGCTGCAACCGTTTATATAAGGACCGGTGACTCACGTTTGTTGATGGCTGCGTAGTCATGAATCAAAGTTCACAGCCGCGTCTTGTGATACCAGGCGAATGCGAATGTTTTGTGTCTGTTGGGGTCGAACTAATTTTGGCGGCAGTATCGCCTCACCGCCTTAGCTCGGTCAGCAAGGCTTAAATTTCAGTTTGACGTCATCCTTATTTTGGGAGTATCAAATAACGTATCAAATAACGTAGTAAACAAACGCGTCTGTGAATCACAACTTGGGCAGCACGTCGTTTACGATATTTTTGGATAATTCATATTTATTGATGAATGCTTATATATAGTCGAAAAAGAGTGGATTGTTTCTCCTTTAACGAGAACAGTTCGTATGAATCTAAAATAAAAATAATACATGTGTCAAAAAAACAAAATAATAACAACAACAATAAGAACAACAAAACCAATGTCAGGCAATGAAAGAAAATAAAATGGAGGACAAAATAAAGATATGTTTTCGTATTTATATCATACATTTCAAACAATTTGTGAATGAGAATTCGTATTCTTAAATATGGAAGTGGCAAAAAAAATAATCATAAACAGATAAAAACAAAAACCAGGTCCGCTATTTCATACATGCAATCGTCTCGCTGGAAAATCGTACAGTACAATGACAATCCCGTTTCGCTTGTTTTTGGCAACAATTCCTACCCTCTCTCTACTCTCCACGCGACCGCCGGTTAAACTCCTCCACGGCCACGGCCACCATCCGGTACAAAAACGCCCGGCCGCTTTCCTCGGCCATCGGGATAAACGGCCCGTTCATGTTGCCGCGCAGCGTGATGCTGAGACCCGTGCGCTCCTTGGCGATGCCCTGGATGTCGCGCAGCGGCACGTCCCACTTGGTCGTCAGCTGGCGCGACCGGATCAGCAGGATGCGCGCGTACGTCACCATGGCCACCATGTCCTCGAGCGGCAGCTCCAGGTGGCCAATGTACACCTCGTCAAAGTACTTGCCGTCGTCGACCTGCTTGAGCCAGAACTGGCCGAGCGCCTCGCGCTGGCTGTAGGGGCGCACAATGCCGTCGGCCGGCACAAACCGCGTCAGCCGCACGCGGTCCAGCTCCGACCCGTCAAAGACGGTCGTCGTGTTGCGGATGCCCTCGGACACGTTGCTGGCCAGGTCCAGCACGCCAATCACGGGCTTGGTGGCCACGCCAATCACGCCCTTGCCGATGCCCTTGAAGAAGCCCAGCGCGCCCTCCTGCTCCGCGCCCTCCAGCGGCTTGCGCGCCAGGCCGCCGACGCCCGACGCCACCGACGTGATAAACGAGTTGGCGCCCGCTGTGACGCCGTAGAGCGCGTGCTTGGGCCGGTTGCGCGCCCGCGTGATCCGCCGCCGGTCCTGGAACTGCTTGTCGAGCGTGGCCGCCGCGAGGCCCTTGGACATGGCGCCCGTGAACTTGGACACCGAGTCGCTGAAGCCGTACACCGACTTCTTCATAAACGACGTGGCGCCCCGCGCCAGGCCCATGCCCAGGTCCTCAGGCCGGTCCGACATGATCAGGCCCTGGTACGGCTCGTAAAAGATGTCCGTGATGCCCGACGAGATGTTGTTGAACAGGCCCACCGGGTTGCCCAAAAAGTCCGCCGAGCCCAGGATCTTGTGGATCTGGTACAGCGCCTCCTGGCTGTAGTGGTTGGACACGTTCTGCGTCAGCACGGGGATCGACACGCGCACGTTTTCGAGCAGGAGCGCGTTGAGCCGCAGCGGCGCGTCGTTGACGTTGCCAATGGCCATGGTGATGATGTTGAAGAAGAACATGAGCGGGTTGCGCGACGACGTCTTGTCCTGCACGTTGACGCGCTCCGTGCGCACAAACGAAATGTCGAGCTGCATGGGCTGGATGTTGAGCATCTCAAAGTACATGTCGCGGCCCGACTGCTGCGCCTTGGGCTCCGGGATGCCCAGGCTCTCATCGCACAGCTGCCCGTCGACATCCTCGGCGTCCCACGACGCCCCGGGCGCCTTGGAGAAGTCCAGCACCGCAAACACAAAGTCTTCGTCCAAGTCCAGCGTCATCTCCTGCAGCAGAATCGTCGCGTACTTGATGTACTCGACGCCGTACGAGTCGTCCTTGACGCGCGTCACCATGACGTGCAGCGACGGGTGTGCCTCAATCTCCTGCGCACGCTTGGGCACCACGCTGGGGTACAGGATCATGGGGAAGATGCCGCCGTAGAGCTGGTTGTCGATCTGGATCCACTTGATGGCCATGCTCACCGTCTGGTACTGCACCGAGTCCGTGTACCGCAGCTGCAGCTCGCGGAGCGTAATGTACGCCAGCTCCTTGAGGTGCGCGTTGATGAGCGACACGCCAATGCCGGCCAGGCGCAGCTGCGCACGGAATGTGACGCCCTGGTCCTGCTCCTTGGCCTCAAAGCTCGTTCGGCTGCGGTCGCCGTCAGCGCCGCCGCCGCCCGTATTGCTTCGTGCCAGGCTGGCAGACGACGACGTGACGTGGCTGCGTTGGCGGTACAGACTCCGGGACTGCTTAAAGTTGGACAGCAGCATTGTCTGGGTCGGCCCGTCGGCCGTCACGTTGATGTCGATGATCTTGGCCTGGCCGCTGGCCGCCACAAACTTCATAGGCAGCTGGTTGCCAATCTCGGCCAACTTGACGTGCCGTTCTTTGCCAAAGGCATTGATGACAATCTCGCGCGCCTTGGCGGCCGGGAAGTCCCAGGCGTACGGCATGATGCTGCGGGGCGGCAGGCGGTACCGGATGGGCCGCCAGCCCGACAGGTCCTCCACGCCGTCCTCGTCGACGTTGGGGTTGGCCTGGTAGAACGTGAACTCGGTGTCGCTCTCGTTGCGCATCGAGAACGGCCAGTTGCGCGTCTCCATGCTGAGGTTCAGGAAGATGGTCGCGCCCTCCATGAGAATCTCCGTCCGCACCAGCTTCTGGCGCTGGCCCGGCTTGGCGAGCTTGATGTAGGCCGTGCCGAGGTCCGAAATGTTGAACGGCGACGACCACTGGCTGTTGACGTCGGGGTACGAGAGGCAGAGCTGCTTCACCGCGCTCTTTTGGAGGAAGTGCAGCGGCTGCAGCGCGCCCGCCTTGATGGGCAGCACATGGGACGAACTGGGCTCGCGGATGTTGAGGGCCTCGTCGAGGTTGTTCTGGATGACGAACCGCGGCGACAGCGTAACAATCTTGGTCATCTTGTACTTGCCCTCGCCGGGCTCGACGTTGATGCCAATGTGGATCTCGGTGCCGCGCGTCCGCGCCGACTGCAGCACCACCTCGGCCGAGCTGCCGATGGCGTCGAAGCTCTGCGGCTTGCTCCACTCCGAATCGCCGACACGAAGCAGCGCACGGTTGCGGTTGTCTTCGGTGGCATACGAGAACATGAAGGGCAGGGCGCGTGCATGGTCGTTGCTGCCGTGCGGTGGCTCGATGAGCATCTGGCCCGCGGCGGACCGCGCCGGCTGCATGAAGCCCTTGGACCGCACGTCCATCTCGAGCGCCGTCTTGTTGAGGATGACGTACGGGCTGTAGACGGTGACCTTGAACGCGCCGCCGGCGTCGGGAATACGGTAGTAGTGCAGGCACAGGTTCAGGACCAGGCCGGCATCGTCTTTGCAGACGAGCGTCTTCTCCTTGTGGAAATCCTCCGCGGTGCCCCCGTTGATGATGGCAAACTCGCTTGGCTTGAACACCGTGTCCTGCATGTCGACGCTCAGAAGGAGCAGATGCGACAGCTCCGTGACGTGGACCGGGCTGACGCCGCCCTTGCGCAAAAAGTTGGTCCAGTCGCGCTTGGTGTTTTTGTCGTAGATGCGGTACTTGAAATCGTAGGGCAGGAGGTTCTCGAGGACGACGGGCGCCGACAGCTTGATGCGCATGTACGGGTAGTTTTGGACAAGCGGGTTGCCGCGGTCGAAGTTGGCATTGACCTGGAAGAAGAACGAGTCGCCGCTCTCGCCCTTGCAGACCATCGTGCGCGTCGGCCGCTTGAGCAGGTCGCGCCACCACAGCGTGTCCGTCGACCAGTCGAAGCCAAAGCCCGAGTCGGGGCGCACGACCAGGCTCTTGAGATAGACGGCGCCGACGGGAGCGGGGCGCGCCTCGCCTGGTGCGATTTTTTCAATCTTGAGGAGGTGGCCTTCGCGCGCATCGTAGACGCCGATTTCGACGGGCAGCTGCGTCTCGTTCTCGACCACCAGCGGACTGCGGAACGTCACGTACTTGACATTGTCCTCGCCCAGCTTGACGTCGACCAGCAGGCGGTGCAGGACCTGGTTGCTCTTGGGGCGCAGGCCAAAGATGAACTGGCCCTCGCGGTTGAGGCGGATGCTCTTGACCGGGTCGAAGCCGGAGCTCTCCAGCAGGACCTGCACGTTCTGCGACTGGGACTCGACGATGAGGTTCTCGCGCATCTTCTCCCACTGCTCGAAGCTCCAGGGTGCCTCGTCGCCGTCGTCGAGGCGCACCGTAATGTCTTCGTTGGACAGGGTGCTCCGCGAGCTGACGACGATGCCGAACCCGGTGTAGTTGCGAATGCGGTACGGCGCCTCGGTGCCTCGCGCTTTGCCGAGGACGTCCTGTGGTGTCTGCATCAAAAACGCAGCAGACTTGGATGCGAGGGCAATCGACGACGAGGTGATGGTAATGTCAAAGGTCTTCTGGGAGGCGACGTCAAAGGAGAAGACGCCGGTGTCCTTCTCGCGGCCGACGCCAATCGACACCTCCCACGGCTCCACCAGCGGCTCCCAGGCCGACTTGGCAAAGTTGTAGACGTTTGTGTAGAGGCCAATCATTGTGTCGGCCCGCAGGTTCGTCGACCAGTCCTCGGCCACCACGGTAAACTTCTTGATGCCGAGGTCGAGGATCGGCAGTTCGTGGAGGTCGCCAATCAGCACGACGCGGATGCCGTCAATGGTCGCGTGAAGCGCCTCGTGCCGGACCACGGCGTCCGCTGGGCTGTCCGCCCCGCCGTCGTGCTGCCCGGAAGCCGACGTGCGCCGGTCCTTGGGCTGCTGCAGAGCGACGCCGCCACTGAGGGCCCGGCTCCGCCGTGAGATGTTGGTAAGAGCAGCGCGTGTCGAGGCTGCTGCGCCCGCGGCAGCGGTCGACGGACCGCGGCCGCTGGCTGTGCGCTGCTGGATGCCTTCTTGGCGCAGTTTCTTGGCCTTTTGCTCGGCGGCTGTTGGCTTGTGCTTCTGCACGTCGTCGTTCCCAGAGAGCTCGGACGCTCTGCTGATGATTTGCAGGACGAGCAGGATGTCGCGCAAAGACAGGCGGAGCACGAGGGGCTCAATGTCAATGCTGAGGTTGGTCAGGTCGGGCTTGGAGCTGTCCAGGGAGAGCAGAACCGAAAAGTCATCAATGATGCGGAGACGCGAGTCCTCGAAGCGGTCCATGCGGCACAGAAACATGCCCACTTCCGACACTTGGAAGGTCAAGGCATGCTGCTGCGACAAGAGCACCTGCTTTGTGCCCAGGACAATGGCCTCGGACGAGGTGCTGAGCGGGTTGGCGATGAGGATGACCTGGGCATCCACCACATTAACGCGAAAGGCAACGGTAGTCCTCTGTGCGGGCACCGATTCCGGCTCGTCCGGTTCGTCTGCTTCGCCCGGCAGCTCTTGCTCGCCCGTCGTGGGGTTCCCACTGCCCAACCGGGACGGACCAGACGGCCGCCGTTGTGACCGGCTGCGCTCGGTTCTCGATTCGCGGCTGCCCTGCGGCTGGCCCGACTGGCCAGTAAACGTGACCCGCATGGAGTCCACGTCCGACTCCTCGGGCGTATCTGCTGGGCTGGGCAGCTCGTCAATGGCCGCGGCCGGGGGCTCTTCCACGCGCATGCCGACGGACACAAACTGCTGAATGGCAAAGAGGTAGTCGAGCGCGAAGATGACGCGGGGGCTGTCGACGGCGACAATGGCAATGATGCTGCGCTCGTTGCCGCCGGTCATGGTGATGCTGGCCATGAACTGCTGCACCTTTTTGTTCGACGAGGACATGATCCGGCGATACTTGTTCGTCTCCCCCGGGCGGCTGTCATGGATGGTAAACGAGTCAATGACAAACTCCGCCTCGAGCGAGCCGTTGGCCTGCATCCGCAGCTTGAGCTTGCTATCGTCGAGCGAGAAGCGGGACAGGCTGGCGCTCTCCATGTTGTCGACGGGACGGTCCTCGTGCGCATTGATCAGCTCGAGGCCGATGGTCTTGATCTTGAAGACGAGGTCCAGCTTCGTCCACGTGTCCGAGTGCGAACCCAGCTCGGGGCCAAGGTCAATGAGCTGCCCGTCGCTGTCTGTGCCGGGGGCCTGGGAGGCGTGGGCCTGTTGGATTGCTTGTGCGCGCTTCCGATCCCGGTCATCGAGTTCGTTTTCGACTTCTTCGTTCACGCGCTGCTGGTCGTCCTCGTCGGGCACAAAGGCCGCCGGCACCGCCTTGCTGATTTCCAGGAGGAACTGCATCTGGTATTGCGTCAGGCGCAGGTTGAAATCGGTCATGTGGCCGACAACCTCGGTATCGGGCCGTTTCAAATGGGGCTTGTGGTCGGCGTGGGTGACTTGGAACGCCACGTCGACATGGTCAATGAGCTCCAGCTCTTCGGACCGTTCGTCCGGGTAGTGCAGGAGGGACGTCAGCCGAATGTTGCGGATACCCGCAGACATCTTCATGGCGACCTCGGCGTGCTCGGAATCGTCGAGCGGCGCGAACTTGTTTTGTGCGTAGATCTCGCCCAGGTAGGCGGTCAGCAGGTCACGCTTGGGCCGGCCGGGCAGAACAACGCGTGGGAAGACGACAATGGGCGTGTTCACGACCACGTCGAACTGGATGCGGTTGTTGCTCTGCTGCAGCTGCGTGGCCTGGTGCGCGGCGGCCTGGCGGGCGGCGTTGTAGATGGCCTGCATCTTGCCAAACTTGACCAGGAAGGCAATGATCTTGCGGAAGGGCTCCTCCAAAAAGTTGACCTTGATGGACCCAGCCCGCAGGAAGATGGACGAGTCGTAGCCGGGATACGTTTTCTTGTTCTTCACATCAAACGTCTCGTAGCGGAAATCAGCAAGGTCGTCGCCTTGGATCGTGATGAGCTGGCGAAGGGGCGAGTCCTCGGGCACACCCAGGTTGACGTCGTCCCGCAGGCTGAGGTTTCCCAGCCGTGACGAGATGCGCATTGTCCCGTCGAGGAGGAAAACGCCGACGTCGGCGTGGTTGAATGCCAAGGTGGCCAGTCGGATGCCGTCGTTGTTGAGGATGAGCCGAATGCTCTTGAGGTCCACTTTGACACGGATGGCACCGCCACCCCCGCCGGCGGCGCCAGCTTCCGCCTGCGACCCTGTTGGGGAGCCGGGCGTCTTGTCAGAGTCTCCTTCTGTCTCGTCGGCGGGGAGAAGACTACGGTCGGCATCGGCGTCGGCGTCGGCATCGGCGTCGGCGTCGGCATCGGCGTTGCTGACCGGGGTACTGTCGTCTGGGGCACCACCGTTTGTAAACGTGATGAGGACAAAGTCGAGCAGCGTCAGCAACGTCTTGCGCGTGACAATCAAGTTGATCGTGGAGATGGCGACATTGACATTCGTCTCGATACCTTCGTAGACGGGCATGAACTCGGGCGACTCCTTCTTGACGCGCACAAACTTGACGTGCACCAGGGCGCGCTGCTGTTCGCGGTCCTCGACGTCGCCCGACGAGACGATGGATTTGAACTCGGCAGACGGGTTGGAGACAAAGTCGTCGACCGTCACGGACCCCAGAGACACCTCGGCGACCATGTCATACGGCCGCAGGTAGAAATCGAGATCGAACCGGTGGGCCACGAGTTCCACGAGCAGGGTATCGGGCTTGACGCCGTCCGGGTCGCTTCGGTAGAGCGAACCACGCAGTTCGTCGACCGCAAAGGTAAACTGGAACGTCTTTTGCTGCATGCGACGCTGTTCGGTAGCAGAGCCGCTGTCGGCGTCTTGGAAGCTGTCGTCGTCGTCGTCGTCATTGTCGTCGTCGAGGACAATGGCTGTCTCTTCCGGGATGGTCAGCGACAGGAGCTGCGACGTAGGGCGCTGGCTGCTCCGTTTGTTCGATGCGCTAGACGCCGAGCTCAACAAACGGGGCCGGCCCTTCTTGGTTGGCCTCGTGTCTTGGGCGCCATCGATGCCTGTGCCAGGCAGTGCAGCAGCGCCTTCCGCTTCGTCGTCAAACCGGGGAATGGCGACGTCGATGATGCGCATGAGGCTCTTGTATTTGGTGTCCGATACAGCCGCGTGGAGCATCGGCATGTGTCCCGACACCTTCACCCGCGTCAGATTGGGCGCCCTGGGCAGGATGGATACGGCAACGATAAAGTCGACGTTGATTTTTTCGACGACGTGCATGCGCAGCTCCTCGTCCTTGTCCGCCAGCTGCGCCTTTGTCTCTTCTATGGACGGGCCGATGAGGACTTGGGTGGACGTCAACTTCACGGTGAACCGGTCGTACATGAGCGACTCGAGACGCTGGAAGTCGGCCGCCGTGTAGGCACCCCTCTCCTTGGACTGTACGTCTTTCATGGTATCCTTGTCGACCAGTTCACTGCTGACGCTAATGTGACCGGCATCGAGGATGAGGCAGGTGGACTTGCGGGTGGTGATGCTCTGGGGGACAATGATGAGCGGGGCCTGGAGGTCGAGTTTGGCATTGATGGTCTTGTGCTCTTCGAGGGCAAACTCCAGACCGGCCCGCGTCTGCTCGCGCAGGCCTTCGACAGTCGCACCGGCCGACTCCATCAGTGCCGTGATGGACTCCATGTGGCGCTCGGGGGGCTTGAAGAAGTGCCAGACGCCAATGACAAAGTTGGGATTCCAGACGATCTCGAGCGGCTTGAGCTTGCCGCGCACAGCAATGTCGCCCTCGCCGTCCAGGGGGTTCTGCTCGACCTGGAACCAGAAGAATGCTTGCTCGTCGCTGGTGTCGGCCGTCGTCTGCTCGAGCTCGCTGATGGACAGGCGTTTCTTCTTTCTAGTCGTCACCACAGTACCGGGGGCGTCCTTGACGCGGACGATCTCGGTAAACAGGCTCTCGGGAGTCGTTCCGTCGTTGACGCGGAGGCCGCCGAGGCTGATGTCGAGCATCATCGAGTCGGGCCGCTGGATGGCCTTGGCGCGGAAGCCATCAAAGTGCAGACTGAGCAAGTCGGTGATGGCGCTGCCGTGCGGATTCTGCTTGAGAGTGAAGCTGCCGGTACTCAGCGACGTCTCAATCTGCAGCTTGATGGAGTCTCGCGGCACGTCGACCTCGGCAGCCAGCGCGGTCTTCTCGTCCCAGTCGATGGCGTCGTACAGTTCTTGGCGCTGCTGCTCGGTCATCTGTGTATTCTCGGACTCGTCGGCCGGCGGCTCGGCAGGCTTGGAGCCCCAGACCCATGCCACCCAGCCCTGCTGCTGCTGTGGCTTCTGTGCATCGGCCTTTGGCTTGAGGGCGGCTGCGTTCTCCTTTTTGAGCTGGCTGCGCGCCAACGACCGCCAGAAGCGCAAATCTTCGTAGCCGAGCTTCCACTCCAGTTTGGTAAGGTCGTCAGACTCTTCAGGCGTCAGCGTCTGGTTCTGCTTCTTCTTCTTGAAGAGCTCAATGTAGCGTCGGCGGTCGTCACGGCGCTCGCGGAAGTAGTCCCAGGTCCAGCGGCGGTTGCGCTCGTGGATTTTGCTGAGGACGGCGTCGCCGGCAAACTTGAGCCACGCGCGCGGGTCGTCCTTTGGCCGGACGTCCTTGGGCTGGTATTTCTTGTACTCCTGGTGGCGGATAAAGTAGTGAAAGAGGTCGATCATCATCAGGGCATCGCGGTACTGCTGGTCGTCGAGGACCACACCGATCTCGTCAAAGATGAGGTTGGCCTTGAACTTGGGCGCGTTAATGTTGCCCGTCTTGTCCATTTCGACCTTGGCCTGGCCGCTGACGGGGCGCAGGATAAACTGGTGGCCTTGATGGTCGCGCGGGGAGACCTTCTGGGCCGTCTTCTCGTCGGACCCGCCATCGCCGCCGTCCTCCTCGACAATCGTGTCTGCTTCTTCGGCCGTGTCGGCGTCTGTCGTGGCAATCATCGCCTTGAACCGCCGTAGGATCTCGTCATGGGACGCGTTGTCGGCGCCTTCGACGGGGGCCTCGCGGCCGGAGCCAAGGAGTTTTGTGTCGGTGTTCCAGTAGACGGCGAGCGCGCCGAGTGTGACGAGCTTGTTGGTCGACTTGAGGACGGCCTGGATAAAGGCCGGACGCCAGCCCTCGTCGGTGCTGACGGCGCTGAACTCCTCGAGGGTGACGCCGAGGGCGAACGGGTGGCCCGGCGCGGAAATGGAGTCTTCGTAGCGGATGTGGATGTTCTTGACGGAAATCTGCAGATTGTCGACAATCTTGGTGACGAGGCTCTGCGTGAAGCTCTGGCTCTTCTGCTGCTCTTCTTGGCTCAGGCCCTCCTGGGACCGCTCCTTGAGCAGCTCGGCCGAGTCCAGCTTCTCCATCTTGAGCCGCTGCTTGCGGCGCTCCTCTTCTTCCTCGTTGTACGCGGCCTCCTCCTTAGGCGAGGCGAGCAGAAAGACATCCTCGATGTAGATCTTGACGGGCGCGCCGCTGAGGTTGGACCAGGGAATGGTGAGGGTCAGTTGGCCCAAATGGCCCTCGACGACGTTGATGGGGAGTTTGAGCTGGTCGAGTGCTTCTCGGCGCAGCTCGAGGTCACGCAGCTTGACGTCGCCCGACCAGATGCCGACCTTGAGCTGGGTTGGGTCGAAGTTCTGGACGTACATGCCGAGGAAGCGGTTAAGCAACCCGGCGACGAGACCTTCCAGCATGGTGGCGGCGCTGGCGGAGGATCACACGGAGCCGTCGCGGAGGAGGTAGAAAAGAAGGGGAAGGAAACGAGAGGGAGGGAGGGAGGGAAGGAGGAGAGCGAGACGCGCAAGTTAGACACCGGATCGAATTGCAGGCGTCATTTGGCGGGATGCGAATCGAGAAAGGTTTCGGGATGGAGGAAACGACTGGATCGAGGGATGGAGGAATCGTGGGATTGTGATTGTGGCCGCAGGAAGTCGGAATATCGTGAGAGTTGGGTCGCTGTTGGGCCGCGCGTGCGTGTTGTGTATGTTATGGATTCGTTCAACGAAAGAAGCGACTAGGAACAAGCGTGTCGTCTATCTGTCGGGCTGGGCCTCGATGTCGTTTCATCTGGTGTTGCGTTGGTGAATATTGGCCGCGTGGCGGAGTCGATGATGCCACTAACGCAGTTGGTTCTTGAGAAAAACAAACTTGGAAAGAGGGCCGTCCACGGCTTCCTCCTGCTGTAACGCCGTTGTGGTGGGGTCGAGTTGCCGAGGAGGGACTGGTTTCCTGCTATGGAATATTTACGGCTAGCACGCACCACTGCGAGGTACCTGTTGTATGTAGCACGCACCAGATGGGTACTTATGAACGTATTACGTCACAACTGAGCTTTTCAGGCAGGCACTGGAGCTGCAGATCACGGCAGGAACAATCCATTGCACAAAGACGGGGAAACAAAAGAGGAAGGAACAAGCAAAGGAACAATGACGGGATTACGCGCAGTCAAACATGGCCAATCGTCGAAGCCGACCTCCCGACGTCGAGACAAGTGCCAGGAGTCAGGTTCCTTTCCATGACAGAACAGGGTCAATTGCCTGTCATTGGCCAGGGCGGGACGGGGTAGCACGACGATGACGTTGACGACGAGCGAGCTCCCTGCGACGCAAATAAAGAAGCTCCAGCTCGCATCGATTGGCCTTGTCGATGGTCGGATTTTATTTATTTTTTTATTTTTTATTTTTTATTTTTTGTTTTACCTAATCAAGTTTGATTTTTTCGACATTGTCATTGTATATTTTCTAGCATCTTGGCTGCTGCGCCCTATCTAACCACCTTCATTGTGTGAATTGCTTCTTCTCAGTAGCAATGCTTCGATCACGGCCATTGTTTTCCCCGGTGCGAGCTGGTGCGACCATCAGAAACAATGCCACGGCCACGCCTTTTGTGGTAGGCCGCGCCGTTTCCCTGGCGGTCGGTCGCGAGGCCGCATCGCAGAGTCGCCCGATGCACACAAAGACATCACGTCGCGTGCATCCGCTGGCCTTCAAACCTGCAACGCCTCCCTCGACACGCTTCCTCGTCGCGTACTCGACAGACTCAAAGTCACGACCCCCGGTCAAGCTCAGAATTGACCGTGAGCACGAGAAGGAGGTCGGCCAGCAGAAGCTCGAGGCGCGGCCCGGCGAGGTGACGGTCGAGTCGTCGCGGCGACACTTCCGCGAGCCAAACGAACGGCGGCCGTTGGATGACGAGCCGCCGATGATGGACAGCTTGAAAGCCGATGCAGTAAGTGTCCTGCGGGGGAGAGAAACTATGGACGCAGCCGTGGCAGTGACTAATACATGCAGAACTCGATCAAACAGACGCTGTCCCTGACCGAGGTGCCCCGCGAAGTGTACGCGCTGGGCCTCAGCGGCACCGTCCCATACTTTTTGACATCGCTGTCGACCGTCTACTTGGGGTGGACCTTGCGCAACAGCTATCCGACATCGTCGACCCTGATGAACACCTTCATGGTCAGCCACGAGACGGCGCACCAGTGGCTGGCGATGCTCGAGCCCATCCAGCTGGGGTTTGGCGCCGTCATCATCTCGTTCCTTGGTGCGGTGCATTGGGTAGGTGGCGACAGAAAACGGAGGAGGTGACCCGCGCGCAATCTCTGATCAACCAAACTGACACATACACACACGCACCAGGGCATGGAATTCAACGAAAAGACGCCGTCGCACGATCGCACCCGCTTCCGCTACGCCATGGGTGTTCTCGCGCCTGCCATTGCCTGGCCGACGCTTCTGCTGCCCGTGCACTTTGCCCTGACAGGCCAGTTTTTCGCATTCACGCTGTTGTACTTTGCCGACAGCCGGGCGACCAAGATGGGCTGGGTGCCGCCGTGGTACTCGACGTACCGGTTCGTCCTGACGTTTGTCGTGGGCAGCGCCATCCTGGTCAGCCTCATCTTCCGCGCCAAGATTGACGACGTTGGCGAGAACATGACGGAGCGCCTGGCCAAGGGCATGCACCAGCGCGGCACCGGCGCAGAGGACTACTCGGAGAAGTGGGCCAAGCTCGAGCAGGCCGACAAGGAGAAGGCTAAGAAGGAAGAGGAGGAGCGGAAGAAGCAGGAGAAGAAGGCGAAGAAGGACAAGAAGAAGAAGGGCGGCGAGGAGGGCGAGGACAAGGCCCAAGAGAAGACAAAGGACGGCGAAGAGAGCTCCGACGAGGGCGATGAAGGTGACGGCAACGGCGATGGCGACGAGAAGGAGGACGACGATGCGAACAACGGCGACGGCAAGGACAGCAGCGATGACAAGCCGGAGGATGGAAACAATGCCGACGACAAGACCAAGGGCGACGAGAAGAAGGGAGCCGTCGACGGCGACTCGTCCTCAAAGAAGAAGTCGGCAAAGGGAGATGAGGAGTCAAAGAGCAAGAAGTAGGATGTCTTGTTAAGGATGACCACGCGCCGAGGTTGCCGTGGTTGGTCTGTGTTAGCTGCATACTTTAGTGGACTACTATCATTGCTTCAGTTTAATTATGCTTCAATCTGGGTTTGAATTAACGGAAACAAAAAACAAATACGTGCTCGAAGAAGAACAAAAATAGAGAAACGAGATAACGCGTAGCAAAGCGAACACTCCCCGCCCCCAAGAAAGAACAAAGAAGAGTCTCCGTCATAAATAACACCACATCTTTTCTTGCATTGTTCATTTCGCATTTTGTTGGTCCACTTAGACACCGTAAAGTTGAGCGAGCAATCCAGTGCTCAGCAGCACGCTTAGCGAGTTTGCCGCCTATGCCTTGAGAATGGCCAGTGCTGCTTTCAATTCACTGCTTCTCTTTTTGAGCGCCTGGCGGCGTGCCTTGGTGACATCCTCCTCTCCAACGATTTGACTCAACGTATCTGTATCCAAGTCAATCACCCACGCTTGTGTGAAGACGGACAACGGTCCCTGCGGCCCGAACAAGAGGTGGTAGCCGACGGCCTGTCGGAAGACGTTGTCTACAAACCGATCGACCGCCAGGTGGTAGTAGGATTTGAGCTTGTCGTGAATCTCCTGATGTAGATACTGCTCGTTTGTTTTCGTCGTCGTCGCGCTCAGAACATCGTCGAGGTTGATCACGAGCCTGTCCTCACCATATGACTTTTGGGAATGCCAGGCTTTCTTCTCGAGCATGTTTCTCATGCGCTCTCCGCGGGCCAATTGCACCCCCTGGTTAAACGCAGCATTCAGGGTAAAGGGGGATTGGCGCCGCTCAATGTCCACCAAAAGCACAGCCTGGTCCCGCCCATTCTTGTACCGCTCTAGAACGGGCTCATATATAGCGGAGCGTATTTTCTCGGCAATGTCATCATCTGGACAAACAGCACGCAGTGCTTCGGTCATGAAGTGATGGATCAGCCGCACGGCCTCGCCCATGCACACGCGGGCCATCGGCTCCCACTGGTAAGACTGCTCGCAAAACGCCTCCGACAGCAGGTCCGAACTAACGGTGCCGAGATCCACACCTCGGGACTGCAGGTAAAGCGTCTTGATCCAACCCATAATGTTGGATCCGGACTCCTCAATCTCAGAGTGCTCGGGGACAATGTCAACCAACTCCGGATAATCGTCGATAGTGACGCCGTAGTCCTTGAGGTGCGCTCGTAAGTGCACATGGAACTGAAGAGATGCCCCAGAAGAGACGGAGGTCATATCGACCGTCCCAGGTGCCACGGAATCTTCATACAGCTGTATTTCTTTCGGTCCGCCAATGTCATCAAAGTTATATAGCTGTCCATACAGCCGGAAGCTGTCGGCGAATGCATCGACCAAATTCACCAAGCATGTGATTAGCCGCATCTCTGGCTTTTCGAAAAAGGAGTGGCGCGAGTACTGCGCCGTAAGCGCGTCTCGTGTCAGCTGCTCGAATTGCTCGGCGATACCACCCAAGTAGCGGCGCTGGTCTCGTTCCAAGGTCCGGGCCGGCCCGAGGCTCTCGAGATCGCGGTTGCACTTTGCCAAGAGCGTGAAGATTTCCCTGCGGAGGATGGGAAACTCGCGGCGCGTAATCTCGGCGAGTAGGGCACCGAGCCGTGTCTTGAGGGCCTGGACGCCAACTTGTTCGGGCGGCAGGGCGGACCATGGTTCTTTTTGGAACATTGTCTCCAGGGTGTCAATGTCGACGACCTTGTTGTCGTCATCGGCGCCGCGATTGCGCACGATGTAGTAGCCGAGGGTCAGCGGCTTCCGCTTTCCCGACACCAAGTTGCACACGGACAGCTGTGCACTGGACTCGTGCACGAGGTCAGGCTTCGTCAGCACCGCCAGAGTGCGCTCTCCTTGTCTGTCGTACTCCTCGGCCAGGGCGATGATCTCCTGGGTGGCAATGTCCACGTTGCAAGGAAGCACGGGAAGAATGATGGTTCGTTTGTCCCGGATGTATTTTCTGACGAGGCTGTTGACGAGATCAATGTCTTCTTTGGTCGTGAGTCCCTCAGCGTGGTTACGGAAGATGCCAGGGACGTCGATGACTGTAAGATAGTCTTCTTTCGGGCCCGATATTTCAATCTTCAAAACATCTTCGCCGAAGACTGTGCCTGATTTCGAGGACAGATCCGTTCGAATTCCCATCCGTCTATTTGCCTGTCTCTTCGTGAGCAGTTGCTACAGTGGTGAGAATCACTCTTATCCAAGATGGTGACGAACCTCTACCATAATATCCGCAAACTGGGCACGAAGATCTTTACCGGAGGATATTTTGGGGTTGTATTCGCTGAGATTCAACTTATGTGCCTCAGAAGCGCGCGGCCCGGGCAGGATCCGAACCTCAACGCTATTCTTCGGACCGCGACGTGACGTGATTTGCGTAGCATGACGTGTACAAAGCTCTACATTTCTTGGAAAAGGAATGCCGGTTAAGCTTTCCAAGAGAGACGATTTCCCCGAGCTTTGGTCGCCAACAACCACCAGCTTTCCTATTGTCAGTTCAAGCCAATGCCCAGCGGATGATGCGGGCTGGATGCAATGTCTTACCTGTGGAAGAGGCACATGCTGCCCTATATTGAGTTCACGGAGCTGGTCTATCTTCTGCAGGATTTCCGGAGTCGACAAAGCGGTACCTTCAGCCAGAGTCATTTTGTTAGTCAATTTGTTTAGCAGTTGGTGATGCGATTGTATCTGAGCTTGGGTCGCACACACATTCTCTCCTTGCCTGACTCGGGTGATACAGCAGCTCTCTTATACTCATTTTTCGCGCAAGGTTGCGTCCCAGTCGTCCAGGTCCGAGACTCTGCAAAGGGCTGAAAATTGGCTTACTGCTGAGCGAGTTATGTCGATGCATTGCTGGCACACTGGCCACTCGTAATGTTCTTGGGCTGCGTCTGTACGCCGCCAGCTTGTTCTCTTATTGGCCCATCTTGTGGCCCCCTGCATCTGATATCGACAACATGGTTGGTTTGGGCTGTGGCCTTTCTGTTGCATGGAACCTCGTCGAATCTCTGAAAAGCCATGCATTGCAGATTTGGGCACGAACTACTTCGTCCAGGAGAAATATGAGTGATTTTGACTCCATGGGAAGTACTGAAAGTTTGCTTGGAGATGCGTTGCCCGCGCATCTGCGTCCTTCTTTTGTTGGGCATCCTTGTAAAGTCCAACGCTCGATACCCTCATTGGCTGATCCTGTGGCCCGTCTTTGAACTGTCTCTGCCCATGCGGTTACGGTTGGTCGAGCTTGTGGCCTTTGTCTGGCCATGTAAGGACGGCAGGATTGAACGTGCATGGAATCTTGTAGAATCCTTGAACTTGCATGCCGTGTAAAGTTTGACTCCTTGATAGAGGGGGACTTGGAGTGGATTCTCAGTAACTATCGGCATATATAGCCTAAAGACGTATCTCTAGCAAGACGTCAACAACTCATCTCACTCTTTCGCTCTTTAGGTCTTCTCTTTGAGATACCCTTGACATACCACAATCCTTTACTTCGGTCCCGGCTTAAACAGCTCGGCGACTATCCCCTCTTTTACATTTATACCAGCTTATTATACTGGGAGCTGGTTCTCCTGCTCATAGGTAGGAGTCCGGCTGGCAAATACCTGACCTTGTCTTGCGACTTTCCATCATATGGTAACGACTTTGATACATACTTTGGCTCTGGCACTGCGGTTGAATACGATCCCTCAACATTTCCATTCCTTGACGAGAGCACACACTTTGCACACTCCAACCAAGGAGACGAGCAAAGCAGTCACTCAGACAGTTTTCCGCCACAATATTTTATTGACGAGCGGAATTCGTCATCCGATGGGCGTGAGCTTGTTGACAGCAACTTCCCTGACACAGCCGGCAACTTTGAAAATTCGCAAACCTACAACTCGGACCATCAGGCCTCATTCCTTTATCAAAATCATACCCTCGACGACTTCGACTTGAGCACTCCGACTGCTTCTTACACCCCAGGCTTCGACCCTGTCCACGAAGAACTCCCGGCCAGTCACCCCTCCGATAGCTCTGCCTCGAGCCCAGTGTCGACCGAACGGGCTTCATCACCCGAGACGACGAACGGACAGTTTGTATGCCACGTGTGCCAGAAAACCTTTTCTGACAAGTCCAAATACAAGTACGTCAGCCCACTGTATGCGATGCCATGGCGCAGTTTCCTGCGAGGTTGTCCCGAAACTAAACTTACAAACAATATAGTGCGCACATACGGTATCATGGCGATTCTCACAAATGCCCCGATTGCGGGCGGGCCTTTGGCGTTTTCCAGGACCTCAAAAGGCACAGAAACGGGGTCCACAAGATGGGGCAACGATTTGCGTGCCCAGTACGTCGCTGCGGGAAGACGTACTCTCGGCTAGAGACCCTCCGGCGTCACTTTAAGGACAAACATGGGGCATTAGATCCTAATGTGTGTCTTCAGCACTTGAAACGGCGTTAGCAACACAAAGAATTGCCTCTGAGCTCTCGACGGGATCTGAGAGCTTCATGGAATGTTCTTTCTGTCGTGGCCATTACGCCATTGAAGTCTGTTACCATCTGTTGAAAACCACTGAAGTCTGGTTTCGTTCGCTCCGCCTTTTTCAGGGGAGACGAATAGATGCCCGCTGACGAGGGTTGACGCAGACCAGGTGACGGTCTCAGCTTTCATGTATTGTAGAAGTAAGGATCAATGAAACATCACCTTAAAACCCTTTGAAGTCTCACTACACCTTCCACGTGAAATATACATGACCGAAATTAGACTAGACAGGTGAGAATTGCGAAAAGGGCATTTCTCAATTTTCGTAGGCGGCCTACTCTTCTTAGCTGTAATGATGTTCTTGTTTAAGTGTTGTCGCCGCTCTCATTTGGAGACTTGGCGCATCACAAACCTGTCGTATGCGGGGACCGAACCACCAATTTGTGCCGGTCTCCATGTCGGCCAAGAGAATTGAAACAACAGTAGAAGACGTCACCTAGTGAGGCCGCCGAATTTAATATTGAGCCGTTCATGTTTTTTGAACCATAAGCCGTAGTGCACGAACTCGAAATGACCCTCAAAATAAATTTGCAAATTCCGTCATGAAGCATTACTATCGACGGCTATATCAGCTCTGTGCTATTGTCTACGTCGCGAACTGGACGGATTGGGAGACTAAATATGCCAAGCTTTTGTTCCTGCATGATATAAACCTTGCCTGGTCTGCTTGTTTGCTCCTCGGCCCGCATGGCTGAAGCTTACCTTCGTCTGGCCGTTGGGTCGACACTAAATATGGGTCTTTACATCTTATACCGAGCTACCCAGCTACGTGTAGAGCTGAATCATGCTAGATATCACAACGATGCAGTGTACGCGTCGTCTTCCGGGTAACTTGATCACACAGAGGGTCTCACGTTAGGGAGAGATACACTATGTCTCGCACGTGAATGAGGCAATGGCAAACTTCGGGCACTCTGCTGGGACAAGAAGGGCACTGGCGATGTTCCGTTTTGTGCTACTGGTATTGCTGCTTAAATGTGAGTGAAATTGGGTTTGGGGCTAGGTCCTAACACCCATCTGAATCACGGTCGTGACGAGAGACATATACGAAAAGGCGAGAAACTGCGACACGCAATTCGTAGCGCGTTCATTTTACGATGAACCGTGTTGTATAAATGGATGAAAGACAGATCAAATTAGAAGCATGGCTGGGTGTGCTGTGAGGCAGTCGTCAACGCAATGAAAGAGCGAAAAGATGAAAGGTGGAAAGTATGAGAGGTGAGAGCGATTTGAAAACGTCAATGTGAAATGCACAACAGCCCGATATACAACCCTAAAACCTCATTGAGAATTTTCATTTCTGGGGGTGCACCTGTGCCGTCCTTGCTCCGAGCTGCTGAGTGGATGTGTTCTCATGAGCTCCCTGTGCCCACTGTGCCTTTATCAGTATGGTAGGCAATGCTTTAGGCTGGCTTCGACCACTTTGGGAAGCTCGCTTGACTGCATCTCAGAAAGCCGTAGCTGTAATGTGAAGCTCGTAACTTGGTATTGGGATGTGACATGTACTTCATAGCCTTGGGACGGAGCAGTAACAGACGCGGCACGGCACAATAGGCAAGGGGGAAAGTGAGGTTGTCGCGTCTGGAAGCCGGGAAATTTGAACGCCCGCCAGAATCGGAAGATGCAGGTTCCCCTGTGTGTCTGTCTCGTAAAATGACCAGTCCAAGCGCCATGCATGCGGTGACGGTACGGGGTAAACGAAAACAACTTTGCAGGGCTAGAGGAAAGCTCTGTTGACTCGCAGTATCCTTGTATGGACCAGGGCCGTTGCAGGAAGTGTGGTGCTCCAATAAGGTAGGGCGAAAGAGAAGGCCTACTAAGGATGTACGGCTTTACGTGGAAATAGGCGTGGACGATCCTTTGGTGAGCTACGTCGATGCTCGTGCGCGACTAGGTGTGATATTTGGAATTGTAAGTCGTACTGACATGTACACCTCGTGCTCCTTGCGGTGCGTTGGCTGGTAGGTTGAAGCTTTGCGTTTTGTGCGTTGTCTGGGAACAGTGTTGGTGCGAGTAATTACCTACCTGTACGCGCTGCGTCGCAGTCGTAAATAAGAACCAGGACAGCAAAGGATGCCGTTCTTGCCGCCCCTGTATTCTGTATGTTTGACTTCTTCTCTTCTCAGCGGTTAAGGCGGGGATAGTGGGTCTGCCCCTGAAAAACTTGGAAGATTACTGCACCAACGGTCGGTTTCACGAGGCTGAGTCGCAGCTGACAGACCTAGCTTGTAACCCACGCAGGCATCCTGCGCATACAGGAACCAAAGCAATAAGATTAGGCTCCTACCGTATCCCTCGTACGGGCCTGGTGGACCCGATGTCGAGGCGGAAAGTCTGTGCAAGACGCTCCAATGGTGCGGAAGGACCTCCGTTGTCCAATACGGCCGTTGTTGTTCTTCCCTTCGTCTCATCTGGTCTGCTGTTGTCGACTGCCACCTGCAGCTGCTCTTCAACCCGACAGGGTTGGTGCCAGTTTGTCCAGGCTCATCTGAAGCTCATTTATGAATCTCACAGCAGAGCTGACGACAAGGTCCCGTCTGCTTTTCCTCCCCACACACACGCATGCAAATACGGCGTGTACGTTCGAATGTATGTAGATACATATATGTAGGAGATGCGCGCAGGAACGGCCGTCCGTCTGAGAATGATTCTCGTAAATGCTTGTTCGCGGTCTCAACTCGTTTGTCACTCTTTTTGCATCGTTCGTGGTGCCTGGCGAATTCAATTGCCCTGTCTCTTCTGTGGCTCTCTTTAATCCGCCTCGGTTCGGCCAAAGTCCGTCTCTCCAGCCCATACGATGAAGCATACGCCTGTTCTTGCTGGCGCCCTGCTGGCGGCCGCTGCGCACGCCGCCACACCCGAGCGCGTTGTTCAGTGGGACATTGCACGGCGTCAGGCACCGCGCGTGCCCTTGTACCGGCGCGGGGCCGGTGCCCTGACGGGAGATCTTCACAATGCTTTCGCTCGCTATTATGTCGATGTTGAGATTGGCACTCCCCCTCAGAAGCTCCAGCTCCAGCTGGATACCGGCAGCAGCGACGTCTGGGTGCTCTCCAGCAGCGCTTCCGTTTGCGCCAAGAGTAACGACTGCAGCGAAGGCTCTTGTAAGAATCATGATGTGTTTATGAGGTCGATTTCCTCGTTTTCGGGAATGGCTTTTTTTTTTTTTGGAGCGCTTCTGCTAACGAGTTTTCGCAGTCGATGCCGACGCGTCGTCGACCTATTCCGTTTACCGCGAGAACGGTTTCAACATCACGTACGGCGACGGAGACCATGCCACCGGCGACTACTTCACGGACACGCTCGCCATCGCGGGGGCTACGGTGAAAGGTTTCACCATGGGCCTCGCCAAGGACGCCGAGGGTCTTACGTTCGGCCTCGTGGGTGTTGGCTACCCTGGCTTGGAGGCCATCGCCTCCAAGGACCCGTCTGACGCGTACCCGAGCCTGGGCGAGTCTCTTGTCCGCCAAAACTTGACCAATACGAATGCGTTCAGCTTGTGGCTGAATGATCTGGGTATGTATATGTGTTGCTCGAGATGAATTCAGTATGGTACGTTGAACTGTGCTAACCACGCGGTCCCTGCGATAGAGGCGAGCACGGGCAACATTCTTTTCGGCGGCATCGACACGGAGAAATACGAGGGCGACCTCATGCGGCTGGACGTGCTGAAGGATCCGGGCCCGCAAAAGTATCTGCAGTACTTCGTGGCGCTGACGTCCGTGGAGGCCATCAGCGTGAGCGGCCGCGACGCCCTGACGTCCGCCGGCAACTACACCGGCTATGCGCTCCTGGACTCGGGCACCACCCTCACCAAAGTGCCGCAGGACCTTGCCGAACAGTTCTGGGCCGAAGCCGGCGCCTCCTACAACACCCAGCTCGGCGACGCCATTCTCCCCTGCAGCCGCGCCCAGAGCGGCGGCGTGTTCTCGTTCACGTTCGGCGGGTCGGGCGGGCCCGTCGTCAACGTCAGCATGACGGAGCTGGTTCAGAACGTCTACAGCAACGCGACGTTTACGAGCGGGCCGTTCCGCGGCCAGGCCGTCTGCCGCTTCGGCATTACCAACTCGACCGACCTGTTCACGATCCTCGGCGACACCTTCTTGCGCTCGGCCTACGTCGTCTACGACCTCGTCAACAACCAAATCGCCATCGCGCCGGCCAAGGTCAACGCGACAGCTGCCAACGTTGTTCCCTTTGCGAGCTCTGGCGCGCCCATCCCGTCTGCCACGCCCGCCCCCAGCCAGTCCGCCCAGGCCAACGGCACCCTCGGGCCGTTCGCAACGCCGACCTACGCGGCGTCCGCCGGCTTTGCCTCGTCGGCCACTACCACAGGCTCGCCGACCTCCACATCGGCTCCCCCTCCCTCTAGCTCGCCGAAGTCGTCGGCCTCTTCTTTGTCTTGCACTCCCAAGAACGGCATTGCTCTGGTGGCCACCATTTCCTTTGCGCTGGCTCTCCTGTTGTAATCTTGATCGCTTTTTTTTCTTGCGTGTAGAATTCTTTCCATATGTATAATATACCGTTTTTCCCATGATATTCGTCCTCATTTCCATTACATACCGTCCTTCGACACAACACATCTGACTTATTGCTCTGACTGTTCCTGGTGCGTTGTGAGCAGCACGATGCCTGCGTTAAAGTCGATTGTCCACCGTTTAGGAAGCCTATTCTCTGAAGTAAAATTAATAACATCGTCTAGAGGAATTACTCTCAAGCCCCAAGGCCATTGAAGAGAAAGTTCCAACGAGCCTTCCGTACGCGAAGGCGCCATATGGATCTATCCGTAGAACGTTTGACCTTCTCTGGCCAAAGCAAAGGCTAAGGAAATACTGTACGAGATTGATTTTGGTAGTGGTCAGGGGGATGATGAGCCTCCCGTACTAGGAGTGGCTGTAGCCGTTGACTTTCTACAAAGGCCTGTTTCACAAAGGGTGGCACTGACAACCCCACTCGCCCTGCAGTTAAAATTGGCGCCCGTTATAGACGCCTCTTTCAACGTCTCCCGTTTTATCAACGTCGCGACTTCTTACCGCTGAACCTGACAACGACACAGACACTGCCTAAATCATGTCTCCCAACTTGCACAGCGCACCGCCATACCCCCCGCCGGCCACGCATCAACCACCTTCAGCACCGATCGGCGGGCCGTCGTCCGGCCCGTTGTGGGTCAACTGGGGACTCTACCCCAAATTTATGGACATTATGCCCCATGAGCCGCTCGAAAAATATGTCCCGGGAGGGTTTCACCCTGTCTCCTTGGGCGATGCTCTCAAGGACGGGCGGTATACTATCCGGCACAAGCTGGGCTATGGCGGCCAGTCTACGGTCTGGCTCGCCTGGGATGCACATGGGCCAGGGGCATGGGTCGCCATTAAGATTAAGTCCGCGCGGGCTTCTGCGAACGGCCCCGGCCAGGACTCTGAGATTGTTGCCCTTCAGACGCTCGAGACATACTACTGTAGCATCGAGAAGACACAGACACAGTCGCAGGCACGCTCTTTCATCCGGGTTTTCGACACTTTTCAACATACGGGGCCTAATGGCGTGCATAACTGTATTGTTACGGAGGTGCTCGGGCCAACTCTGGCGGATCTTCTTGACGAGTACCGGCCGGATGAGAATACGTTACCTCCGGATGTGGTCCTTCGGGTATCGCGGCAGCTTCTACAGGGGCTCGACTTTACGCATCACGCCGGCATTGCTCATGGAGGTATGTGTGCCCTTCTTCGTTTCTTTTTTCTTTCTCTCTATCCGTACTTGACCGCTGATTATTTCTCTCTCCCCTCCCCAACATAGACGTGTCTCCTCGAAACATTTCGTTTACGTGCAAAAATACACAGGCAGACGGCAACGACTTGTTTGAGATGGTCGGCGGAGAGCCGCCAACCGCTGCGTACGATGACAACAACAACACCGCACGACCAGCCGGTCTCCCCGAACAGCTGGTTGCTTGCACGGCCTGGGATGGCTGGTACGTTGACACAGTCGAGGACATCCGGCTCATCGATTGGGGCTGGTCGTTTGCTGCGGGCAAAACCGTCACGGTTCTCGGCCAGCCGAACAACCTGCGGCCCCCCGAGACGTTTTTCGAGCATTCTTTTACCTGCAAGCACGACTTGTGGCGAGCAGGCTGCGTGGTACGTGTTTCAACGGAAGAAAGGGGAAGGGAAGATAAGAGAGAAAACAAAGAAAAGAAACGAAACAGTTTATTTTTTTACCCGAGGCTCACCAATCCAGATCTACTCATTGTTCTACCAGACGTCGCCGTTCTCCTGCATCGGCGACCCGAACCATTTCTTCATTCGACGGCAAGTTGCCAAGTTGGGTCCGCTGCCAGCGCCGTGGCATGCGAAATGGGAAGAGATGTTGGTTGGTTATAAATATGCAGAAGAAGACGGTACGTTTTTTTCTCGATTCGTTTCATTCCTTTCCCCCCCTTCTTGTCCATTCTTTTATCCTACTAATAAAAACTTCCCCAAACAGCAGCCAACATGCCCCAGGAACTCATGGAGGATACGTTCGAGCCGCGTCGACAGGAAATCCGCACTCACATTCTCAATGCAGATCCAGACCTTGGCGAAGACGACAATGAATATGAAAGGGATGAATATTCAGAGTACGACGTGGAGGCGCTCAAGTGTCTGTTGTGGCCGATACAGGGCCTCATGCGGCATGAACCAAACAAGCGCATCTCGCTGCAAGAGGCAGCTTCTTCGATCCAGTGGATAGACCACAGGAGGGAGGCAAAGGATGATACCAATACAATGTCAGTACAGTAATAAAGTTATAATTAAAGCAAATCTGGTATCGTTTCGTAGTCATGTAGTATATTTAATGGTGGACAAAGCCTACCATTTTCGGCATACGAGAAGTAGACGCACTCGTGAATATCATATGCAACGTTTGCAATCAAAGTAGCTGAGCAAATTTGAATGCAACATGAAAAGAATTGGCCGACTTTCAACTCAAGTGATTGTAAGCAAGTGTAAACGAAGAAGAGGCGTTAGAGGAACGTTGCGTCGGATTTATTTGGAATGGCAACACCACCGTCAGGTATTCCCGACTCGAAGTCGGTGTTCACATGGACCATATAATGGCCCGAACGCAACACGTTAACCCGACTTCGTAAAGTGTACTGTGTACGAAATTCTACGACAGGTTGGCATATAAGATATGGTGGTGTGATTTTGTACGCGTCTTACCCTGTACGCGTCACTGATCTCGTAGTAAATGCCATCGCCTGGCGGGCCAGGATGGACGAGAAACAACATAGCAGCAGCTCAAAGCAGATTGGCGGAACAATCCATCTTCTATGTTTAGATCACAGGTCCAATGACCCACGTACTTGCAAACCTCACATGAATATTTCTCTATTTCTTGTCACTACGTAAAGCATGTTTAATAAACAATTCTGTCACAGTGCGTCTGCAACCGGGCTTTACGCTCACAGTCTCTGGTTGCTGGGTGCTTGCGGCTGTATATTTGGGTCTTCTGTGGAGAACGACCGAATATAAATGCAATTGAGCAGAAGGGTCTAGATTTACCAAATTTATGCCCCATATACGTTATATGCAGTAGTATAAGTATGCTATGCATAGAATGCCCATCTCTTCAAAACACGAGCCAACTTAGCCTATTCATTCCACTTTGTAGACTTTGATGAGGCGCGCACGGGAAGCCGACTAAATTAAGACCGCGTCCAAGAGGCTGACTTGCACGAATTGACTCTTGTTGCCAGAGAGACTCTCAGACGAATCTTGGCCAACAGTGTATCCTGGCTGTCAAGACGGATTAGCCCGCAGAAGTCTGGCCAAGACGTCCCAAAGAAGACCAAATACGACGCCGTCATACGGCATAACAAAACAGCAATATAATTAAACATGTTAATTGCAGGTTTCGCCGGACCGTTAACACCGAACAAAATTGATTTACCACCGGTGAAGTCAACAACAAATAAGCCAGCTGCATCTCGCCATTCCGCTCACAGAGCACATTGTCTGTCATTTGCAACGGCCTTGTCGTGGCTGCTATGGCCGTTATTGTGGTCCTGTTGCACCTCGGAACAGCCTGTAATGTAGCAATTCCTGTTTCCACAAGTTCGATGTTGATTGCGTGATGTCGACGACGATGTTGATCCATGCAACAATGGCCGCTTCATTGGTGTGCTACAGCCGCACGGACGCCCTATTCATTTAAATAAACTTGACGACGTCAATCAACAACAAACCATTCCTGTTAAAAATAGACCATGTGGATGTGTCCCGCTGGAATGGAGCAATCCTGTCCCACACCCAACAGCATAACAACAGAAATGCATTGCCACGCGTTCAGTATCTCCGCTCGGTAGCCTGACCTGTACCTTGTCGCATATGGCATCCTGTCTTTTGTCTCCGCTGGGTGAGGTGGAGATGTTGCCCAAAGTGGATGCCAAGGAGGGCTTGTGGCCGAGACGTGGCGTCACAAAAGAGGAGAACGCTGTCTAAATAGACTGTAAACCCCGACCAGGACGATGAAAAACAAATGAAAAGACGGCCCCGTCGAGACCCCAAAAGCGGAGAAACGCGGGATGGGACACAGACTCATAGTAGACAATGATCGACAGGTATTGCCGGGCGGGCAGGACGACAAAACTTGTCCTTGACCATTGCCCTTGGCTGAGTGAGCATGGTGTTTTTGATGAATCTGGAGCAGCCGGCCTGGATATTGAGGTTGCGTAGACGCAGTGCCCGGACCAGGTGATGAGTTATTCCATTTGAGTTGTCGTCAATGTGGGTGAATTGTCTGTCATTCACGATGTCGACTAAGTGTTCCTCTCTACGGTGTGCTTTTCCCGGGTGACACTACCATTGCGTCATTTCGCCCCATGGCTTGCCTGCCATTTTCTGTTGCCAGAGGGAAAGCATGCTGGTGCATCTGTACAAGCATTCAATGTATTTGAAAGTGCACACGGGTTACAGATGTGTGTTGTATATCGAAATGAGTCTCAATAAGCTTTTCTCTTGGATATAAATACGACACTTTACCGTCATCATCGCCGTTTTCTGTTTTCCTTGTATTCTCTTTCTTCAGCAGCGGTCTGTCGAAACATCATCCAGCTCTTTTGCAACAAGCACTAGTCGATACGCTCTGTCCATCAGTTGAATTGTACTTCCCTTTTCTCTCAATCTCTCTAGGTCTCCTCTAGCCACCAAAATGAGAAACCTCCTTGTCACCCTCCTTGCCGCCACGGCTGTCCAGTCCGTTCTGGCTGCCCCGGCCCAGGACCCGACGACGGCCATTGCGCCGCACGGTCCTCCTGCGGGCCCCAACAATGGCGGCCACTCGGGCGGCCACCCAGGCGGCGTCCCCGGTGGTGCTCCCGGTGGCGACCACGCCCATGACCACGCCCATGACCACGGCGAGGACGACAGGGAGCATGGCGGCCCCGGCCACGACGGTGTCGGCCACAATGGTGTCGGCCACAATGGTGTCGGCCAGGCCCACCCGCCGGCCCCGCAGCCCCCACAGGCCCATGCGCCGCAGCCGCACGACGGCGGTCACGTGCCCCGCCAGGCCCCAGGCACCGGTGACGACAATGACGACGGCGACGACGACGACAGCAGCGATGCACCTATCTTCAAGGGCAAGGGTGGTGCCAAGGGCAAGGGTGGCAAGGGCAAGGTTGGCGGCCACAAGGGAAAGGGCGGCAAGGGCAAGGGTGTCGGCGGCCCGGGCGCGGGTGCGCCTGGTGCCCCGATCAACCCGGGCGGTCCGCTCCGCCCTGCCGGCCCCACGGCCCCGACCAAGCGCCAGGAGGCCGAGAGTGACGACGACAGCGACACCAGCGCCGGCCCGGCGGCCGATGCGAAGAAAGCCAAGGGCGGCAAGCACCACAAGGGCGGCAAGGGCCACGGTGCGAAGGGCAAGGGCGGCAAGGGAAAGGGTGAGGGTGCGGGCGGCGCTCCAGGTGCTCCCCACGCCCCTGAGGCGCCCAAGGCTCCCAACAAGCGCCAAGAGGCTGGTAGTCCCGCCCCGGGTGCTCCCGGTGCTCCCGGTGCTCCGGCAGACGGCGGCAAGAACGGCAAGAGCGGCCATAAGGGTGGCCACAAGGGTAAGGGCGGCCACAAGGGCAAGGGCGAGGGTGCTCCGGGTGCAGGCGCTCCGGGTTCAGGTGCCCCCGATGCTGGTGCCCCTGGTGGTGGTGCTCCTGGCGCTCCTGGCGCTCCGGGTGCTCCAGGTGCTCCAGGTGCTCCAGGTGCTGGCGCTCCGATCGCTGGTGCTCCCGGCGCTCCGGGCAGTCCCAAGGCTCCCGGTGCCCCGGGCGCCCCGGCTAAGCGTGCCGAGCCTGAGCAGGGCAGCAACGCCGATGCCGCCGACCGCAAGGGCCACAAGGCCCACAAGGGCCACAAGGGCGGCAAGGGTGCCAAGGGCAAAGGTGCCAAGGGCAAGGCCGGCGACCGTCCCCAGCCTCCTCCGGGCGCTCCCCAGGGCGAGCAGTAAGCTGCTGGCTTGAGCAATTTCTCCCAACACCGACGGTTCTCAGCCTCTCACCTGGGTTTACTTGGCTTACTTTTTGTTTGCCTTTGTTTGCCTAGGATGGCATTCGTCTAAAACGACTCTTTGTCTCTGTTCCCTTTTTTATGTGTGTGCACATATTTCTTCTGTCTCTTGACGACAGCAGGCTGTATCAAGTCAGTGGTCTTCCAGGCACGACGACTTCCAGTCTATTTTGTATTGTTTAGGTTCTCAGTGTACTCTCCAATAAAATCTCCGTGCGTTGTGTCACTCTGCTCTCATTTGCCTTTTGCTGTTACGAGGCATCGAATGTGCGTTGCATTGACATATCATTGACATATTGACATTCTGCCTTGTGTCCTTGATGACATTCCTCTCCTGCACTCGGTAACCTAATTTAGTCTTTGGCCACCTTGTCCTTGAGCTCATTTAGCTTCGATCCGAGCGACTCGGTGCCTTTCCGAGCCTCCGCCGGTTTGGCAGACCTCGAGGCCGCGCTGTCGACGTCCGGCAGGATGGAGCCGCCCGTCTCGCCGACCGAGTGGACTTTCTTAAAGTCCTTGGGATCGGCCTAGCTTGTGTCAGTTCGTCGGCTACTTGATGCAATGCGCTCCGTCCCTATGGGGACCTACCAGGGCCTCGTGCTCGGCACCGTCGATGAGGTCGTGGCCCTCAAGCACAGCTTCGTCCGTCAGTCCACTCATGGTGTGTTGGGTTATTTTTGTCGATGTTCTGGATGATCGTTTCAATTCTCGTGGTTTTGAATGGTATTTAGCAGAGTCAGGGAAGAGGGGCGAGAATTCACGTCCGGGTCAGGCCATACGGCCGTTTTTATCTCTCCCACCATCACCCTCCACCACACTGCACCCTTCCGTTTACGTTAATCGTCGCCACTGTCGTCATCTCCAGCTCTCCACGGAAGTTAGACATGTCACGACAACCACGCGTGGGCTGTCCGTATCACAGAAGATTATGTCACAGAAACAAAGAGCCTCGACATCCCTGGGATCCGAGCAGAGGTGTGTTCTATGCACGGTGCAATTGCAGCTAGATGTATGCACTACACCGTGTATGAAAGGACTGTACTGTGCGTTTGGACCAACAGGACTTAGCTTCAGTGTAACTAGCAAATTCATGATGGTGTGATGCAATGCGCAAATGGGAAGTCAAGATGTGTTTTGTCTAAAATAAAAATGTACACGTGACGCAGTTTTAGACCATTTAGCTACGGATGGTTCCAACCGTGATTTTTGGCTGTGCATGTTGACATATTGTGTTTCAATGTAATCTATCGTTTAAGGGACGTGTTGATTGTTTTTTTTTTACACCTTCTTTTCTGTTTATTTTTATCAGTGCTTACGTTTTTTTTACTTTTTTTTTTTTCTTCAGTCGTCGTCGACAAACTTTTCATATCAAAAAATAAACACTTGTAATTTGAAAGAAATAACGTTTTTAAGCAAAACTAAAATAATGAAATACAAAAATACCCAAGGAATACAAAGTACATAATAAAAAAGTGACGGCACAGTCCCCGAAACATCCACGAAACGACAAAAAATTTGAGAATTCGAATGGTGCTTCTGTAGAGAAGCGCATCAGGATTTGAGCCCGATGCGGGGGTCGAACCCGCAACCTTGAGATTAAGAGTCTCACGCTCTACCGATTGAGCTAACCGGGCGTTCGATCTCATTGTTAAAAAAAAGTAGGCCCTCGTTGTGTATGTGAATGGACGGTGTACGGGGCCTTTTTGTGCCGTTTTCAGTGGTGTTTCGCTTGCTCCTGGAAGGCCATTTTGCTTTCTTCGTTTGTCACTAAATCGTGACAATAATGACAAACGAGACTTGGACAGCTCAACATGTGCACGGTTACATACAGTGGGTGTCAGGCGTGTAGTCGTATTAGAGTGACTGTAATAACTGCATTGACTGCAGTGACTGCACCGACTACTGCACTTGGTGTTGGCTTAGTCCTAACAAAAGTTGATGAAAATGAGATACACGACGCAACATGTGGCAGACGACAAAAAGTCACAGACTTACTTGTGCAATGACCAGTCGGCAAGTACGCACATTGTGCATTGCAAGGAATGTCGTGTCGACTGTTGCCTGTTGCCGACACTCGCAGAGTTCGGAATGTTTGTAATTCCCGACGGGCATTTAAAATTATTGCAGACGATTTTCCTGCCGTCGGGGCAAAGACGGTAGTGTCTTTGCAGCCGGATCTGGCATGGCGCCATTACAGCTGCTAACAGAGTTCTGTGCAGGTTTCAGTGCCTTTCATTTGGAGATGGCACCAAAGAACCAGCAACAGAACAAGCAAAAGGCAAAAGATAGGGCACCACCAACAGACGAAGTATGGTGCGGCCCGCTGGAAAGTCGCTGAGGAACCTGAAGAAACAACCAAGTCAAGTAGAGTGTAAAACGGGGGAATGGCTTGAGACAGCAACTCAAGGCGTGTCGTAAATTGGTGCTTCATTGTTTAGCAGTTGCTCTGTGTAGGAGTTGCAGTGCTCTCCGAAAATCAGACTTTGCTATCTTCCACGGAATGGCCGCCCAAAGTCCCATCTGTCGTCCGGGACTCTTGACGTCTCCGAGCCCGCGGTACGAAGCGTGCGCCAAAGAAACCCCCCCCAGCACACTGTAGTCCTGAAGGATCACCCAAATCTTGCTGCATAGAGCCTTTGGCCCCCCAAACCCGCCTAACGTTCGCAATGCGCCGGTTTTAGTGTGATCGCCAGCCAAAAGGAACGATATGTCTCTCCGCGGGTATCATTGTTGGTGCTGCTGCATGCTGGCGCCAGCGACGTGAATGCGCGTTCTGGTACCGTCATCAGTTTCCGTCGTCGTGTCTTTCCCGAGCCCGATTTCTTGTCCTTTTAATGCCTCCTCTGCCGTCAAATCGCCAACGTTGTGCAAGCCAACATAGCGCGTCACCATAACCCATCACCACCGAGCTCATCTCGTCCACCGCTAACTCCGGACCCGCCAACGGACAACAGCGCGGCGCATTCGACTGTTTTTGCTGTCTGACTGTTTTTGCTGTCTTTGTGTCTCTTTTCAGCCGTCTTTTCTCAACAGAGTCTCTTGACCCAACCCCCCAAACGTGTACCCTCAACATGTCGACGACTTCCACCGCGACAGTCGCCGCATCTGCCATGGAGCAGCCCACTAGCGTCACCGTTGTCGCAGGCGAGGGCCTGGGCCCGGCGCCGGACACGGCCCAGAGCAAGCCGCACCACGTGCTCAACGCCGACGGCTCCATCCAAAAATTCCGCAACCCACACGCCTCCTTTGTCGACGGCCTCGGCCCGGCCGGCTCGCTGGGGCCCCTGAGCTTCGTCAAGATCATCGGCACGTTTGTGCGCTACCGGTTTGCCGGCAAGCTCCAGACGCCCGACACGACGCCGCCCACCGTCACCGTGCGCAAGCCGACCTTTTTGCCGACGCGCTACCCCGACAACGACCCGACCAAGAAACACCCGCTGCGCGCCACGTGGCTGGGCCACGCGTGCTACTACATTGAGTTCCCGACGGGGCTGCGCGTGCTGTTCGACCCCGTCTTCGAGGACCGCTGCTCGCCCATGTCGTTCCTGGGCCCCAAGCGGTTCACGCCCGCGCCGTGCGTGCTGGCGGACCTGCCGGCCGTCGACGCCGTCGTCATCAGCCACAGCCACTACGACCACCTGTCCGGGCCGTCGGTGCAGACCATCCGGCAGCACCATCCGCGGGCGCACTTTTTTGTCGGCCTGGGCCTGGCCGACTGGTTCCGGAGCGCGGGCATCCAGGAGGTGACGGAGCTCGATTGGTGGCAGGACGCCGAGGCCACTGTGACGCTGGGGCCGGTGGGGGGTGGTGGCGCGGCCACCAGACCCAAGACGTCGACGTCGACGTCGGCATCGTCACCCAACACCAACACCAACGTCCCCCCCCTCAAAGCCCTCTTCTCCTGCCTGCCCAGCCAGCACACGTCGGCGCGCTCGCCCTTTGACCGCGACCACACCCTGTGGTGCAGCTGGGCCGTGTCCGCGGGCGGCCGCTCCGTGTACTTTGGCGGCGACACGGGCTACCGCGCCGTCGACCAGGACCAGGAGGACATTGAGGCCAGCGTCCCGGACCCGACCGACCGCGCGGCCGTCCACGCCGCCGACGACGCCGTCCGCGCCCAGCGGCCCGGCTGCCCCGACTTTGCCCACATTGGCGCCCTGCGCGGGCCCTTTGACGTCGGCCTGCTGCCCATTGGCGCGTACAAGCCGCGCACGCTGTTTTCTGGCATGCACGCCGACCCCGTCGATGCCGTCGACATCTTCAAGGACACGCGCTGCCGCCGCGCCATGGGCATCCACTGGGGCACCTGGGCGCTGACCGTCGAGCCCGTGCTGGAGCCGCCCGCCAAGCTCAAGGAGGCGCTGCGGCGGCGCGGGCTGCCGGAGACGGGCGTGTTTGACGTGTGCGAGATTGGCGAGAGCCGCGAGTTTGACTGAACGGGGTGGTTTTATTCTTAAGTCTTTGGTTTTGGAAGCCACTTTGCGCGTACTTGTTACAATGGTGTACTGTTGTTGATTGCATTGATTGACACAAAACAAGGAGATCCATATCTAACGAGTCTCATCTCAGGATCAATTGCGACTGTGTATCGTCTTGATGCCAATCAATGCCCCTGTTGGTCCACGTGTAACTTTCCAGTTACTTTCGATTTTTGTTGCTAATTTTTCTTGCTCGCATGCACCTACGCCACCTGCATCCATCACGTCGTGATGCAAAAGAACCGTTCCGAGGACATGCACAGCTCGATTTTCAGAAAAGTCACCAATTGGTTGATCCGCCAGGCAACAGAGTAGCCCGAAAGGAGATAGAGTCAAGAGAAGATTCACGACTGGATTGCGAGAAATACGGGCAAAAGAGGGGGAGAAGCAAACTGGCGTGCGTAAATCCTCGTCGCCAGTCGCAACCCCCCCAGGAATTTCTTGGAGAGGTTCTGGAGTGCCATCCGTGGAAGACATTGCATGCACTGTAGCATTGATGTCGAATGGGGAGGCCCAGCAATCATCATTGACCATATCAGACGGCTGCCTAAATGAAAACCTGCAAATTTTACTGTTGTGCAGAATTCGACGTGAAAACTTCGCGACCTGATATCGCAGCACAGCAGAGTCTCTCGGCTATTGTTGATTGCCCTGACATAAATGGGAATAGAAAGTGTTTATATGCTCCAGTATTCCCCTATTCTCACCACAGATTTAATTTGCCAATGCTCAGCATCTAGACAGCTTCTTTTATTACGGCCAGATAGCAGCGACAGAGAACGCCACGACGCACCACTACCTAAATACGATAAACAATTTAACATTCTTTCCAATGTGCATACTCGCTTCTTACACGAAGGTATATGGCAAGTGCAAACGAAGCCAGAAACATTATATCACAATGGCGACTGTTGTCCAGGAATGCGACAGCCCTTTAAAGGGCGAGTTTTGTCCGGACGCTTTTGTCGACACAAGCATTGTGTTCGGCTCCGTGACATCCAAAGAAAATCCATGCCCCATGTGCCCGACTTAGGTAAGGTCTTCTGTTAAGTTTTTTGGTCGTTTTCGCCCATCGCACACACGCTCATGTTCCGCGGCTACAGAACGAAGGAGGTACCAAATGCGTGCGATATCTAGGTTCAATGATGATATTTTTATGTATTTTATTTTACATTTGAGAATGTACGAAGCAGCCTGTGTGTTGTCAAACTACAGCTTTAGTTTACCAGAAGACGATGTGTGTTAAGAAAAAAGACAAACCATGCTCATTGGGGAGTCCATTTGAAGTATGCTGTAGGTTGCTTTACTGTGTCCTCTCGATGTCCCTTGGAAGCCACAGAGGTGGCGTAGCAACCCCTATTTGCCAGCCAATGGCAGGCAACCACCCCAGCCACCAAAGTTTCCTACCATGTATGCCGAACTGGATTGACCTCCGGCCTCATTGATAACAAAAAGCAAAATAATCGCATTGAATTAATCCCGTGCAACGCCGCCAGCTAGTAGAACCTGACGACGCATCAGGCATCCGACACAATGGTTGCGCTCATGTTTCCTCAGATGGACCCCGGCTTTGGGGCCATTATCGGGATGGGGGGCTCGTGTTTTGTGTCTCTGGTGGACGACGCGACGGTCCACAAGAGCTACGAGATTTGGGTCAATGGCAAACGACGATCCTACTACCCGGAAACCTGCGAAGATGACCTTGCGCGTGAAGCTGCAGTGTATGCGCACCTTGGCCGCCACGACAACATTCTCGTCTGCCACGGCCTCGACGAGATTCACAACGACCCAACCGTGCACGCCCTGCGCCTCGAACTGGCGCCGCTGGGCACTGTCCGCACTCTCATCCAAAAGACACTCAACGACCCGCTCCCGGCGGCCACGCGCCTCCAAATGTGCCGCGACACCACTGCCGCCGTGGCGCACATCCACCGCAAGGGCGTGTGGCACTCGGACCTGAGCTGCCGCAACCTCATGATTTTTGCCGGGCACCGTGTGAAGCTGGGCGACTTTGGCGGCGCTATCATCGAGGCGGCGACGCACCAGTTCCCGGCCACCGCCGCCGAAGAGGAGCAGTACGCGCTGCCGTGCCGGGGACGGGAGGCAGACGACTTGCCGCGGGTGAAGCGGGAGCTCTTTGCGCTGGGGTCCTGTCTGTACGAGATCATGGCGTGGCAGCGGCCGTTCCAGGGGCTGGAGGACCACGAGGTGCGACGACGCTACGAGGCCGGCGACTTTCCCCCGCTCGCGAGCTTGCCTGCCGCGGTGGGCGACGTGGTGGACAAGTGCTGGCAGGAAGCGCTTGGCAGCGCCGAGGAAGCGGTGCATCGCCTGCGAGAATAAAAAAGAAACCGTATGAATGATCGCCTGCGAGAAGAGACAGTACCACAGTACCACAACCACAGTAACAGAGACGACACAACAGGGTCTCCGGCCCCGCAGCCCCCACAGTCTTGCCGGCCGGTGTGGCCGAGCTAATTGGCAGCGTCTAAGCACGCAAATCGAGAACATGGTCCGCGGGCACTTCCGCTAATTAGGTTGGGGCGGAATGGCCAAGGGTCACATCTTGATGCTATTCGGACCATACATTTCGGCCATCATATCATATCAGCCGCCAATCACGTCAAGGCCGAATTACCAAGCATCGCAACCCACAACGTTTGTATTTCCATTTCCACTGGCTGCGCTCTTGACCCCCAATGGCAGGCCAGGCATTCCAATGTTGCTTTATTGAAAATTCCATGATTCCATGTGTTGCCCTTGCCGTGTCGTCTGGTTGTCTCGATCCCCAAATCCGGAGGTCTGCGGCGCACCGTTGTGGGATGGCGCCACACGCTCTGATAAGCTCGTGCTTGTGTGTGCTGTTCGTGCTGCAGCCTCCTGCTGGGCTGCCGGTACACCTTCCTCTTTTGACAAAGCCCCAAATGTCGACGGCATGCCCAATGTCCAATGTTGACATGTTTGTAAGTCGTAGATTAAAGTATGCTGTCTATCCCGTCTTTCTGGTTCTCCCGTGCGTTTCAACACATCTACGACATATCTTGTCAAGCGCTACGCATATCCCAGTTACAAAGGGCAGCAGAGCATAGCAATGGGTGAGCCACTCTTTTTTTTCTTGATTTTTTATTTAATTTGCTTTGTTTTGTACACGTTTTATCCATGTTTTATGTGACGTTCTAACGTATGATGTACGGCGCTTCCCTTCAGCGGAAAAAACAGTGGCACATGACGTGCAACCGGTTGTCGAGCCCGACACGGGGGCCGATGCCGAGAAGATGGGCGATGATGGCTTGGTCGGCCCCGTCGCCGATGTCGACGCCTATCCGCCGCCCACGGAGGAAGAACAGCACACGCTGCGCAAAGTCTCCGACTCCATCCCGCTGACGGCCTGGCTGCTCTGCTTCGTCGAGATGGCCGAGCGCGCGTCTTACTACGGCGTCAAGTCCGCCTTCAACAACTTCATGCAGTTCCCCCTGCCGGCCGGCGGACCGGGCACGGGCGCCATCAACCCGGCGAAGCCCAACTCGCACGCCGGCGCCCTCAACCTGGGCCTGCAGACCGCCTCGGCGCTGGGCCTCCTGTTTACGTTCCTGGCCTATGTCATCCCCATCTTCGGCGCGTGGCTGGCCGACGTCAAGACGGGCCGCTACCAGGCCATCGTCTGGGGCGTTCTGATTGGTGCCGTGTCCCACGTCATCATGGTGGGCGGTGCGGCGCCGGCGCTGCTGCAGGCCGGCAAGGGCGCGGCGCCCTTTTTGGTCAGCTTCTTTTTGCTCGCCATCGGCGCCGGGCTCTTCAAGCCCAACGTGGCGCCGACGGTCATCGACCAGTACAAGCACCAGCGGCCGTACACGCGGGTGCTGGCGACGGGCGAGAAGGTGCTGGTGGACCCGGAGACGACGGTCAACCACACCATGCTCATCTTCTACGCCTTCATCAACGTCGGCGCCTTCTTCTCCATTGCCGTCGTGTACATTGAAAAGTACCGCAGCTTCTGGCTGGCCTTTCTGGTGCCCGGCATCGTCTACTTCTTGCTGCCCGTGCTGCTCGCCGTCTTGTACAAGCGCACCATCCGCACGCCGCCGCAGGGCTCCGACCTGACGCGCTTCCTCAAGATCACGCTGGCGGCGCTCAAGGCCAGCCGGGGCAACGTGTTCGCCAAGGCGTTCTGGTCGCGCGTCACGCCGTCGGCGCTGCTGGCCGAGCGCGGCGTCCGCGTCTCCTACTCGGAAAAGGACGTCGACGACGCGCGCCGCACGTGGGAGGCCATCCAGATCTTCTTGTACATTCCCGTCTGGAACCTCAACGACGGCGGCGTCGGCAACGTCCAGAGCAACCAGGGCGCCGCCATGACGTCCAACGGCGCGCCCAACGACCTGCTCAGCCACTTCAACCCGCTCGTCATCATCATCTTCTCGCCGTTCATGGCGCAGATTGTCAACCCGTTCCTGGAGCGCCGCAAGATCAAGGTCGGCCGCATCACGCGCATGACCATTGGGTTTTCCCTGGCCACCTTGTCGTCGCTCATCGGTGCCATCGTCCAATACCGCGTCTACGCGACCAGCCCTTGGTGAGTTCCCTCTCTCGCCCCTGACCGTCCGCCCTGTCATCTGCCCTTGTTGTCTTGTCATTGTCCCTCTGTAGTTTTCTGCATGTCCCTAATCACCACTCCAGCGGCTACCAAGCCAGCACCTGCGACGACGTGTCGCCCGTCTCCATCTGGTGGCAGGTCCCCAATGTGGCCCTCGGCGCCATGTCCGAGATCTTCATCAACGTCACGTCCTACGAGCTCGCCTACGCCCGCGCCCCGCCCAACATGCGGTCCACCGTCGTCGCCCTCTTCTTGTTCATGACGGCCCTGAGCAGCGCCCTCGGCGAGATCCTCATCCCTGCCATCAACGACCCCACCCTCATCTGGGCCTGGGCCGCGCCCGGCATCGCGCTCTTTGTGCAGACAATCATCTTTTGGTGGCGCCACCGCCATGTCAATGATGACGCCTTTATCACGTATAGCGAGGACTTTGAGCCGCTGCAGCCCGGGAAGGTCGAGCCTGTCAAGCCACTGGAAGGCTAGAACGGTGTAGCGCGATGACGAGTGGTGTCGCACGTCGGACAAGGTCAACACAACTCATACGCTTCGAAAGTAGTGGGGATCTGGTGGAACGAGGGCAAGAGTGACGAATGTACGCAGCAAGGGAGGGCATCATTTGCGAATTCATGATTCATGTCGGTATTTATTTCATACGAGACAATCCGCAGCTGCTGGCGTCACAGTCGACTGCTGTTTCGACCCAGCCGAGGAATCAGTTTGCGTGCATTCCCAAAATGAATCTGGTCCCGTAGCTCCGGTGCCATGTCGTAGGACTCGAGCTCCTGCAAGAATGCAGGATACGCAGGTGGCGGTGCATACGAAAAGTCGCTCTGTATGCGGACGAAGCCGTCCAAATTAGCGTTTGCCTCACAGATCTCGCATCCGATTCGTCTCGTTTGCATCCACAAAGGGACGGGGCAACCTACGCCGTAGAGGATGTGGTCGTGGGGAATGGTCTTGAGCGCCATGTCCAGGACCGCCGGCGACGCCGACAGCGCCAGATCGTAGTAAAAGCTCCGAAAGTCGTCCATGACACGGCGGTGCGTCACCCCCACCGCATACGACGCCGCCACGTCGGGCGTCTTGCTCAGGGGCGTGGCGATGCGGCTGATGAGGTACGGCAGCGTCCCGCCCGCGTGCGACAGGATGACCTTGCAGCCCGGGTATTTGGCGCGCGTGCCCATCACAATCATGTCCATGGCCGCCCGCGTCGTCTCGTGCGGGTAGTCCACCATGGGCTGCGGCATGCGGGAGTTCACCTGGGCCGTGTCGACCGGGTGCGTGGGGTGCACGAACACGACAGACTGGCGGCGGTGGAGCTCGGCCCAGATGGGCTCCAGGTCAGGGTGGCCCAGGTACGTGTTGCCGTCGCCGTAGCGCGTGAACATCGTGACGCCGTCCGCGCGCAGCGTGTCCAGCGCGTAGCGGAGTTCGTCGAGCGCCGCCTCCGTGTCCAGGATGCTGGGCAGCGACGCAAAGAAGCCGAACCGGCTGGGATTGGCATCGCGCACGCCGGCTGCGTATTCGTTGAGCTGCCGCGCCAGTTTGTACGACGCCGCACCCTTCAGGATGCATGTACCAGGTGCGGTGGCCGAGTGTATGGCCGTTTGGACGCCGCCCAGCCGGTTCATGAGAAGCTCCGTTGCGCGAGGGCTCCAGTTCGGCGTCGGCCAGCCACTGGGGTCGCCTACGGTGTTGTTATCATGAGTCGCCTGAGTTTATATCTGTGTTATGGACGGCCCATTTGACAGCCCAGGCGGACGTACCTCCAGCACTGGCAACCGCTGACGAGGAAACACAGGTTAGCAGCCGCCCCTTTGCGGTATCATGTCGTCCCTGGCGCACGACTGACCCTCGGTAAAAGTGTGGCACAAAGTGATGGTGTGTGTCGACCTTGTTGACGGCCGGCTGCTCAGGCCAGCTGAGTACTTTGCCCAGCAGCCAGTCTTGCGCGTGGTCCTTTGTGTAGCTCATGTTGGCCCCCAGCCAGCTGACGGTCGCAAGGAAGGCTGACACCAATGTTTGGGTCTGCATCGTTTGAGATGGTGATCTATGACACGACAATGTGGGTGCAAGAAATATTAGTTATAAGACTGTATATAAGATTGATATAAGACTGTATAAGACATAAGACTGTAGTCGGAAGGAACCCGATGAAGGATCGAATGTAACCGTCATACAGAATAGACGACCGTCGGATTAATTCCGGCGCGATGGATCTCGGCAGCGTCCGTTAGGCGCAGATGAATATGAGGAATGAAAGGCAAATTGGGCCTCCACTTGGCGCGTCCTTTAGGCGGGGTAAACCCTCCGGATCCTACGGATCTGCAGAGGATCGAACAGAATGGTTAATGGGTATATGAACGGTGTGATTCCCCCGGATTCCTGCAATTGCGCCGAGCCCAATTTTCTGGTATATTCTGCTCTCACACCGATCGAAAATCCTTCCGGCGTCGTCGACCCACCTGGATCCGGAATTCAACAGCCGTCAATGCTGCAGCGGGCAGCTTCATGCCGCTGCATACCATGACCGACAAGCCTCTCGAGTCCAACGCGGCGTCGCTGCCGTTGAGAGTGTGTGACAGATGCATTCGGTAGGTTGCAATAGCGTGTTTCCCTTCCCCCTGTATCGCCATCTACATGACAAAACCATCAAACCAACATTGCTTGGCAGCAAAAAAATCAAGTGTAAGTCCCTGTTGTAGTCCTCGACGTCCTGGTGTCCGCCGCTCACACATGGCGAGCAGGCAACCGTGAACGGCCATCGTGCTCGCGGTGCCTGGAGTTCGGCGAGACGTGCCGCTACAGCTCTGCCAGGCGCAAACCGGGCCCGCCACTCGGCTCGCACCATGCACCCAGCCCACTCCGAAAGTCGCGCCGGTCGAATGCGGCCAGCGCTGCAGCCCCAGCGGCCCCAGCAGCCCCAGCAGCCCCACTGAGGCCATCGGCGCCAACGCCGCCAGGTACAATCGAAACCGCCACGGCCACCACCACAGAACCCTCCGCTCGGGACACGGCCGCCCGTCTCTCCGCATCCACGCCCACGGCCACGCCCACGGGACAGCGTGAGGAACGACCCACCCCCACGACGCAACCGTTGGTCGTTCCACTCACCCTGCCCCAGCTGACTCCCGCCGGCCGAGGCGATGTCCGCAAACGTCCCTGCACGCTGAATCTTGCTCCCCACCAAGTGGAGTGCCTGTACGTGTCTTTATCTCTTGGCAATCGCACAGAGCGGGAGCTAACCAACGGGCCGTCTTAACGGGCCGTCTTCGGGAGCAGTCTCTTGCGGTATTTCGACATTCTCAAAGACGTGAGCCCGATTTATTCGCGGGATCTGTTCCTGCAGCGCTACAAAGATGGCCGGTGCAGTGAGAGCCTCATTTCCACCATTGTCGTCATTGCCGCCAAGGTGACGGGGTATGCCGCCGACCAAGACGGCCCCGAGGGCGACGGCCTGCCGAACTGGGATGCCTGTCTGGACCTCCTGCTCAGCTCCAGCCTGCTCGACGAGGACCTGATGGGCGATGCCCTGTCGCTGGACGACTTCCGCCGGGCCTTTATCCTGGCCGTGTACGAGTACCACCAGTTCCCCGGCCACCAGTCGTGGATGCGCGTGGGCCGCGTGACGCGCATGGCCTACCGCGTCGGGCTGGACCGCCTGGACCACATCCGCACCGTGTATGCCGACTGGCGCGCTGTCGACCCCGAGGACATCCAGGAGTGGCGCGCGCTCTGGTGGTGCATCTACCGCCTGGACACGTACTCGAACATGGCGTGCGGCACGCCGTATGTCATTGACGACACGGCCATGGGCACGTCGCTTCTGCAGAGTCCGGCAACCGGGGCCGCCTCCGCGTCGCCCGATGCCGATGGCGCTGGCGCTGGCGCTGGCGCGGTGGGCACGCTGCCGGTGCTGTACTTGCCGTCCGACCTCGACGACGTGCCCGGCGTCGTGCGTGCCGTCGTCCAGGCGCCGGCGACGTTCATGGCCAACATCCACAACGTGACGCTGTCGGCCCTGCGCCAAGCGGGCCTGGTCCTCCGCCTGCCCCTCCTGCACTCGCTTGGCGACCGGGCGGCCCTCGTCACCCGCGCCGAGCGGCGCCTGGCCACGACCCGGCTCGCGCTGCCCACGGGCTGGCTCAACCCGCGGCGCAACGCGCTGTCCAACGAGTCGCGCGCAGTCCACCACGCGCGACTCGCGACCGTCCTGCACCTGCAGATGGCCCAGCTGCTGCTGGCCATGGCCGACCCCGGCCTGCGCCAGGAGGGGGCGGACAACAACAACAACGACAACGACGACAACGACGACCGCGCCGTCGCCGGCTGGCAGCGCGTGCTCGAGGCGTGCCAGGACATTGCCGCCGTGGCCCACCAGTGGGACAGCTCCTTCTGCCTGGCCGTCGACCCGGCGCTGTCGTTTGTGGTGTTTACGGCGCTCGTCTTTCTGGACCTCTACCGCAAGACGGCGCTGGCGGACCCCCGTCTCCGCCGCGACCTCGACCACCAGACCACCGTCTTGCACCTGCAGATGTCGCATTTTGCCACCACGTGGACCGTGCCGCGGTTGCTCCTGTGTACGTTCAAACGACTCGTATGGTTCCGCCGTCCCTACGCCACTCCACACCCTGACTAACTCTACAGTGTCCTACGAGAGCTTCCACCAGTCCGTCTCGGCCCCGCTCTACGGCCGCCACATTGCTCTGATCCTGTCGCGGTTCGAGGCCCCCTTCCACCCCCGCTGGCTGCAGTTCCTGTCGTCCGCCGGCACGGTTTTGGCCAACAGCGTGCGACCTGTTGTCACCTAATTTTCCCCGGCCTACGGGGACCAGCTTGCCCGACTCGTCGATTTTCGACTTTCTGCCGCCCACGAACGTCGACGCCCAGCATTTGCGCGCTCTGTCGCACGGCTCGCCACAACCTCTCGGGGCCGCCGCGCTGCGGGCGACGGTTCGCTGGGCCCATGTAGTACAGGCTGGCGCCGTTGCCGCTGACCCACCGGTAATGACCACAATCTCCGACGACTACTGCCAGTTGGATGGGTTTGTCGGATTGTTGAAGCCGCGATCGAGGTTCCTGGTCAGAGAAAGGACAGTCGACAAGCACGCCAATGTGACTGCCGACGTGCGGACCCAGGCCGACAGGGAGTGTCATTGCAGGATTCAAAAACGCGTGGCGAAGGAGTCGGGCGACGAGTCCACTGTGAATCCTTTGCGGGGAAGAGCCATTTTCGGCCAAGTGAAGTGTCTTGCGTATGCTGCCGAGTCTTGCGTTTTTCTACAAAGAAAATATTGCGTGAAAAAATATATGCAAGACTACAAATCACAACACATTTTATAGAAACAAACGAACACGACGAAAAGTGCCGTACGTGCTGCATGGCACGGCGTTTCGCTCGGTGCACTATTTACTCCACGCCGGACGAATTAGCAACTGGCGATGTCGATCCGGAGCAATTTCAGCACCAACGCCAATCTTTTCACATGTAACTGCCCCATACCCCAGAATTCTTGGAAATAGTTTGATGTCCCCCTCTTTTGCAGCGCGACAGAGTCCATTAGACTTTTTTGGTCAAGTCTACGTCAAGAGCTTGGCATCAGTCGTACATCCTTCTCCTGCATCCTTCGTGCAATCCTTCTTGAATCCCTCTTGCATCCTTCTTGCCTCCTTTTGTTCTTATTTTTTACTTATCTTTAGTTCTTGCCTCCTTTTATTGTCTCCTTTTGTTCATCTCTTTTACTTGCCTCATTTGTCTTGCATCTTTTCTCTACAACAAATTCTTTCCGTTCGTTCATTCAGACCCTACCATGGCTGATTGTACCTGCCAAACTTCGTCGGCCAAGTGTGCGCGCCATGATGCGCCTCCCACGCTGCCTTTGTCCCAAAAGCTGAGCTTCCTGGGATACGTTTTTTTCCTAGGTGAGTATTCGTTTCCGGTCCGTTACTGACTGGCATGGTATGACCTGATATCGATCCGACGATACTGATCCGAGTGCAACGTCAGTGATCCCCAGGACGATTTTGAACGCGACGACGGCAACTATTACAGTGTTCCGCCGCGGCCTGCCGCTGCGAAAGTATCTCACCAGTGCGTTCCTGGGCGCATCGCTGCTGCATCTCAAGCCCGGCCACATCCAATATGCGTCGCCGACGTCGCGGCAGGTCTACCGCGCCTTTATGACGTCCATGCTGTCCAAGGCCCAGCGCCGCGGCCAGACGGACCTCGTGGCCAGCCTGCAGACGGACACGCAGCCCCTGCCGGTGGGCGACGCGTCGCTGCTGTGGATGGGAAGCCGGAAGACGGCGCGCAAGTTCGTCTTGTTTTTCCACGGCGGCGGCTACGTGGCGCCGCTCATGCCCGGCCACGTGGAATGGTGCTGGCGCGTCTTCGTGGCGCCGCACATTGGCACGCCCAACGAGGTGGCCGTCGCCATGCTGGACTACACGCTATGCCCGGCGGCGCAGTACCCGACCGTCCTGAAGCAGGCCGTCGCCGCGCTCGAGAGCCTCCTCGCGTCCGGCGTCCGGCCCGACCAGATCGTCGTGGGCGGCGACTCCGCCGGCGGCAACCTGACGGCCCATCTCCTGCGCCACCTGCTGCGCCCCGAGCCGCACGCCCCGCCCGTCCACCTGGCGCAGCCGCTGCTGGGCGCCTTTCTGGTCTCGCCCTGGCTGACCTCGGACATTGCGCAGGTCGCCATGGTCGAGAACAACGGTGTCGACATGATTTGTCCGCGCCACATCGGCCTCACCACGTACCACTTTTACGGCGCGCAGCCGCTCCCCAAAGACGAGGACCTCGTGCACGGCACCGAGTCCGCCTATGACAACCTGGCCTCGGTCGTCGGCGACGTCTATGTGACGGCCGGCCAGCAGGAGGTGCTGCGCGACCAGGCCGTTATGTGGGTGGACAAGGTCCGCCGCCGCAACGCCGGCTTGAAGATCGAACTGGCCGTTGCCAGGGACGAGGGCCACGATTTTATCTTGCTCGAGGGCGATCAGCAGCAGACCGGTCCAGCCATGGAGCGGATGAAGGCTTGGTCTCTGGACCTGATTCAGGGCGAGGGACAGAAGGGGAAGCCGTAGTTGGGAAGTGAAGTATTCTGTTTGGAACGTATTAAAACTTGATAGGAAGGTGTTGGAAACGTGTAAGGGACTCGTCGTCACACGATGGTAATCAAGCGTGATAGTAGAGAGCCAGTACAAATTATAAAAGGATTTGAAGTGAAGGCAGAACATGGCGACGAGGATGATGTGCAAATAATGACAGTTTGCTGAAGTAACTGGAGATATATGCTGCATAATACGTTGTCCTCGGTGGACAGAGTACTGTGCAATCCGTTGCATTCGCGATCAGTTCATGCATGATTCAATGCATCGTACTCGAGTCTTTCGGAGTAATTTTGTCGGAGGATCTCTTTGTGGAGTTTATATTAGTCGACCCTCTTAAATCGTCGCCGCGGAACAACTTCCCCAGCCTTTAGCACGGTCTCCTTTCACAACGGCCTCGGCTGTCGTTCTTAGTGCCAGGAACCCCGCAAATTCATGTGTTTGCTCGATTGTGGCTTCTTTTATTTAGGGGACTACCGTCTCCAACTTTATCTCGAAATTGTTTATTCTTGTGATGATGATATTTGAAACATTCGACAGCAGTTTGTAAGAGTTTGCACCGGCCGAACTTACTGTCACAGTCGTCTCGCCGCTGCAGGCTTCTTAGTGGTCCTTTCGTCCGTCCATCCTTCATCCTTCGATCCTTCTAAACCTTCCCACCAATTGGCCCAAGTCTCGGCAATATGGGCGTACCAGAAAAGGTACCAGAAAAGGTCGACTGCACCTACAGCCAGTTTGGTTGCATTGGCGCAGGATTCGCCGGAATCGGGCTCGGCGCAACGCTCAAGCGGTGGTATGGAATTACCGACATCCGCATCTTTGAGCGCCACAGCGATCTTGGCGGAACGTGGCACATTAGCAAATACCCAGGTGCGTTTCCGTTTGCTCCATGAAGGGCAATCAAATCGTTGCACAAACGACGGAACGACTGTACCTAACTCCACAAGGCTGCGCATGCGACGTGCCCAGCGCGCTCTACAGCTTTTCGTTCGCCCAGAATGCCAGCTGGTCCCAAACCCTCCCCCCCAGCGACGAGCTGTGGGCGTACCTGAAGCGCGTGGCCGACACGTACGACCTGCCCGAGAAGATGGTGTTCAACGTTACCGTCGAAGAGTGCCGCTGGATCCCCGAGACCAGCCGCTGGCGCATGACCATTCGGCACAACAAGGCCGGCACCGTCTTCTACCACGAGTGCCAGTTCCTCTTTGGCGGCACCGGCCAGCTCGTCCACCCGCGCGAGCTCGACGTGCCCGGCGCCGAGACCTTCCAGGGCGCCATGTTCCACACCTCCCGCTGGCGGCACGACGTCGACCTGACCGACAAAAACGTCGTGCTCATCGGCAACGGCTGCACGGCCGCGCAGATTGTGCCGTCGATTGTGGGCAAGACCAAGCACCTCACGCAGATCGTCCGCTCGAAGCACTGGATCCTGCCGAGCATTGACGACGCCCGCGCCCGCAGCATGCGTGCCGTGGCCAGCAAGCTGCCCCATAGCATCGGGACCACCCTGGCGCGTCTGGCGGTGTTCATAGTCGCCGAGATCGACCTCCTCGGCTTCCCCATGACCGACTTTGCCGCCCGCTTCCGGCGCCGCCGCCGCCGCCAGGCCGAGGCCTACATGCGGGCCACCGCCCCCGCCCAATATCACGACATCCTGGTGCCCGACTTTGAGGTCGGCTGCAAGCGCCGCATCTTCGACACGGGCTACCTTGAGAGCCTGCACGCGCCGAACCTCACCCTCACCAACGACAAGGCCCTCGAGATTGTGCCCGAGGGCGTCCGCACCCAGAGCGGCGTCGTCCCCGCCGACGTCCTTGTCCTGGCCAACGGCTTCCAGACTAGCGACTTCTTGACCGGCATCAACGTCGTCGGCGAGGGCGGCACGACCCTCCCGGCGCACTGGCAGTCCTTTGGCGGCCCCGAGGCCTACAACTGCACGTCGCTCAGCGGGTTCCCCAACTTCTTCATCCTCCTCGGCCCCAACACCGCTACGGGCCACACCTCGACCATCATGGCCGCCGAAAACTCCATCAACTTTGCCCTGCGCATCATCAAGCCCCTGCTCGACGGCGAGGGCACCCAGGTCGACGTCAAGCGGTCGGCCGAGGAGCAGTACGTGCACCGCATCCAGGACGCACTGGCCAACACCGTCTGGAACTCGGGCTGCCAGAGCTGGTACATTGATCGGACCCCGGGCAAGGAGGGCAAGAAGTGGAACGGCATGACCTACCCCTACTCGCAGATCCACTACTGGTACCGCTGCCTGTTCCCGACCTGGTCCCACTGGAAATACTCGGTACGTTGGATCCACGCATTGTCCACAGTTCACATGTCTACAATGTCCACAATGCATTCACTCGTTTTTTTTTGGCACACACTAATGCATATTTTCTTATTAGGGCCCCAAGACGTCCAAACGCAGGTCCCTGCGCACCCTGCTTCGACTGTTCCTCCTGGGAACCACGGTTTCGACAATTGCAGCGGCCTACGTCGCCCTGCAGAGACCTGAGGAGACGCGTCGCCTCATTGCGTCCTGGAAGACCTTCCTGCCATCTCTGCTGAAAGGCTCAAGCTAGTCGGCAGTTCTACTAGTTTTTTATGGTAGAGGCGTTTTCGGTTGTACTCGTTTGTTTGCTATAGCTCGATGTGTTGCTGTAGAATAGTGCTTGTCTTTATTTATATTCAATATCATGTCAGATGAAATATAGTATCATGTACATTTAAGCTGGCCATGTAGGTTCCTCTAATTGCAAACGCCAATACATGCAATGGGACCAGATCGACTTACCTCCCCCTCCAGTTCCTCGCCGTCTACACATCGTGCTCCACATCGTCGACGGTCGGCACCTTGTTCAGGTCCACGCCAAAGTGCGCGTTGACGTCCTTGATCACGTCGTACAGCACCTTGGTGTCCGCATTCGACACCCCCACGCGCCGCGTGCCGCGAATGTGCCACCACGTCTCCGTCTTGAGGTTCTGCGACATAATGGCCGGGAAGACCACCATCTCCGTGTCCAGGTCGTCGAGCACCTGCCGGTCGCCGAGGTACAGCCCGTACGTGATGTGCTTCGACAGCCAGACAAAGTCCTTGTGCGCGTCAAAGAGCCCCAGCGTGTCGGACGCGTTGTGCTTGTAGATCTTGGCGTACCACGCCATGGCGCGGTCCAGGTTCGCGTCGTCGCACTGCCAGCCGGCGCGCGTCTCGGAGTAGTCCTTGTCCTCGGGGCGCTCGATGGCGCTGATGGCCAGGATGGCCTCGAGCGGCTTGCAGACGCCGACAATGGACACGGCCTTGACGAGGGCTTCGCGCAGGCGGCGCACGAGGGCCTTGCGGGCGTCCGACGTGGCGTACGCGGGTTGGGCCACGAGATGAGCGTAGAGGTGCGCGGCGGCTTCCGGATCCGGGCCCGCGACCAGGCACGAGATGACGACAATGTACCAGCGGTCCTCGGGCCCCAGGATCGTGGGCTTCAAGGCGGCCTCGGCGCGGCGGAAGACGTTGACGAGATCCGCGGGCGTCTCGAGCGCAGCAGGTGCCGCAGCGGTGGTGGCTGCAACCGTTGTCAGTAGGGAAATCGGTGCAACAAAGACAGAAAGAGAGGGACTGTCACGAGAAATGGAGACCTACCTTGTGCCATTATGGGCGGCTCGGTGATTTTGGATGCACCGCGAATGGGAGTGCAGTGCAAAGGCGCGAAGCGGACGAAGGGAGGTCGGATTGGTGTGGCTAGGCGAAAGGTGCGTGTCAAGCTGCGGCTCATCCTATATCGGATCCGTGTTTGGAGTGGAATCCAGGAACCAGACACAAAGGGGTGGAGGGAGCAGCAGCAACTGATGTTCGAAGCTGGGGGTTGACGGCAGACTCCTCGCTCCTACTTCAGTACCCTGCTGCTTTGTAGTTGCTCTCTTGTCTCACTTCTGCCGTCGTTCTCCGTCCGTTGCACTTTTCACGAAACACTCAATTCTCACCACCCACAGCTACAACCGCTTGCCCCACCCAAGGAGCTGTCAGATTTGGAGAGAGGTATCGGACAGTGCGTCGGTACACTGTATGCACTGTCCCTGGGTGGAAATCTACGAAATCCTTCGTGCTCAGGCCAGACACCCAGATCTCACCCGTCGGACAAGGGATAGCCTCCCCGCGCGATCGGCGGGACGTCTCGTCAAGGTACAATGGCTTCCCCTCATTTCGTCCTGGACAACTTGTTATTTCCAGCGTAAAAGCATCTACCGGCCTGGCATCCCTTGTCTGTCGTGCAATGACTGTTGTTAGAGAAATGGTCCTTTAAATCACCTGCTGTTTAGTGAAGTTGGCACCCTTACCTTCCGCCAGACCGGACCCCCAGATTTCTCCATATCTCCAGCTCAAGCTCCCCAGTGCGTCGTCTTCTTGCCGTTATCGTCGCCCAAAGTCCAATGCGGCTCCGCTTCCTCCTCCTTTCCCGAATATTTATCTATTTCCGCCTTGCACGCGAGCTGCATTCTCGCGTCTACTCTGCTAAACGCTGCCCTAATCAATCTCCCTCCCCTGTTCGTTTCTAGCCAGTTCCTTCTTCCCCGCAAAACACCACCAGCCGTTCATCATCCTCACTGTGGGGTCAGATCCGCTCTCCGCTCCGACCCTCCGTGCCCGCTGCGGAATCGGGGCAACGGCGAATGGCTTAGCTTGACGTATCAGGCAGGAAGAAGGAATGTGCTTGCCTTGCACGTAGAATGGGCTCCAAAGCCATGAGGGGCACGTCGTCACACAAGGCATTGGCCCAACCTCTTGTACATTAAAACAAGAGCTTCACAACAGCAAATAACGACCCGTTGGCACACCAATTCCCGTACCTTCCATTCACTGCCGCTTTGGCCGTTGAATCTGTCGGAATTCCCGTTTTCGTTCTCTGTCCCACAAAATACTTTACGCCCCCCGCAGGACGCCACCGCTCATATAAACATCAAAACAATTTAAGTCCTCTCACACAAACATATACACACAACCACACTACACACACACAGACGCGCGCTCGTATGCAACATGGGCTCCTCCGCTGTACCGCTGGCCGACCGGCTGCCGCATGACAACCGCCTGGAGAAAGACTCGTTCAATGTCGTGCCCGCCGTCTTCCCCACGTCTGCCGTCCCCGAGGGTACCGATGTCCGCAACGTTGCCACCGACACAATCGCTGCCGTCAACAAGCACCTCGCCGCCAAGGACTACAAGAGCGTGGGCGCACTATTCGCCGAGGAGGGCCAGTGGCGCGACCACCTGGGCGTGTCGTGGGATTTCCGCACCGTCCAGGGCCCCGCCAAGATTGCCGATTTCCTGAGTGTCTCCTCGGCCGGCCAGCAGCTTGCGAGCTTCGCCGTCGACGACTCAGAGCCCCAGCGGGTGCCGGCCATCGGCGCCCTGGATGCCTTTGGCAAGAGCCCCTGTGTCGTGGTGTACACCACGTTTGCAAGCTCCGTCGGCACCGGCCGTGGCATTGCACGCCTGATCTACGATACCTCCTCGGGCTCGTGGAAGATTTACGCCTTTTACACGGCGCTGCACGAGCTGACCGGCTCTGAGCAGCTGCTCGGCGCGCGGCGACCTCTGGGCGCGAGCCACGGCGGCGGCCGCGACATGAAGAACTGGCGCGAGCAGCGGGACGAGGACGTCAACTTCACGGTGGCCGAGCCGTCCGTGCTGGTCCTAGGAGCGGGCCAGGGCGGCCTGACGCTGGCGGCGCGCCTCAAGATGCTGGGCGTCCAGACGCTCGTGGTCGACCGCGAAGAGCGCGTCGGCGACAACTGGCGCAAGCGATACCGCCAGCTCGTGCTGCACGACCCCGTCTGGTTCGACCACATGCCCTACATGCCGTTCCCGGCCTTTTGGCCCATCTTCACGCCCAAGGACAAGCTGGCCGATTTTTTCGAGGCCTATGTGACCCTCTTGGAACTCAACGTGTGGACGCGCACGGAAATCACGTCTCTCGAGTACGACGCGGCCGCCAAGCGCTACAACGTCACCGTCGAGCGCGTCGTGCCGGCAACGGGCGCCAAGGAGACTCACACCTTCCACCCACAGCACATTGTCCAGGCCACGGGCCACTCGGGCAAGAAGAACATGCCCGAGGTGCCGGGCATCGACTCGTTCCAGGGCGAGCTGCTGTGCCACAGCTCCGAGTTCCCGGGTGCCCAACCGCCGCCAGCGAACGCCGCGCCCAACGCCGTGCGCCGCGCCGTCGTCGTCGGCTCCTGCAACTCGGGCCACGACATTGCCCAGGACCTGTACGAAAACGGCTACGACGTCACCATTGTGCAGCGGTCGTCGACGTGTGTGGTGTCGTCCAAGGCCATTGTCGACATCGGCCTGGGCGCGCTGTACTCGGAGGCCGTGCAGGCCAAGCTGCCCGTCGACGACGCCGACCTGCTGCTGTGGAGCGTCCCGACGAATCTGTCCAAGGCCGTGCAAGTGCAGGCGACGCAGCTCGAGATTGAGCACGACACGACGCTGCTGGAAGGGCTGCAAAAGGCCGGCTTCGCCCTGGACCGCGGCACCGACGGCGCCGGCCTCTTCTTCAAGTACTTCCAGCGTGGCGGCGGCTACTACATTGACGTGGGCGCGAGCCAGCTGATCATCGACGGCAAGATTAAGGTCAAGTCCGGCCACGGCATCCAGCAGGTGACACCAACGGGCCTCGACCTGGCCGACGGCACGCACCTGCCCGCCGAAATTGTCGTGTTTGCCACGGGCTACCAGAACATGCGCACGCAGACCCGGGTGCTGTTTGGCGACACGCTGGCGACCGCGACGCGCGACGTGTGGGGGTTCGACAAAGAGGGCGAGTTCCGCACCATGTGGCGCGGCAGCGGGCAGCCCGGGTACTGGTACATGGGCGGCAACCTGGCGCTGGCGCGGTACTTTGGCCGCTTCCTGGCGCTGCAAATCAAGGCCCAGCAAGAAGGCTTGATGCCGTATGCATAGGCGAGCGTTGCGGAATGTTAATGAACGTTGAATAATAACATGATACTTATCATCAAAGAAGTGTGGTCCAAAGAAACAAACACATATATATGCAATTGTAGCGCCAAAAGACACTCCAGTGCACGTCCTATTATCCTGTACGGCCGCATCGTCGAGGTCACCTTGTTGACCGGAGCCACCAACTAATATAGCGCACCGGCTACGACCGGGTCGCTCGGCTCGGCGACTCTTACGATGGCTTATTCAGACCAGGAGGCCGACCTTGTACCATGACGGAGGTGGCTTTGTGCGCCTGTCTTTTTTGCTTTTACATGACCAATAGCCAATTGTTCTTGTTGATGGAGAAATCTGAAGCCGCCTGAGATTGTGCCGGTATGAAAGACGCTTAATCCACCGCTGGGAAATGTGGCCATCGAAATAATATTGCGAAACAACAATAACACTACAAACTGCCTCTGCTATTAACAGAAGCTCAAAATAAGAGAGAGTCATCTGGTCGCAGTACGTTCAGCCTTTCCATATCAGCTTTTGTTCCCGGCACGTGAAATGCTCAAACAATGATGACCACAAGGCGCGCGTGACTGCAATGACAACGGAGCAGAAAGGTTTGATGGAGTCATTTGTAGCGCGGAAGTTGGAGGAGGGTCTGGACAAGGAGATTACGACGTGGGCAAAGGAAGATGCTGTCGCCCATTTGGCAAGATACCTTGTCTGAGTAAAATTTAATCAAAGATACATGTTCCTCGCTCAGCTAACCTCTTGAAGTCGCCCGAAATTAATTAAGAATAAAGTAAAATGAAAATCTTCAAATTCAGGAAAATAAAAAGAAATAAACAAGGTATCAACACCAAAACACCCCCTGCAGAATTAGGTAGCAAATACTACGAAACAAGCTCAGGGCGAAATCTATAGGTCACATGCTGAGGAATGGGATAAGCAACTAGGTATTGATGAGAACATATGCCACTTCTTCCATGCTATCGAAAGTGTAACGGTCACGGCTATTAATCATCGTGTTAAGACCAAGCGTACACATAATCAGGTACATATGTCATCATGAACCTTATTAGCCCATCACAACAAACCAACATATGTGAGTCAGGCTTCGAAAAATGGAACTTTATGGTCCAGGTAGAATTTATCAATTTCCAATTTATACCTACCGCGTTGTTGTAAATATTTTCCTTCCATCTTCCACTACGCTCGTCATGAATAATTCACCCATGTCAAATTTATATCTCGGGAACAAAAAAAATGTAATAGCAGCGACATTCCAGAATCACAACCTCAATCACAATCACTATGGACGCCATCTACACTTACTTTGGCGCCGAAGGTCTATTTCAGACGGCAAATGCAAACGAGACAGATTCTATGATCGTCGAAGACGTCCCCTACTCGGCTATGCGGGCCATCGAGGAAGCACGTGAGAGGTACGGCGGTACTCGAGCGTTCCGATTCCACTATTGGCCTCAGTTGCAGCGGTTGCATGTCACAAGAGTGACGCGTGGCCGCCAGACGGCGACCGAAGCATTCCGGATGGCGCTCTCAATCAAACTCTCGGCCATGGGCGTGCCCACTGGCTACATCAAAATGGACGGCAGTGGCGGCGCCGTGTCCTGGCACGGACCCTGGGCGTGTCGTGCCCGCGAAGGGATGCAACACTTTGCTCCACCATGGTATGGTGGCTGGGCCGATGCGGGCGATTATGTTATGGAGGACCACAACCGCGAGGCGCAGCGTATCGACCATTGCGATTCCGGCGACTTGGACGTACACCAGGATGGCAACGATAGTATGTCTGACGGGATCAGAAGCATAAATACTATCGAGGACGAAGACCACGACAACATCAATGATGGAAACAGCGCCAACGACGTCGCCAGCTGCAGCTCAGACACTCCTCTGTGCAGTCGACATTGTCAAAGGCTGTGCCCTGCCCGAGACGATTACGAAACCTATGGACACTACGGCGAAGAAAATGTCTTCCACCGAGGCACGGCGGAGCCCGGCAACATACTGGTGCCGCTTCAGCGTCTGCGGCAGCACCCAGCGGAACGCCCGGGTTACTGGCCCACCCTCGTCATCGAAACGCACCTGAGCGGCTCGCGCCAGACGCTGGAGGACAAAGCGCACTGGTGGTTCACCGCCTCGGAAAACAGAGTCCGGGTCGTCATTGTCGTGTACGCCAACATGGACGACAAAGAGGTCCAGATTGCCAAGTTTAAGGGCCCGCACGAGGAGCCCGAGGTGCGCACCGTGCAATTCCGCGGACATGAGCCGGCAGACCGTCTGGCTGCCGCGGCCGGACGGGCCACAACCATGAACACCTACTGGGAGATCCATGGCGGCCCACTGGTGATTGCGTTTGACGACATGTTTGTGCGGCCGCCCTTGTCCGACGGCGTCACCCGGCGCGAGACGGCCGTGGTGTTTGATGAGGACGACCTTGCCGAGGTGGCCGACGATGCGGTGGGCGGGGACGAAGGCGACTGGTACGACGCTGTGTAAGGTCAGACCTTTCATGGACTGTCTCGACGTTAAAATAACTTGCTATTATGTACTTGTAATGAAGGAAACGTCTTGTATCAAAAGAAGAAAGGAAGCTATTTCGACTGCTCACGAAGCGTGATATAGCACGTGACTGAAAATCTGGAGCTTGACTAGAGCCAAACACTCACTGTACGAGATAAATCATGTGACTGCCTCCGTAGAGCTGGCACCTGCCAAAATCGTACATATAAACTGGAGACCCATCCGGGGCGACCTGTGCAACTCCTTGAGTCAACACCAAAAAGCAGAGCATTCCCACCAAACGCAACAACACGCCGGGCGGCAGATCAACACGGCTACAGCAGACGTTCAGCACGTTTTGGATGGTCTTCCGTGCCATTGTGCATTGACGAGTGGTACTGCTAGTTGGCGTTTGTGCTATTCGATTGCCCGCTGCCGCGGGCAGCTGGGTCGTTTGTTTTCCTTTTCACCATGCAGGCCGTCTGGGGCACCGACACCCCGGAGATTGACGAGACGGTGGCCCCCAAGCGGCAGCGACTGTTTATTGCGCGGCAGGCATGCGAGATTTGCCGGCAAAAGAAGACACGCTGCGATGGCGGGCACCCGTGTGGGCTGTGTCGGACGGGCGGGCTCGAGTGCAAATATGCCGAGCGCAAGGCCACCAAGAACGAGGTGTCGCTGGGCATGATCTTCAATACGCTGCAGCGGATTGAGGCCAAAATTGAAGAGGGCCAGCAGCGGAGCAGCAGCACTGAAGCCGACGACGACGAGAGAGCGAGACAAGGTGACGGAGAGGACGGAGATGAAGAGACCAACACAACACACGAGCAACAGCGACGACTGAAACGCGGCCGCAAAAGATCGAGCGTAGGACAGGCACCACGGCCGCACGTGCAGACTTCCGTTGTACAGCCGCCAACCCCGGCGGCCCATGTGGCCCTGCCGTCCCCGTCGACCCAGCCACCGGCCGTCAACCTGGCCTCGCCGTCGGCCGGCAGCACACAAAGCCGCGACGGCATCCACGCCCTATTGTCGGCGGCCAGCCCATCGTCTTACCCCTATCCCCAGCCTCCACCTCCCCGACGGCCACGACACGTGCCCGTGATCCAATACCCGATCCGGCAGCTGGCCAACTGGCCGGCCATACGGGATCTGCTGCACAAAAGCGGCATTACGAGCGACAGCAACCGGAGCAGGAGACGCAGCAGCCACAACAATGGCTTTTGGACGAGCGACAGCCACGACAGCCACGACAGCGCCTACGTCTACGACGCGGCGGCCGCCACCGTCCTCGAGCAGCGACGACCACCCCTGCCCTTTCCTCCATTGCTGCTGTCCAGCCACAGCCACAACAGCAGCGGCAGCGGCGACAACTGGCTGGCGCAGCTCAATGTGGCCGTCGTCAAGGACCTGGGCGACAAATACTTTACCACGTTCAACCTGGGCAACCCAGTCCTGGACCGACGGCTCTTCCACCAGCACAGCCTCGGCGTGGCCATTGGCACGGGCTTTGGCGTCAACATGGAGAGCTGCATTGTGCTGGTGACGATGGCGCTCGGCGTGTTGGGGCGAAAGGCGCAGCGCGACGCCGGCATTGTCGACGCCCATGGCATGGCCAATGCCATGGCCACCTCCCCGTACGATCCGCCCCACCGCATCAGCAGCACGACCGCCGCGGACGGGCCAGACGACGGCGACGCGTGGGACGACGGCCTAGTCTTCTTCAACGAGGCCCGCAAGCGCATTGGGATGCTGGGCTGCGACAGCAGTCTGCAGGCCTGCCAGTACCACCTGCTGTGCGGTCTCTTCTACGCGCAGCGGATTCGGCCGCTCGACTGGTGGGCCCACGTGAGCCGCGCGGCCGCGTGCTGCACGAGCTTCTGGGCGTGTGCCCCCAAGGATTGCGACGAGTGGACAATGGACATGCAGGCGCGGCTGTTTTGGATCACGGCCATGTTCGAGGCGGTCCTCACCCAGGAGCTGGACGTGCCGGTCTCGAACCTGCTCAACTACGAAGACCGCGTGCCGCTGCCCAAGTTTGTCGAGTTCCCGGGCGTGTCCTCCTTTGCGTCGTTCGGGTCCGGTATGGGAATGGGGATAGGGATGGGCCCACACGGCCTCGGTGGCGCATCCAACGGCCAGCACGCGTCCCAGGAAGAGGAGCAGGATGCGTTCTGCCACTACCATTTTCTCTCGCAGATTGCGCACCGCATCATCCTGACCCGTCTGTGCGACAGCCTGTTTGCCAACCGCGGCAAGGCCCTGGCGTCGGGCCAGACCATTGAGGCCGCCTCGCAGGCCACCACGATGGCGCGGTCCGACTACCCGCCGCAGGCACTCGAGGACGAGCTCACGCACCAGCTCGAGCAGTGGCGCGCGCAGCTGCCCAACTACCTGCAGTGGGACGACGACAACAAGCACCGCTATGCCGACCCGGCCGCCCCGTTCGAGGGCCCGCGCACGCCCGCCAACGTCTTTGTGGTCCCCTGGCTGCAGGCCCGCTACTGCATCGCCCGCTACCACCTGCGCCGCCCCCTGCTGCACCGCGCCCTCCACCACCCGGACTGGATGTCGGCCGCCGACTTTGACAAGTGCCGCGACGCCCTTGCGTGTGCCGTGCGCTGGTGCTCCATCATCCAGCCGACCCTCAACGTGCCCGACTGCCTGTACCTCAAGTTCTTCATCTGCACGCAGCTGTTCGGCATGCTCCTCCTGCTGCACACGCTCGACCGGTCCGCCGTGCCGGCGCTCCGCGCGCTCGTGCCGCCCACGTTTGCGTCCTGGCGCCTCTTTGCCTTTGGTGTCCTCGAGCGCTACGCGCCCATGAGCCCGTCGGTGGCGCGCGAGCTCGAGATTGTGTCGGCGCTGCGGGACGACCAACCCCCGCCGGCCGCCGTCCCCATCGCGACGTCGGTTCTGCGCGACAGCCATACCGAGGACGCAGGGGATCCATTGGCGACAGGGCTCAACATGGACGCCGACACGCTGTCACCGCCGCATGCCAAGGTCGGGGAAACCGCATCTGCATATGGGCTGGCGGACGAGACAGACTACCGGCGCAACACACGATCGTCGCGGAGAGGGTCCTTGCATGAACTGTAGGAAAATAGCAGCGGGAACGGGTTTGACGATGGCATGAATTATGAGTCATGGTCACGGGTAAAGTCCATGATGAATGATGGCCAAAGTTAACGCAATAGCAACAATAATATGTCCATGTGAAATTTTAGAGAATAGCAACGCCCAGGTATGTACTTCGTACACCACTCCCGTACTCGGCCGCATATCCTCGGTTACTGCGCAAACCCCGTCCCTGTCGAGCTGGTCAGCCCGCCGTCCACCACCAGCGTCTGCGACGTAATGTAGCCCGCCGCCCGCTCGCTCGCCAGAAACACGGCCGCCGTCGCCACGTCCCACGCGCTGCCCATGCGGCCCATGGGCACATTGTGCTGTGTAATCTTGGCAAACGTCTGCTGCTCGGCCGGGTCGCTGCTCGCGGCCATGCGCTCGACCAGTGGCGTATACATGAGCCCGGGGGCAATGGCATTGACCCGCACGCCCCTGTTCGCGTAGAGGCAGCCCGTCACGCGAGTCAGGTGGATCACAGCCGCCTTGGCCGCGTTGTACGCGACCTGCGGCTTCCCCAGGAACCGCAGCCCGGCAATCGACGCATTGTTGACAATGGCGCCGCGTCCCTGCGTCTGCATATGCGGCAGCACGGCGCGCATACTAAGGTAGACGCTCTTGAGGTTGAGGTTGATCTGCGCGTCCCACACGGCCTCGTCCATGGTCGCCGGGTCGCCCGCGGCCGTCGCCCCGACGTTGTTGACCAGAATGTCGATGTGGCCGTGCGCGGCCAGGCAGGCCGCCACCAGGCGCTGCACGTCCTCGGCGCTCGTCACGTCCGCCCGCTGGACGGCGACCACCGCCGCGGGGAACGCCGCACGGACGCGCTCGGCCGTGTGCTGCGCGGCGGCCAGGTCAATGTCGCACCCGTACAGCGCCACGCCGTTGTGCGCGAGCATCCAGGCAATGGCGGCGCCGTTGCCCCAGCTGCTGGGAGTGGGGGTGTTGGTGGCGCCCGGGATGCGGGCCTGGCCGATGCCGAGGACGAGCGCGACCTTGCCCTTGAGGTCGGGGTAGATGGGGTAGTCGTCGACGGTGGCCATTGCGGGAGGGGAGGTGGTGGTCGGTTATGAGAAGGGCGGATGACAAAGGGTGGGCGATACTGTCAGATGGTACGATAGGTTATGGATTGTTGATGAAACCGTAGACGCTTCGGGCACGCTACAAGTACACATAGCTCTCCAACGCAGTCCGTACGCGTTGAACTATATCCTCCATGGTCCTTGGAATCGAGCATAGTTCCGCCGTCAAACATCAACCATCTCGTCACGTTTCTCTTATCTCCAAGTCTACGGACAGTTGTATCGCACTGTCTTGGCCGTCTCCACGTTCGAACGCCGCCTGTACTGTCTTGGTCTTCGTTGTTTCTTTCCTGTTGACTCCATCCGGGGCATCCTTTCTCTGTCCGGGAGATGAGAAGAGAATACATACCTTGTTGTGTGTGGCGCACTGTGCGTAGTTTCCATCAATGGGGAAAATACAATACGACGATCCTCACACCATCTCTGACCACCTCCGGGACGGAAGACACCAAGCGCCCCCGGAAGATGGGACATGACACGACGCAAAGGCGAAGGATTAGACGGGGTAAGTAAATGAGGGGGATCAACAAACCTGGGCATGAGGTGGACAGATCTAGCAAGCCACGTAGTTCAGGAATGGGGGGGGATGGGCGGCAGACGGGTGACGGGGTAGTACGGAGTACGAGATGAAGCTCGCTGTTAGTGAGGTTAGAGTGACAAGGCCCGGATAATGTCCGGGGAATGATGCTGTGTCCGAGTCGTTAGTGCAGCTAAGGTCGAGCGTCGTCCTCCATCTTGTTCTTGTCTTTTCTCCACCTTTTTGGGGCTGACATGGTCCGCTGCCAGGGAAGTTTGAATGTCAGTCTCCGCACTCCACACAGTTTTCTTACCTTCTTCCTCTTCTGGTCGACGTCCAGGCGCCTCTTGCCCAGTCCTTTATCGGCTCGGCTATCCTCTTTCTAGTCCACGCCGTCCAGTGCTGCCTTCTACCAACTACGAGTATGCACTCCACCTCCACAATATCGCTCCGATGTCCTACCCCGTGGGGAACGGCACACACCTGCAACGGGCCGCACGTAAAGAAAACGACAAAGAAAAGGAATAACAATAATGGCTTCAATAAAGAAAATACTGCGAATGGAAATCCCCGCAGACACATTGTCAGTTGATCGGATGACTTGCCGAAATCATCACTGACGAGACAGCACGCAGTCTATTACCAAGCTGGACCTAGCTGGACTATGTTTCCCACTCGACCCTGACGCTGCCTAGTTTCTTGACCGTGTTGGTGCGCTGGGGAATGCAGTCTTTCCCCGGTCTGACGTCTGACTTCTCCGCATTTTGAATGCATGGCAGTCAATGCCGGTTCAGCGGCAACGTGCTATTTTCATTGTCTTCCCCAGGCGGCACCATCTATCCCCGTGCACCCATCCTTGCGTGTAACTCCACAAAGGTTGTTTTTTCATAATAGTTTCGGTGTATCAGTGTCACAACTCGAAAAGTGAATTACCAAAGGCCCAGTCTCCATCACTTTATATTTTTTGTTTAGTCCGCCTCCTCGTCAAACTTCTTTTGTTCTTTTTTTTTTTGTCGTTTCTCCATCTTGTTTTTCTTGGGAAAGATATTGAAGGCACTGTCTATTCTCGTTCCATTTCATCCCCCTCCACGCAACACAACAATGTCTCCCATCGAAAAGGCCGACAGTGTGGGCATCAACGAGGCGTCTGTCGACCTCGTCGAGCAGGGCAAGGTCGAGCCTACGACGCACGCGCCCATCCTGACCGACGAGGAAAAGCAGATGGAGAAGCGCATCGTCCGCAAGATCGACTACCGTCTGCTGCCCATCACGGCCCTCATCTACCTCCTGTGCTACATTGACCGGTCCAACATTGGTACGCTTGTCGTGCCAGTATCCATCAGGCCGTTGTATGTTCTGTTTGCTAACGCTCGCAGGCAATGCCAAGATTTTGAATTCCAACACGGGCGACGACATCCTGCAGACCAACCACATGTCGACGTACCAGTACACGGTCGCGCTCATGCTCTTCCTGGTCGCCTACTGCATCTTTGAGGCGCCCAGCAACCTGATGATCAAGATTGCGTCGCCGCGGCGCTGGCTCGGGTTCCTGGTGCTGTGTTTCGGCGCCTTTTGTGCCGGCATTGGCGGCACCACCAACGCGGCCGGCGTGACGGCGCTGCGCTTCTTTCTGGGCGCCGCCGAGGCAGGCGTCTTCCCGGGCATGATTTACTACTTCAGCTTCTGGTACCGCGGCGAGGAGCGGGCGGCGCGCATTGCCTCCTTCATGTGCAGCGCGACGCTCTCGGGCGCCTTTGGCGGCTGCATTGCGTACGGCGTGGGCCACATGAATGGCGCGGGCGGGCTGCCGGCGTGGCGCTGGCTGTTTATCTTTGAGGGGATCCCGTCCATCGTGCTGGGCGTGCTGGTCTTTTTCTTTTTGCCCAGCTACCCCGAGGATGTGCGGTGGCTGACGCCCGAAGAAAAAGAGCTGCAGACGCGCCGCCTCGGCATCCACGGCAACGCCATCGAGGAGAAGATCAACTGGCAGGACGCCAAGGCCGTGCTGCTGGACGGGCGCATGTGGCTGCACTACTTTGTCTACGGCTGCGCGGGCTGCGGCGTCGCATCCCTCTCGCTCTTCGCCCCGACCATCGTCCAGGGCCTCGGCTACGCCGACCTGCAGGCCCAGCTCTACACCGTTCCGCCCTACGCCGCCGCCTACGTCTTCACGCTGGCGACGTCCTACGCCTCGGACAAGCTCAAGCAGCGCGGCCTCGTGGCCGGCGGCTCCTTCATGCTGGGCTCTGTCGCCTACATTGTCCTCGCCGCCCTGCCCGGCGCGTCCTACACGGTGCGCTACGCCATGCTCTGCCTGGCCACATCGGGCGTCTTTGGCGGCCTGCCCGCGCTCTGCGCCTGGGTCGGCGACAACGCCCGCACGACGACGGCCGGCGCGCTGGCCACGGGCCTCAACATTGCCGTCTCGGGTCCCGGCCAGATCATTGGCGTCTGGATCTACCGCGCACAGGACGCGCCCATCTACCGGCTCGGCCACGGCATCAACGCCGGCTTCCTGTTCCTCGCCATGGCCCTCAGCTTTGTGCTCACCATCCACTACCACCGGAAGAATGCCAAGATGGCCGGCACCAACGAGCTGCGCTGGGCGGTGTAGTTGGGTATACGATGTAGCATGCAGTTGGTGGTATTGTTTTTACAGGCGGTGTATTGTACATACAGAGTTCAATAATAATGACACCCGTCTCATGGTGATACTTTTCTTGTCAAATGTGACTACCAACAATTGTACGTGGGAGCAAACGATGCCGATCCCACGCGCAAACAACACGACGGGCCTCCAAAATCATTGTCGTTGTGGCCATAAAGTAGATTCTGCACGCCGTGCCCTGTCCTGGATCCACGATTTCCTTCCCGACTGATCCGAACGTCTGGTTCGGAATGTATGAGACAACCAGGCACCCTCGTTTTGTCCACTTTGTCCAATGTGCTTTCTATTCTGGGAGGCACAAGGTTGTCTACATTGTCTCTTACATTGTGCGCATGACTCTCAACGCTCGGAGTCTCGTCACTCCGCGCGGCGACAGCGTTCAAGACTACGAATGGGCAGGACAACACGACAAAAGACAAACGAACGTGCGTGGGTGCTAAATAAGGGACAGCCCCTGGTATGTTCACAGCATGTTCTTTCCTACTGATTCATACCACCCACCCTGGCAGCCTCCGTCGGGGCACTTGAGACAACTCCGGCCGGGGGAAAATTCACTGTGCAGGGTCGCAGAATAACAGCAACAGGAGACCGCCGTGCGGGGTTGGCGGCAGGAGAGGTTTGGCGGCGGCACGACTCCGCACCCCCAGGCCCAGTGTCTTCTGGGGCTGCTGCATTCCCCACACTGTGGCATCCTGTTGGTGCTTCTGGCAATGGGCGTCTGTGCAGCCCGCAATGGCCTCGTTCAGTTTAGATGAGTATTAAGTGTGCTCCTCGCCGTGACAAAAGATAAAACAGAGAGTGATATTGCTCCAAAACGGCCTCGGACGTTACTAAATAAAGAAGTGCACTGAACGAACGACGACAAGTGCTAACACACGAAACGACAGCTTGCTGTGCAATTCAGACGGCCTGGTGCGACTCTCGCCAACGTATCTCATCCCCAGTCTACATCAGACGCCCGAGTCTGCATCTGGACCGACGGCATCAAACATGCCGACCAACGTCGACATCGATCCCGCTGTGCTGGCGGCCGCCGCCGGTCAGACCGTCATTATCACGGGTGCAGCCGGCGGCATCGGCGCCGCGACGGCCGTCCTTTTCAGCGAGCACGGCGCCAACGTCGTCATTGCCGACCTGGCAAGCGCCCGCACGGCTGCCACCGAAACGCTAATTCCGTCGCTCGCGCACCCCGAGCGCGCCGTCTTTGTGCCGGTCGACATCTTGAACTGGGCCGACATGCAGGCGCTGTTCAAGACGGCCGTCGCCACGTTTGGGCGCGTCGACGTGGTCGTGGCCAACGCCGGCATCATGGAGACGGCGCCGGTGCTCGACATGGACGCCGTCGACGCGGCGGGCGACCTGCTGGAGAGCCGCGAGGCGTTCAAGGTGCTGGACGTCAACATCAAGGGGACGTTGAACACGATCCGCCTGGGAATCCACACCATGCGGCACAACGAACGGAGGAACCAGGCAAAGGACGCAGACGCAGACGCAGACAACGGGTTGTCGGCCGGCAGCATTGTGCTCGTCGCCTCGACGTCGGGCTACTTTGGCGGCACCAGCGTCGCCGGCTACATCACATCCAAGCACGGCGTCGTCGGCCTGCTGCGATCGTGCCGCGCGACGGCCACCCAGCACGGCATCCGCATCAACGCCGTCGCGCCCTTCTTCACGCCCACGCACATCACGGCCAGCTACGCCGACGCGTGGCAGGCCGCCGGGCTCGAGGCCAACACGCCCCGCGACGTGGCCGGCGTCATCGCCCAGCAGGCGCTCAACACGCAGGTGACGGGCACCTGTGTGCTG